AGGTTAACAGATAACTAATTACTTTTATTTCGTCAAAATCTTTAGATTACGTATAATAAATTCATAATATCGCTACCTATTCAAATCAAAACAAGTATTAGGTACTTCATGTACTAGTATATAAATTCATCAACACATAAGTAAATGATTTTTAAATATATTCAGAGCCAAAAAATCTTTGTGCATTTAAAAAAAATGCCGATACGGATTCACTATTGCAGGAAATTGTTGAAAAAATATATATCGAGTATAAGTATCTACTACTATCGACGAATACATTTGGCAACAACGCATGGTCTCGGCCGGAACGCATATTAGAATACAAAGATAGTGATAGAAAGAGAGAGACAGTGGATCAGCAATATCTACGGATCGTGGCTGGATCAACTAAGTGTGCAAGTGTATATAAATATATATATATATATACATTTGTCTTTAATTCAAAGGAAATATAAATAATGAACGCATCACATTTAAAACAGTATAAATAGTTAATAATTTAATAATAAGTTAATAGTTTAATAAGTACGTACGTAATATTATCACATGGTAACAGCACGTATTATGGCAAAAATAAACATCGGCTGATTTGAAAAGATTTATTATAGTAATAATAGTAATCTCAGGACAATTCACACAGCTTCATCTAGACCAAAGTTAAGCTAGCTGAAGATTATGTTATGGGTACTGATATAAATACAAAGATTTTTTTTCGTAAATACATATATATTATCTATACATAGAAAACACCCAGACCGTTACAAACAATCATACTCATGAATACAAATGTTTGCAGCGTGCGAGGAATCGAACCCTCGACCACCAAGCAGGAATCAAAGCAGTCAGCTATAAATCGCTAGACTACCGACAACTAGCTGTACACGCGACTTCGTCCGCGTGGAATTTAACAATATTTTAGAAAAATAAAGTTAAATTCAACACGGACGAAATCCCGTGTACAGCTAGTCATCAATAAAAAAACACGTAGGTATCTCTAATATATTATACACTAGCTGTTCCCGCGACTTCGTCCACGTGGTTTTTAACTTTATTTTTCTAAAATAAAGTAGCCTAAGTTACTCCTTATTACATCAGCTACCTGCCAAAAAAAGTCCCGTCAAAATCGGTCCAGCCATTTCAGAGATTAGCCGGAACAAACAGACAGACAGACAAAAATTGTAAAATATGTTATTTTGGTGTATGTACCGTATTTATATTCATATGCAAGTAGTAAAAAACGGTTATTTCAATATTACAAACAACAGGCTTCAACATTCTCAAGTACCACAAAAAAGATGTTTTTATTAAAAACAAGGTGTTCCCGCGACTTCGTCCGCGTGGAATTTAACTTTATTTTTCTAAAATAAAAGTAACCTAAGTTACTCCTTATAAATCAGCTACCTGCCAAAAAAAGTACCGTCAAAATCGGTCCAGCCATTTCAGAGATTAGCCGGAACAGACAGACAGACAGACAGACTAAAATTATAAAAATAGTTATTTTGGTATATGTACCTTTAGGGGGGGGAGAGTCATGACGCCCCCATGACTCCCATGACCTCCATGACGCTCCCCCTGATCCGCCGTTGCGTCTTCTCTTTATTCGCTCAGTAACGTTGTTACAAAAGAAAAGATTCCCATCCAAAAAATAACAAGTATTGAGGTTTGATCTGGAGTCACGTTACTCCAGACTGATTTCTATAAATATTTAGATTAGATAGACTATTATTCTTGAAATACTAGCTAGACATTATTAAGTTACTGTAGCCATAATGTAGTAGCCCAAACGTGCCAATGAGGAAGCCCTTGGCAAATGCTGCACCCTGATTGGCCCGTTTGAATTAGATCAAGAAGTGGTCGTATGCCAAAAAGGTGGATTTGTATAAAATCGTGTATAAATCGCTTAATTATTATTATTACTCGTCGTGACAGTTGTGGCTCAAAACGGATCAACATTTATATATGGTCATCTGGCATTAGATCAACAAAAGGCCTCCGGATCAACAAGTGAAAAAGGATCAACAAAAAACTACCTATACGGCACGTCTGAGCCACAAAGTGCCCAAGGGGATATTTATATATATATATATATATATATATATACTAAACATGTGATATAATAATAATGTTCATATTATTTGGTTTTAATGTACACTGTATTTGTTCCCTACTGGGTAGTTCATTGTTATCAAAGAGTAAATATAAATATATGTCATATCTAGTCCTATAATTTAAAGTAATAAGTAACAAAGCCATGATTGTGCAAATTCTTGATTAAGGACAAAGGAGTTCATAATGGCAATTTGTATAGTTACCTTATATAGTCTAAAGTGAAGTTACTTCCGCTGGCTGTACCCTTTTTAAACTACGCAACGAATTTTAATGCGATTTTTAGCAATAAGACAGTTCAAGAGGACGGTTTATATGTATAATACATGTAGACTGTGCGAAGCCTGGGCGGATGGCTAGTGTTATATAAACCAAAAATAAGTAGATAAATCGAAAGAAATAAGAAAATTGATCCATGTATTTATTGGTTTTATCGTTTCTGAAGATAAAATGTAAAACGAAATATTTATACGGTTATACAGGAAAACACGTCTATCGTCCATACGCCTACAAAAATGGTATAATATATTTCAGATAATAGTAATAGAGTATTAGTAATAATAATATTAGTAGTATATTCTAGATTCTGAGTTTAGAATAAATTGATTTACTTATAGTGTGGCCTACGAGTTCGTTCGTGTATACCTTAGTAGACATCATCATATATCGATAATAATCAAAATGATTTATGCATTTGTACAATGTCATCTATTAGTTTATTAATAAGAAAATTAACAAATGTTTGAGTGAAAAAACAGCCTAACAGACAGTTTTCATATTGCCGCGACTGCGATTTTATTATATTTAAAGGTAATAGAGATTATCTAACATAATTAAAAAAGAAAACTTAAATTCTTGCGCGAAATTGTTGTCCCAGTGCTATAATGTTATATTCATAACATAAGTCATTACGTCCATTTGACCGTGACATGTTACGTTGAAGTTACATGATAATAACAACAGTAAACAATAGAAAACTCATCCATGTAAAGATATGAAACGATGCGTGCAGGCACGAAACGCAAAAAAAGTGAAAAAAACAGCCACTTGCATTAGTTTTGCAATAGTGTTGTTGTTGTCGCATAAATAACTCACTTAAATTACTCTGTCACTGTCACTTAAATTAGGTCAGTATTTTTTTTCTATATATCAAAATAACCCAGCTATTTACAATTGAAGTCAATTTATATGTGACTGCAAGGAACTACGAAATTTGCCTAGGTCTTGTTACTTTTTTATACAATCTTTCCTGCCACTAGTCTTATAAATGTAACTAATCCTCATCCACGTATGCGGTGTTTAGTTGTAAAGGCTAAAGTCAACTCAAACCAAAATACATATAGGTAGAATACGCTTATATAATACAATAAAAAGGAACAACTTTAAATAAGAAACAAAATAAAAGAAAGAATAATTTCATATTAATTAATCCACATTGTTGCACAATTTGTATAAAGGTATTTAAAATTATTTATGTTTTCCATATTGCTTTAGTGAGAAAATAGATATGTTTGAAGAATTACTATAAGGTAATAACGGTTTTCATGAAGTATTCCTTTAAAAATAATATAATATGTATAATTTATAAAAGTTATATAGGTACAAATTTGAAAGTTCATTTAGAAGCTCTCCAAAATATATAAAATATTTCTAACAAAGTAAGAAATAAAAGTATCTTCAATTTGCTCTAGTATTGCGATGGTAACGTTCATGGACTGTGTGTTCATAATATGCGAAGTTACGTAACACAGATGGTCAGTTAATATCCCAGAAGAGCTACAATGCTCGCGATAGTCGTCACGGTCCGCCGCCGCTTGTTAATTCTATCCGTCCATTATCGACTAGAGGACGAGTGAATCAGCAAGCCACTCCCCCCATGTACTTGTTTATGAGTTTTATAATACAGTAAATACTATTGTCATACATAATGTAGTCATAGTTTATTCTTATAAGTATGTTTAAGTAATGTTCACAACGCAATATAAATGTATAACCTTCAGAATAATTTAAGCGTAATTTTTATAACAACTTAGTTCTGTATTCACTCTTTACTAAATATGTTTTATATAGTTTGACCGAAACATTCAGAGGCATTATACAAACCAATTTTATAGTGCCTTCACAGAGACAGTTTATAGAAGAAAAGTGGATAACGAAATTATCAAAGTTCATATAAAAACGGCGTCATATATGTTAGATGGGCCGTCATCTCGATATTCCAACTGTATAAAATACACCGTGTATTTAGAACTGTTAGTAATAAACTTTTGGAAAAAGTAAACTATGGAATAATTATAGCTATCAGCTGTATTGGAATGGGTATGAATATACAAGCTGGAGAGTTCACAAGTAAATTTATTTACATTTTCTAAGCGAAATCATAGTAAATTATCATCGAAACATGGGCTTTCGTGGCGATGACGTCTACTCGTACGGTCTGTACTATACGTATACGAGAAGAGTGGCGCCAAGTGACCTACATAACGTTTACGAAGCCATAATATTTAATTATACAACCGTATAACCAGTATTCCTACGAAACCGCCATGCCATATGCAGAAGTTCTACTGTTTATATTCTTACGATTTTTTATGTCACAAATGTTATCATTTTGCATTTTAAACCATACAATATTCAAGAACGTAAAAAAGGTAGGTTATAGGCTTATTTCTGTCGTGAATTTGGAACATGTCTGTACTTGATTCTGTGAAACAAAACAACCACAAATTTCTGAACAATTTCAATGATAACTATCTTATAAGCTAACATTAATGAAGGCGGAGACACATTAGAACAGATATTTACGTATAGCTATCAAAGTTATTTTGACAAATTATGTTATAAATGTATCATTGGATTTTGTTATTTAAAGTATTTATGTTGTTTCTTTTCAGATGATGAAGTGTAAACAGGCGTGGTAGGTGTCAGGGAAATGAATTCAGACGTGCATCGCCACCAAGCGCACCCGCCGCTTGCACAGGTACCTAATACACTTACTATATGTGTTACACTTGCTGCAAGTGTATTGCTGGTCTTATGTATCTGGACAATAATTATATATATTGTAAAATAATATGTGGAATAAAAGTTTAGAATATACCTCGACATAACATATTATATTAGAGAATTAACTAGGTTAAGGTGTATAATATATTATCCTACCTATCAAAGCCAAGAAATCAAGAGAGAACACTGTTTATAAATGTGTTTATTAAAAAGTATTGCCATACATATATTTATAATACTAAGTAGACGTCATTTAAAGAAATATACATAACCGAACATTTATTTTAATAATATAAGTTATTATTTTAATAATACAAAACAACAATTAGGCAACACATTTACTTTAAAAATGTTTTGAAAGATTTTGACTCACTTGTTGAAATAACCATATAACTTAGTGTTGTTTGTATTTACTGCTTCAGTTTTATAGTGCGCAGTGTTCTCTTCTTGAATCTGATTTTACGCATACTTTAGTATATCTCTGAGCAAATGTATATAATATGCTTTATAAATTATATTAACAACCCGCATAACATCAAGTCGGTATATGGTAACTTAGTATGTTTGTAGCGCATACCTTGTCGATGTATTAGTTCGTACGCCGAGCTTTAGTAGGTGCGCCCATAGCGCCTAGCTTTCTTGAACAAAGATTATTATGGATCTTAACAACCGGAAATTTGTTTTTTTTATCATGTTATCTAGAAACCGTGCTTCAGTTTACATATTTAAATACACAATTATTTACCCCCCATCCCCCGTTGTCAGCAAAAGTAAGCAAAGCTCTTACCCCCTCCACCCATGCTTACGAAACATCTCTCAATTAATGTCAAAGACGCGTAATAATGAAAAATTATTTAACTCAACACAATATAAGTCTAATAAATAAGTTTAATCATTTTAGCTTAAAAAATGATAAATAATAAAAATAAATATTTAATCAATAGGCTAAAAAATAAATTTCAAGCTTCTAGCTTTAAACATGACGATACATCTATATGACCTTGGATCTACCATTTCAATCCTCTTGTAACCCTTTTTCACATTAAAAAGTAACCTATGTCCTTTCTTAGGATCTAGTCTATCTATGTCTGTTTCAAATTTCAATTTAAATCGGTTCAGTATTTTTGCCGTGTAAGCGAGACAAACAGACAAAGTTACTTTCACATTTATAATATCATTAAGGTATTTAATAAACTAACTCTAAAAGACAAAGCAAAAAGTTTAATCGTTCTAGCTTCCACAACCACACAAACAGCAAATTTCCACAATAACTTTCATTCCCTATTTTATTTTACTACCCCCCCTCCCCCTAAGAGTAAAAATTTTACAAACATTGAATGTCATATTTATTGATATTTAAACAACAGGCTAAAAATGAGTCCCAAACTTCTAGTTTTAAAAAATGACGATTCTTCATACAGCGTACCATTGCAACCCCCTTACAATCCTTTTTTCACATTCAAAAGTACCCTATATTCTTTGTCCGGGTGTAAATCTACCCAAAAAGAACCAATGAAAATAGTTTTATTGTTCTAGTTTCAAAAATTACGAATTTACATAATAACTATCATCCCCTATTTTATTTTACCCCCTTAAGGATAATTTTTATACAAACAATGAATGTCATATTTATTTATATTTAATCAACAGCCTCAAACTTAAGTTTCAAGTTTCTAGCTTCAAAAATGACGATTTTACATAAAAACTTTCATCCTCTATTTTATTTTGCCCCCTTAAGGGTAATTTTTTTTACAAACAATGAATGTCATATTTATTTATATTTAATCAACAGCCTCAAAAATAAGTTTCAACCCTCTAGCTTAAAAAATGACGATTTTACATAAAAACTTGCATCCCCTATTTTATTTTACCCCCTTAAGGGTAATTTTTTTACAAACAATGAATTTCATATGTGTTTATATTGAATCAACAGTCTAAACAATAAGTTTCAAGCTTCTAGCTTCAAAAATGACGTGTTTACATAAAAACTTGCATACCCTATTTTATTTTACCCCCTTAATGGTACTTTTTTTACAAACAATGAATGTCATATGTATTTATATTTAATCAACAGTCTCAACAATAAGTTTCAAGCTTCTAGCTTCAAAAATGACGATTCTTACATACAATCTTTCATCCCCCCTTTTAACCCCTTACAACCCTTTTTTCGCATTAAAAAGTAGCCTATGTCCGTTCTCAGGGTCTAGACTATCTGTATATAAAATTTCCTTCAAATCGGTTCAGTAGTTTTGGCGTGAAAGCGAGACAGACAGACAGAGTTACTTTCGCATTTATAATATTAGTTTTTGTCGCAGCACAAAAATATATTTTTATCGTTTCCGTACAAATAGTAATTTTACAGTATTAATCTACAAACCAACATTTTGTTTCTTACAATCAGCTAAATAATTTAAATAGTTTCATAATATATGACACAATGAAAAGGTCATTTATTTTATAAAAAAGACAGTTTTTATTTTAGTGAAAAATAAGAAAATTCTATTTTGATACAACAACCATATATTTATTAATACCTATATTTTATTAATTTTGTGTTAATGCTTTTTAAATAAACACCCACACATTATTTCTGTATAACCTACAAAAATGGGTAAATAATTTAATTTCGGATAGTGCCACACCACAACATTCTTTAAAAAATGTAAATAATAAAATGTGAAGAAATTGTGATTGTTATTAAGTTTTTTTTAATAAGTTCGTCAGAACAGAGAAACAACATTTGACATTTATTATTATTTGACATTTGACATTGACTTTAATTTTTGTAATTTATATTGTAAAACTTTAAGTTGGGCTAAACTGGGCTGTATCCAGAGCCGTAAAACAAATTAATAAAAAAAAAAATCGCCAAATTTGTCTCGCAATCGGCCAATTTCAGGTTTAAAGAAAAAACACATACACACGATATATGATTTTATCATAAAAAAGTGTCAAAAACAATATTTTCGCTAAACGTCAACGTCATGTTTCCGGCAAGATTTTTCGTTTTACATTATGTTATCTGGGGTTTTGTTCTCTGTGATGGATACCTTATTGGCGCAAACGCACGCGATGTGTTGATTGGTTGTTAGCTAGTGCAATGAAAAGATGACGAATAAGTATTCAACCGCATAAGGATAACCTTGTATTTCCATTTTGAACCCCTTACAACCCTTTTTACGCATTAAAAAGTAGCCTATGTCCTTGCTCGGCGTCTAGACTATCTGCGTACTAAATTTCATTTAAATCGGTTCAGTAGTTTTGGCGTGAAAGCGAGACAGACAGACAGACAGAGTTACTTTCGCATTTATAATATTAATAATAAGTAAGGAGTAAGGATGCGGACAGTTCTACAGTTAAAATAGTTGATTTTATAAAAAATATTATTTCAATGTATATTTCAATTAAATTTGTTTACACACAAAGTGTTCCATAGTGATATTATATTCGTTTCTAGTATATATTTCTTTTCTTTTTCGATACAGACAAAATTACAGTTGAAAATTACGGTAATTATATATTTTTTGCAGTTCGGACGTCTACTAGACTACACTGGTAGAAACAGAATTATTATTCTCATAGATTCTCACAATGATTATTTTTAAATGCTCATTTATCTTTACATAATTGCTGTCTAAAATGCATTGAGGTGCGTTCTCTTTCCTTGTACCATTTTAACTTTGGACGTAAATAAAATTGAAATCAAGGTCTTGCAATATTTTTCGGAATCAAGGTATAGCAGTGACTAATAACTGAAAATATATGCGATTAAGTTAAAGTATAAAAGACAGTTTCCGAAATAGAAAAGCCAATACAAATGCGTTATTGAGGCCCGCCCTCTTAGGCAGTTATTCAAGACATTGATTATTTTGCATTTCCATGATTTCTGCATAGAAGACACGAACGTATCCAAAGAATTTTTGCATACATTGTGTCTATACTTATAATATCAATACCTGCAACCGCGCCAATATTGGCGCCCAGCCAAGGCTGTGCGTTTGAATGGATCATTAACTTCTCTTATACACGAGCTTTATCTGTTGCTCAAGTATTATCAATCCGTTATATTAATCGTAGAATTACTGTAATTGCACACGAATGTAGAGCACCGTTTAATTTTATAAATCATAATTTATTAATCCAAGTTCAATAACTTAACGAATTTATAAATGGCCCGTAACGACTTTGCTACGATATAAGATCGAACTATATGCATATATACATAATATATAGACTATCTTCATCTGATGTACTGTAGTTTTATAAAACGGTGTCATCCATAAAGCCGAAGTAATAAAACAATAATGTTTTAAATACGTTGGAAAGTATACAATTGTCATTCTTGAACATATTAACAAAATATCCAACAGTATGAAAGAAATCATAATGTAATGTTTTTCAATGGGTCGGTCATTATTGTATAATAAATACAACTTTAAATAATAAATGACATAATAAAATGAATGTGAGTTTATGGATTACCTTACATTGGATTTGATACACACGCAACACATTGATGCTAGCGAAGTCAATGAAACCAGAAGTACATTAGTTTTTATTTATTTATTTAACTGCAATGCACACAATACAAAATGTAGTACAGTATATTTGGCGGACTTAACACCATGCGGCATTTTCTACCAGTCGACCATAGGTAGTGCAGAGAATAATTGCAGTATGACATTGTTTCGTATCAACAGACACCGTTGTGGCAAACCACAATGGTGTGATTTCCGCTCAGGTGTGTGACATGGACTCAGAGTGTACTGGTTACAGCACGGCGTCCACGCGGGTGCGCAGAGCGTGGGCCCCTGCGGCTGGTACTCTGCGTCGGCGGCGCCTGCGCCCACCGCGCCCGCCCGCCTCAAGCGCGCCCAGCCGCCGCACCAGTTGCCGGTGCGTTAGTTGTACCAACATATACCATTCCTAACGCCAAACATACATTACGTACAAAATAGAAGAGTGCAAGTGCAGATATTAAAAAAAAAATGTTATGTATATTTTCAAAATTTTGTGTATATTTTCTGTAATATAATGTAGACATATAAGATTAAGTAATGGAAAATTATTATTGTAATGTATAACTCAGAATATTCCTTATTTTAATCGTTAATTTATAAATTAACTTTCTCCTTCATACTAAAATGAATTGCATGTTTATGGATACAGTAATAATATTTATTTAATTAAATATATTTTTTTAAATGGAATTAACATTAAAATAATACTAACACAAAATGAAATCGGTTATTTTTTTATTTGATATCGGAGTTGCCTGACTGACTCCCGTGATCCCTCGCGGAAGAGTCAGACAGACGAAGAAATTTAATAAATAGACATACAAAGTTATTTTTTGTTTCAACCGGATTAGAATTCACTTCTCTTATTCAGATTCAGAGTAGTGAACCACTAGACCACGACGACCTCAATTGGTACTATCAAACAAAGATAGAATTGATAATACAAAAATGTTATTTCAATACTTGAAATTATATTAACCTAAATAATTCATTTTATTTTATTGCGCCTTAACCGGCTGTAACAATAGGATACATTACAAATGGCTCTTTTGTACCAGTTGTGCCGATGCCAACTAAGACCTAGTTTGTTACAGAATTAAGAGACGATGTTTATAGTCTTGTCATTGAATGAAAACGTTCCCACGTGTAGAAAGTACGTCGAAGTTTCTGTTGGTTTACTTCACACTGTCACAGAGTGCTGATGGAGTACCTCTCATACTTACAATGTATAGTTTTTAAATCTAGACTCTTAGTACGACAATAATCGAACTTATTTATAATTAAAGGCTTTGTTTTAGTCCGGAGGTGGTGTAAGCGGCAGTAATGGACCACATGCACCACTATCACCCACCGCATTGCAGAATTCCATTCCACACAATGTAAGTTCGAATTTTGGTGTTGTATGTAATGTTAATTACTTCATCTTTTACCACGGGACAAACGTATGGGTAAAATATGGCTAATTTTCTCGTCTTAAGAGGGAAGAACCAATAGTATCTAATCGTATTACAAAGTTCTTGGGATGAAAACGAGGTTACTGAAACAAGAAACATTTTATAGAGTGCCTTGTTATATGGAAAATAATAAACAATTGTGTCGAAATTTAATAGCAATGAGTACATGTTGCAATAATTTCCTCATGAATATAATGTATTCAAACTAAATAAAGCATATAAATATGATGTTTATAATAATTTAAACTGTATTAATTATTAGCTTAGATGTTTAAAACATCGCAAATACATCATGAACATGCGTCATTTCCAAGTCTTATTCCCCTATCAATAGTCGCTTGGACAATAAACTGAATATTTTATATAAAACAAATTATTGTGGAGATGGATCTCTCAAGGAAAAGAACTTCAATTCCTTTGGTACTTGAATGCTTTGAGCAAGTGAAACGTGGACGTTACACTGAAGAATCTTTGTTGAACAAGATGGAGGTCGATCAACAGCCGGTAAATATTTCAATAATATGTACATGTGCTCCTCAAACGACTTAATGGGGTTCATAATGAGTTATTTATGGAACAATTGCGACAGGCCGCTAACCATATTTAACAGCATAATTGGTTACGCTTCTATCATATAAGTATGTTAATTAGTTATGTAATGAAAAATTGCGATTTTGACTGCTTTTGCATTGTCATTTTAGATATATTACAAACGTTTTCCTATGTAATTAGGTAGATTTACTGAAAATTGTTGCTATTTATGTCTACAGAATTTAATGACGTCATCTGTGCGGACGGTGGCGGCTTCTGGACCTACACCCAATATTATGCACACTTCACAGATATCACCTGGTATGTTAAACATAATTGAATTGTAAATATATTAAAAGTGGAATAGTATTTGTTCTATATATTAGAATTACTAACTATGGCATTACATACCAATATGATGTATGTGTGTTTACTGAAAACTAACTTACTATATAATAATTATCTATTGCAACTATGTAATGTAAAATAAGTTAAATCTTTTAAGTATACATAATAAACATACTTCAAAATAGTATCAGCAATATGTGAGAAGAGTAAGAATTAGAAATTTTATTGAATGATATTCATAGTATTTTTATATTCTATAATAGTGGTAACAAAAGGCGCTAGCGATGTGCTGGTCAACTCGTCGGCAATTCAAAACCAACCGGCGGTTGGTACCAGACTAGTGAATATGACCCAATGGCCGTAAGTAACATTTTCACATTTTATAAGAATCTTTCACCTACTTTCCACTTTTTCTGGGGGACCATTTTATAAATAATCGTCACCACACTTAACCTATTTCAACTATTTCTTTTTTATTATAGATTTTAAATGAACAGTGTGAATTTAATCACTTAATTTATATTAACTATTATATCAAATAGAAACAATCAGAACCTAATCGGTATGTGTAATTTTATTATGAATGATCAGTCATGATTTGAATTATATGTCACAAATCATTTATATCAGCCTATTGTGTTCCAAATGCCTTTGTCTAATATTGAATACTTATGATTGCTTTTCCATATAATAATTTTAATATATTTTCCTGTTCAGATTTATATTAAGCCCTATACAATACGATATAGTAAGGAATACTCTACAAAACGAATCATTAATGTAATATTCGTACATATGTACTAGAATATTATTGACACTATACAATTAAAAATGGACAGGACACGTAGCCAGAAATTCAGTTTCATGGTGTGACGTGGAGGATGTGTTCCAATGGTGACCATGGGATCACAAAAAAAAAACTCAGAGGGACACAGATGAAATAGAAAGATGGTATAGTTAAAGTAGCGGGAGCATATGGGAGAAAATTGAAGTAGGCCCATATCAAAAAATTTACCGAGTAAGGTGTGAAATGATGGGGGACAATCTGTATGTTACTATATTATTTTTCTGCGTGTATTTTTTCCCACAAATTTCATTAATAGAAATATTTATTCAAATAAACTTAATGTAAACACTTTTGAATAGTCACATTTTTTTTATTCTGCCACTATTTGGAACGCAAACTTATCACAAGACGTATGAGCAAAAAAGTTGCGTGTTGCTCTTTTAATTCTCTGAATATAACTATCAACCTATGGTGCATTTCTTAAACTACTAAATATCACAAAATATCTATGATAATAGCCTAAATAGGAATTTATATAAGACATGCTTAACATATTTCATTTTATATTACCACACCAATATTTGATAATGAAGAGGACATAATAGATTATGTACAGATAGGAATACGTGTTCGCGTTATGATAACATCAATGTGTTTATCATTGTTATCATACTTCGACGATAACAATGGCCATTGTAATTAGTATATTTTTGAATTATGGAGTGTGATATTACGGAATGTTTCAATAAACCGCACAAAGTGAAATTGTTTATCCCACCAGAGCCTGCATCCGATAATATCGTGTAAATACCCGAATTTTTTACAAATCTTACAAGTGGTTTTGACTTCGCTATTTGGCATTTGTCAACTTTGTTATTTAGCAGTTTGTATTCACACAAAATTCTTACAAATATAATTCTAAATAACATTCATTTAAAACGAGCAACACGCAAGTTTCCTGTGTTCTTCCTATGATGAGTGTCCGTTCCGAATGAGTGGTACAATTAAAAAAATAATACTATTAAAAGTGCTTACACATACTAAGATAATTTGAATAAAGATTATTTCTATTTGAACTGTTTATACTGACGTGACTAAAAATATAAATATAATTGTCATACATATAATTTTTCCATTCAAACGTAATCGATGTATATGCGACTAACAATAACAGTAATTTGTTATTCAATTGTAAACGAAATACATGTATATTATCTTCTAATTAGTTACATGCTATAAGGAAAATAGTGTTTCATATTGTATTTACCTCTTTCATTGAAAATATTACAAAGTAAGCCATCAAGGCTTTTAATTATTTGTTCGTATAGATCTCAGTTAAAAGTAAATATACAATATATTATATATTATATAGATATATAATAGATAATATTAATAAAACATTTTGAAGTAGATATCTAATTATATACAGAAATAAATATGACTGGACATAGTAAAATTATAATTTGTAGCACTTTAAAGTCCTAAAACGTAGTCCATAAAACACAAATACAGTAGTATATGTTTTTAAGATATATATGGTTAAATGAAAGAGAATATGTACAATTTTTTTTAAAACATACGTATTGCACTATTATTGTTTGCTATATTTTTATATATATGGTATTATGATATTATTTTGGTATTATTTTTATATTCATGTTATTATATACATAATGACCCATAAGAACCTCCAGCAGTACTGAATGTATGCGTGTTTGTTGTAGTTGGCACCATGGCGCGATATCTCGGGAGCGAGCAGAGGCGCTACTGTCTGGTTCGCCCGATGGTGTATTTCTGGTGCGAGAGAGTACAAACTTTCCCGGCGATCACACACTTTGTGTGCGGTTCCGTGGACACGTCGAGCATTACCGGTAATTATAGCAATATCATATACATATATTATATTTATTCTTATCAAATACACAAAGCCTTGTCGCGTTAGTAAGCAATTTAATACGAGACACTGCCTTAGTCTGGCGCCCTGCCAAGGATTTAAATATATATACTTTGCGGAAGCTGGACAAGGATTTCAGTCATCAACTTCGCATATATATTTTAAATAAATTATTATTTTCATTTTGTTACTTTAATACCTATGTTTACTAAAAAAAGAACTGTTTTATATTTACAGTTAACATTGTGTTTAATAAGACCTGCACGAACAAAGATTTCTTATATATATATTCGGTCCGACACATGTATATTGTAACTTCCAATACTGTGGGTCATTCATTATTAAATATGTAAATAGTTATAACAATTGCTTTATTAAAAAATATATTTGACTTTATCTTTTCAGTGTAAAATGGGCTACTGTGCCAGAAAGTCAGAACCAACGTCTTACTATAGATGATGAAGAATTTTTTGACAATATGACTGATTTGATTCATGTAAGTTGTGATATAATTATACCATTTCACGATACGGAAATAAGTAATTATCTAAGAAAACTCCAAATTATTTTTTAACATACGTATGACTTTTTTAATCGACTGACACCCACATTATCTCTTGACACTACACTATTAATCTACCAGCTTTAACCCACTAAATAGATTCAGACAAAGAATTAGTAAGAAAAACTTGTAAAAAAAAAACTTTTGTTTCTTTGTGATATGATTATTTGGTATTATTTTACATGGTCTTTTGTACACTATTTTGTACACTTTACGACTAACTTTGTATAAAAAATGTACAAAATGTTATTTTTATTAAAAATACAAATAACTATTTCTTATATTTCAGCATTATTTACAAGACGCCGATGGATTATGTACAAAATTGCTACGGTGCCTGCCGAAAGCAGTTCCAAATGGTGCAAGTAACAATGGTTCTATGCCGCCTTCATATCCTCCACATCCCCAAGTGAGTATAATTAAATTTTCATAAAGTATTTATTTTTCAATTTTTTGAGTTTTCGATCCTGTAATGTCTCTATGTAATTTACGTAACATACGTACGTAAATCACCAATAATGATGTCGTATTTCAACTTTTTTGTGAACAAAACGTATTTCTGTCATTTTAGCATCTATTTCACACACATTATTTAAGGGTGTTCTAATATAATTGATATTTATTTATACATTCTCATTTAATTGCTATATTATGGTGCAAAGCAGACTTAGCTTCGTATTATTCCTTTATTTTTAAGTTGTAGATTAATATTTTTTTATTAAACGATTATCCTTATCCTATTGTGTCTATAATGAATTTCATACAATAACAGGATTTATTACTTCTTATTGTTGATAACAAAACATATCTACAGTACTGTAATTATAATAATAATTTACTTATTTGTTATAATAGGTTTCATCACATTCTGTTATTTCCAGCGTACAAATATTTAGTAGATAATACAAGCTTAAAATTCTATATATTAAATAATCATTATAATTGTATTGCTATTGTATATCTCCGATATTAATTGATGCCTACTGCAATGTTCAACATAATCTAAAAATGAAATAATGATTATGGTAGCAACCACCGCCGTACCCACCGACGCCGAGCGTGACGAGTGCGCTGAATTCGGGACACTTCCAGCACACGTATTCCAGCCAGCCGCCGGCTTCAGTCTCTGCGAACATACCCGCCCCCGTATCCTGTACAACTTCCGCCTCTGCTTCTGGATCCACAGATCAGACCGACAGCGCTTTACAGCAACAGAAGTTTGTTGACGCCCGTAAGTAGTCTGACTTGCTGCATGTTTCTATTTATTTAAAGGACTTCAAAAGGATCAACGTATTGTGTACCCCAAATGTCTGATCATTTGAACACTGAACCCATTTCGGAGATTATTTTAAATGATTTTAGTACTGTTGTTTTAGTGCCATATTAAATATGTAAAGAATGAACTCGATGTTTTGTATTATAGCACCAAGTCTATAATTATAAAATTTCGTATTCATACAAAAACGTTAATACTATTGTCATCCACGATCACAATACTAAATACGAGTATACAAGATGAGAACGTGATGTTTCAAATTGTAATTAAGTTGAAATGTAATAATTATTGTATTATAAACATATGTATATAGTATATGACATCATAGTATACACCTTTAATATTAAATAAAGATAAATTGTCTAAGTGATTTATGAATCACTCGTTGACGTGTCTGACTAACTGGAATTTAATTGTTGTTGTGTCAGTCGGAATGTGTCATTCTGAACAAAATTAATGACCACTGTGATGAAAGTAGTGCATGTTGAAATATAATAATATTATGCTGAAATTATAACTTTTGTAGATATCATCAATTTCAATTTCATTATATTAAACTGTTATTATGAAGTAGGTATAGATTAGTTTCATATTACATGGCTATTCCAAGAAATATATGACACTATGATCGCATTATTCAATACAATATAAAACTTTAAAGAATTGACATAATATTGAAATCAGAATTAAACCTGCACTTTCTATATCCTAAGAGACTGGAAATTAAAAGCACATTTAAATTTAAATAATATTAATTACTCAGTCATGATGACACATCGTGCTTGTGTAATAAATATAAAAATTTCGACAAGTAAATCTTTATTCAAAAATCAAATTTCAACTCTTTAATAATGACGAGGAATGAATACACATGGTAACTTCAAAATTTTTTTTCAGGCTGGCGAATAGATGAGCGAGATTTGGAAATTCGTGAAAATATTGGGAAAGGAGAATTTGGTGATGTAATGCTCGGAATACTGAATGGCTCTCAGAAAGTTGCAGTCAAAATATTAAAGGACCGAGAGGCGGCCAGCAAATTCCGCGCTGAGGCCAGCGTTATGGCGTAAGTTTTCTTTTTATTATAATATACATATAAATATATTCATTCATTCATAATTTAACAGCCACGCTATTGTTGGTGGAGCGCTTGCCACTTCCTACAATCTTCCATCATCCTCTTTAGATTTTGATCTGACACAATTTCATATTTTTTTCTTTATATTTCATAGTGCCTTGGGTCTTACCCTCTCCCTCTTTTTTTCTATTTATCCCTCAGAATAATTTAAGTGTATTAATTTTTTGACTCAGGTCTTTAAAACACGACAACCTGGTGCGACTTCTGGGGCTGGTATTCAGCTCTAACGGTAGCACGTGTATCGTGACCGAGCACTGCGCCCAGGGCTCGCTGCTGGACTACTTGCGAAGTCGCGGCCGGCACTACGTCACGCAACTCAATCAAATTAATTTTGCTTAGTGAGTTATATATATCAATATTGATGTAGAAAGAAGAAATTGATGTATGAAGATTGATATATGTGCTGTGGGAATTGTCCAGGGGTATTGTTATTAAATTATCGTATTTCACGGTCTAAGTTATGCAATCTGAGTTCTTGGGTCGACATTTCTTCCTATATATATTTATATATATATTCTTTATTGCATTTTTTAAATACATACATGTAAGAAACTGTGTTTGTAATGGAGAACTTATCTCTAAAAGATATATAGTTAAAGACATAACCTTATATGTCTGATGCTTACATACATACATACTGTATATTGTTATTATTATTATTATTGACACCTTCAAGAAAAGACTTATTCCTTCTTAAAAGGCAGGCAAAGCACTCGCAATTCCCCTTATGTTGCGGGTGCTCATGGGCGGCGGTGATCGCTTACTATCAGGTGAAAGGCAAGCTCGTTTGTCCCTATGCTATAAAAAAAATATATTATTACAGCGACGCGTGCTGCGGCATGGAGTACCTGGAGCGGCAGCGCGTGGTGCACCGCGACCTGGCGGCGCGGAACGTGCTCGTGTCGCACGAGGGCACCGCCAAGGTCGCGGACTTCGGGCTCGCGCGCACCGACCACGTGCAGGACGACCCCGCCGACGCGGCGCGCCTGCAGGCCAAGCTGCCCATCAAGTGGACCGCCCCGGAGGCGCTCAAGTACAACGTGAGTACCTCACTACCCGCGTCACCCTTACATAGCCGACCTCCACCTCCGACCCGCCGACGCGGCGCGCGCAGGCCAAGACCCATCAAGTGGACCGCCCCGGAGGCGCTCAGGTGAGTACGCGTCACCCTTACATAGCCGACCTCCACCTCCTCCCCGCCGACGCGGCGCGCCTGCAGGCCAAGCTGCCCATCAAGTGGACCGCCCCGGAGGCGCTCAAGTACAACGTGAGTACCTCACTACCCGCGTCACCCTTACATAGCCGACCTCCACCTCCGATCCACAAATACCTCTCGGCTCAGGCCGATCCCCGTTTGAATTCCGATCCCCCGTCCGATTCATAAGGGGATCAAAATTACGACGGCCCGAGCCAAGGTTAGAACCCCAAGCGGTGCCCTCAGATTGAAGTCATAGCCGTCCGGCGGGAGTTAGTCTTCAGCAGTCCTTCCGCGGGTTTAGAGTATCATCTGTGTATCTCATTACGTATTTTAATATCCGGCAGAGAATAACTCTACCGTTTTACTTCTTTATAATATTGGTATAGATTCCTAGTGTTCATATTACAGTGATGGATACCAATTCATATGATTTATAATAAAAAGATTAACTAAATGTGATAATAATGAACGATGTTCTTGTTTTCAGAAATTTTCAAACAAGTCTGACATGTGGAGTTTTGGTATTCTCCTCTGGGAAATCTATTCTTTCGGAAGGGTGCCGTACCCGAGAATTGTAAGTAATTATTAAATAGGAAACATATATTTATTTAGGATACAAAAAACATAAAAAATGTATTGTAACTCAGTCTGCTACGACGAAATTATCAGAATATACTGAATAATAGGTACTCAAAATAACACTGCAATTGAAATATTTAAGTATCTGTGCTGCATAATTCAAATAAATTTTTATATTTTATAATTATGATAAACAAGTTGAAGAACAAACTCATTAAAAGTAGTAAACAACATTTTAGTATATTAACCGTCTTTTGGACTAATAATATTAATAAGGATTTTATTATCTATGACCGCATTTTACATTGAGTTACTTATACACTCTTCATTTAGAAATTATACCTAATAATTGTTTGTGAGTTTGCTTTTTTCGTTAAATTTGGCAACGAAATATAGCATTTTCGAATTGCCTCCCTTAACGATCAAATAGTCCACTGCGGGGCGCGGGGCGTGCACCCCACGTCGTGAAAAAATTTAAGCAAATAGTAAGTATGAATGAGTGGAGGGTGAGCGGAGAACGCAGTATGTAACCGTGTGGTCGCGTGGCAGCCGCTGGCGGAGGTGGTGCGGCACGTGGAGCGCGGGTACCGCATGGAGGCGCCGGAGGGCTGCCCGGCGGGGCCCTACGACGTGATGCGCGCCGCCTGGCACGCCGACCCCGCGCTCAGACCCACCTTCGCGCACACGCGCCGCGCGCTCGCCGCCATCAGGGACGCCGCGCACTCACGGTACCACACCACGTCACCGTCACGCCTACACTCTCACATGTACAAAGGAACGTGAATAAGCTGCTGCCGTTACACGTACGCTCCTTCACGCGCGAATCGGCTTTCACGTAGAAATGAGTGTGTATGCGTTTGCATTGCTGCCACTACACGTACACTCTTTTTTGCACGAATCCACTTAACGTAGGATAGAGTGTGTAGGCGCTGCTGACGTTACACGTATGATCGTTCATGTGTGAATCGGCTTTCACGTAGGAAATAATTAGCTCGCGTGAGAAAGCCAGAGGGCGCAATCGTGTGTGATTGCATTTTACAATTTTTAATGATCACTCCTTCGGGCGTGACTCGTTCTCGTTCTCGTTCTCTATCTTACTAATAAAATCTCTCTCTAGACTAGTCCCCATCTCTTTAATATTTAAATTTTACAAAAACAGATATACTTTTTCGGCCTTATTACAAAAAGATAAACCTGGTTTAGCACTAGTAATAAACCATTCACCAATGTATTCCTTATTACAAAATGAAGTTTATCTCTAAATCGTGATTCGTCTATGGTCTAAAGTTAGACCTGCGATGCCCCTAGTTTAACAGTGGTCTAAATGCAAAAATACAAACTCCATTTTAAAAATTCTATTGTAAGTTGTAGTTTTTGGAAAAATAGTTTAACTAAATTAAAAATATATTAACTAAAAATATTTAAAGCTAATTTTACGACAATAAAAATATATAAAAGACGTTATTTGTTATTTTTTCACTCATTTGACTTTGAAATAGTCACCATTCGAACGATCCAATAAAAATATCTCGCCGTTCCTTTTCTCCGTATAGGACTCCTACTTGTAATTTAAAACTGATTTTCAGCCTAATAGTACAATAATAAATATTATATAATAATGAAATAGTTATAATGAAGACATAGATAAATAGAAATAAATTTATTTTTAGTTTATACATTTTTCTTTGAACTAATATTATTTTTGATCTTTTCAGTTTTCTGGTAAAATGGAACGTAATTGTACAAAAAACAGACATGAGTGACTGATTTCTGTATGGAATACATAATGAACGATTTAACTGTAGTACTAAGTAGTCCTCTGTTAGATCTGGATTCGTAATAATGTTAGGTTTATTCCAAGTATTAACTTTAGGAATGGTTTAAACCACGACCATTTAGACCACGTTTCGTCCGAGTTTTAACAGATTTTTTGTAATAAGACCGTTTAAGTTTTAAATTTTGTAAGTAATCATAATGATAGCAAGTGGTAACCGTCGCCTATATGCACAAACGCCACTACGAACATCAGCAGATGATAGAAAGATTTAAGTACATTCTTTTTTGTAAATACACGCAAAGAAAACTTCCAAACTTATACGAACCATTGTAGTCATGAATTAAATAATTGTAAACAAAACGATTGCATGGTGCGAGGAATCGAACCCGCGAACATCAGTACTGAAGCTGTATGTTAAACCGCTAGGCCAACTCGACCGTAATTTATTTGTTTATTGGGAAAACCTACCACATACTACATAACAAGGTGAATAAGAAATGGTTAGCCTATAATTTCATCATAATATATGTAATATGTATATTGCAAATGCAGCATGTTGTTTTGTTGGAAACAAAGTTAAAAAGAGGAAACGAATACTGTGTGTTTTCTAAAAATTGAATGGAAATTATAAAATCATCAGAACTCTAAGCTTAAACGTACGTACACGATTTCAATATATAATTAATTATGCGAATATTTTCTTCCAGTGAGCTTCATATGGCGGAATAGCAGCGGCCTGCGTAATATGTTAATATATTATAAGTTAATTAAGTGATGTGCTGTGAAGGTACTGTATTTTATATGTTACTCGAAATAAAATGTAAGTACTAAATTATTTTAATATCTTAAAGACACTCTCTCGCTTAAGTAATGTAGACTAATTAGTATGTAATATAGGTGTGTCAAGGGTGAATATATAGTGTGATGGTAGTAAAATACACGTGCTATTACAGGGCTTTTAGCTGTAAGTCCTCTTTTTAGGATTTCGACCCTGCAATAGTAGTTTCATATTCATTGTGTTAGGTTAATATATGAGAGGGATAATGTTTGAAGGTAGTTCAGACGCGAACAGGTCATCAAACAACGGTTTTCCCTCTTTGGCCACAGTGATAATAAGAGCTCATACATACATTATACCAGTGAGTAAGTTTAATTATGTAATAGCCGCCATACAAAAATACAAATTGAATTAATAGTTTAATTACATTACCTACAAAATGTGTATTTTCTCTATGAGGCTAGTTCTACAGGTTCTGCACAATGGAATTAAAATAAGAATAGGGCTGACTGTCCGTTAATTTTGATATCGCACGTACCGTCTTAGCTACAAAAAAACTATATAATTTTGTGGCTATATAGAGTTATACTAGTTACGTTTGTGGATAAAATATATTCAATATTTTTTTGTAGATAAAGGAAAGCTTTACTTTTCAAGTGACAGATCGACGTCATAGATATTCCTATTCTTGTTTTGGTTGCTTTGTCTTTTGATGTTGATGGCCTAGTTTACGAATTATTTTTAATATACTGTGAAGTTTCCACCCAATATGAACATTGGTCGTGTGTCGGTACTATGGTACTGTCTAGTCAAAGTAAAGTTTGTACGATAATTAGTTTTCACATTATTTACAACGGTAAGGTGACTGATAACATAGGAGTAAAAAAATTATATAATGTATTTATGTCAGTACGTAAGGATTTAAAACGTTTGTTTTTAATGCAAAACCCGCTAATAAAGTTTTAATAGAGTAACCATACAAATATATTCATGATCATGCGATATAGTGAATGGTGGGGACTTATTATGAATTTCTAAATAAATTTGTATCAATGTTTTTACGTTAATCGGACAATGTAAACAATGATCTAAAACATGGTATCTTTCCTGAACCTCTCTTTGGTATATAGGAAATAATTAATCTAACTTAGTATGATATTAATGTGAATTCAGTACATTAATATAAATTTATAGTAATAGGATAAATTAGCCATAGAATTTATTCCAGGTTGCAAATGCCAACTTTATGGTTGTGTGTAAATTATACTTTTCTTAATATTTACATCATAAATGTCGAAACTTATTTTACGTAATATAGTCCGATTGTAGTATTAACATCTGTCGTGGCATTTGAAATTTTCCGATACATTTTTATTTTAGTATGCTAATAATATGTGATGATGACAATGACAATGGATTGCATATATATAATATAAATAAATGGGCAGAATTTAACGGATTTGTTCATTCAAATAAACAATTAATTCATGATATTATTCAGATGAATTACTCCACATTAAAAGCCTTAAAAATATACTATGGTTATATATTTTTTTACTGAAATGAATGGATCAAAAATGATTGAAGTTTTAGGTTATGATTTTGAATCTCACTTTTGTGACAAAATGTATTATTAAAGTATAACAATGTAATTGGTTGCTAGTTTCAACATTAGCAATCAATATGAGATATAGGGGCTTGTCCACAGATTTTATATGAAAATTAATTAGATTATAAAATCCTAAATTGATAATATTTGAAATATTTACTTAGTCTATATTATTATTACGGTTAATGTTGTCTTAATGCGCTTAGAATTAAATAATGACTTTGAATATTATTTCATTTATGTTTTAAATTTACTATTTATGTGTACGGTTGCACTGTAACCTTTTATTTTACTGGAACAGATAAATTTAATTATGTAATATGTACCAGAAGCACAAGAGACAACATTACATTATTATGTTATTGAAAGCTTTGTACATCTTCGACTAAATAGATTTCTATTATCAATATTGTTTGTTGAAAACTTCTAATTGTATGAGATTAACATAAACAATTTAAATTAATTATCAAATAGGCACCTATTTGATATAAACCTTTGAAATTATTCAATTAGTTTGCAATTAGAAACTTTTCTACTGCCCAAATCGCCAATATATCTGTATTTTTTCGAAGAAATGTAATTACAAAATCATAATTATTATGAAGGAAGTATTTGTTCGTGTAATGTAATTTTATGCAATACTAGCTTTAAGTGTTAAATTGTTTTTTACGATTTATTTATGGTCAACCTGCAAGTGGTGGGAAATGAATCACTAAAAGATTCATTTCTTTTCTGCCAAAGTATGTTTAATGTTTTTTCACAAGTCTTCCTAGTTTCATGATATATGTAATAAATATAAACTTTGTGCTAGTCTCAAGGTTTCGATTTTTATTAAATAAGCGCACTGACTGATTTATTTGCAGTTGTATTATCTTCTTTGCATTATAAATAAGGAAATTAAAATCTCAGTTTTTGTTTATAACTATAAGTCTTTTATTCCTTCACTGTAAATATATGTAATTTTAAACTATGAAATGTATAAATAACAAAATATAAGTCTGCAACAATTATGTTTGTCTTTATTCATTCGTCTGTATCACTGCTACATATACACGTATCTGAATTGCAACTGCTTTCATAAATTCCTATAATATTCTCTGAAGATTTTATTTTCATCTTCTTCTGACTTAGTGGCGTTTTTGGTAACCAGATCTCTGTACTATTTTTGTTATTGTGCACACTATTTATTTTCTTGACTGTGGTGGGAGGAACACATTGTTTGGTTTGTGTTTCGCATCCCTTCGCGCTTTCGCAACTACTAGCTTGATCTGCATAAGTTGTCACCGATTTATCTATACTATTTGGTTTATGAGTATAGTCACATTCACATGAAATTTGGAAGTTCTTTTTGGTTCTATTTTTTTTATCACCATGTGTACTGGAATACGATGACTTTTCTCTTAGTGCTGTCGGCTTTTCATTTTTACTATAAATGAAATCTCCCGATTTTGACTGCACTATAGACATTTGACTATTATTGCATTCTTTTTTCAATGTGTTACAGCAATCTATAGATTTAGTTTTAATACTTTTCGTACTGCAGCTGCAGTTATAGTAGCAATGGCATAGTTTGTTACGCGCCACTGCGTGTCCACAATTACATTTTCTTTGTACAGATATGTCCACTTGTACTGCTGTTGATTCTATAGCGCGTGGGGTTGTAAACCAATTACACTCCCGTAAACAGGGATAAAAATAATGGATATCTGTTGTCGATGTCCAATTATCGTTGTGAAACTACAATTATAGAAATATATTTACTTGCAAATAAAATTATATCACATTATATACAGTTGTTTCACGTTTTGTAATGTACCTTTAGTAAAAACGGTGAAGTATTTATGTTATAATCTGATTTATAATATGACTTTAAAAACGGCTCTCCGTTGGCTCCTCGGCAGAATTGTTGAAATAGAGCAGGTGGTATCCTATGATAAGAAAAATTTGAATACATAGTACCATAGAAAAAGTATTTTATTATTTTTTCAATAATTAAATAACATCTATGAAAAAAATCTAATCTAAATCGTTATTAGATATGGTATCTAATAACGATTTAGATACCATTTTTTTTACAGGATTAGGGAAAAAAATGGTTTGGTTTTTTTATGCGTTGTGGCCCTTTGGCATTTAATCAGCGATATGTAGGTTGACAAAGGAATATAAAGTAACTTACGGGTTCGAGAAATTCTTAATAAACCACACTCCAGTATTTGTGGTACCGGAAAAATTACAGTACGGAGTAGGATTTTGCATAAAGGATGGACTTCTTTTATTCAATATAGGGATGAAGTAAAATTGAATAGATCCATCAGGGAATAATACAGAAGTTACTTCTCCTTCTCCAATTATTTCAGGGTATATTCCATACTGAGCTGTTAATATAAGAAAGTTCAGTTTCTATTTCCTACTAAATATATAGATTCTTGATCTACTACAGAAAATACTACTGAACCTGTGTCCTATTAACTATTTTTTTTATTTGTACATTGGGGGCGACTTTCCTAAGGTGAGCTATGTCGCCACTCGAATTCTATTTTTCCCTAATTAGCTGATTTTCGAGGTAAGGAGGAGGAACGTCACCACTTTCTTTCTAACAATTTAGAAATCTCCTCGGTCAATCCTTAACATCCTTATTGCGTATTATTACACCCTTACACGATTAGGAATGCGAAACCAAAAGACGCAACCCAGGTCCGAAAAAGGAGAATACTACTTCTTGCCTAGATCCACCCCTCAAACAAACATTAAAATAAATCACAAGGTACCAATTATTTGATTCTTTTTTCAGGTAAATACATGACAATTTAATGATTTGCAAAACTTGTACAATCCTCATAGACTTTCTTAGTTAATCATGATATGTGAGGTAAGACTTGTTATTTTTTTACGGTTTATTGCGCTCCAGTTTAAAAACTCCACATAATATGGAATTGTCCTTGAAAATCCTGTTTGTTGTAAAGAACATTTAATTATAAATAAATTATTTCTAACTTACACGGGCTATAAGAATAACACTGTCCACAATTAGGTCCACCATACCCGATAACACAGAAAGGCTGGTTGTATTGCATGGCTGGATTTTAGTTGACTTGCTTTTCTGTATTACATGTTAAATTAGTTATTTTTGATGGTATGTAAATATAAACTGACTATATACATACTTGTCCATTTTATGACATACTGTCAGCATGACAAATTTAGACATCAACAGTAACTAAGACATGTATTGGCTGTTTTAAAATAAAATCAAGTCAGACTATCGAAATCATCAAGAATTGCCCACAAAGAGGAAACGTCAGTGTTCAACTATCGAGTCCAGTTCCTATTACTAACACTACCCTCCTCTCCACATGTTAGTCGATATAACGATATCATTATATATACGACTACTTCGATAAAAATAAAACAGTAACGGTTTATAACATTTTATTTAATATTTACAGTACATCATAGAAAATAATATTTCATATCTTAACATCTAAATATTTACATAGTCATTACATAGGTATTGTTATTGTAGACATAAGGTACTAGGATAATACAAGATCATCAAAACATAATAAATCATACAATTAATACATTTTTTTTCTCTAGTAAAAGTAACTATGTAATTATTGTTTTAGATGTATTACATAATATTTTATAATTTTAATAAAGTTCCGAAATATAGTTAAAGCTAAAAACTATACATATGCGTAGGGTACTGGCACTAGTAGTCGGCCCCGCACCAGTACTCAGCCTTTTTCGGTTTAAAACCAATAGGAATAGCGCTATAACAGAAAATAACTAATCAAATTATTTTAAATAGCTTCTATGACTTCTCATTGCTAGAATTAAATCCAAACATAGTACCTACGTGGCTGCGAAGTACATTAAATATGAATCTATTTCGACGTCATCGGCTGACGAGGCGACATGCGGCGTGCGCGCCATTTTTTTATTAGTGAGAAGCGTTCACAGAAATAGTAATTTATTTCATTTTTTTGTTAATTTTAGGTCACACTGTATTAAAATTTACATTAATTAAGACTTTTGGCATTGTAATCAATGAAAAGTATCATGTTTTTCTTAAGAATTATTAAATAATGAAGTGGCCGACTACTGGGTCCCATTTTTATATACATTATCCAGTACTCAACCACCCCTGGCTGACTACTGGTTTTAACGCTGTTTGTCAAAAACCCAATAGTCGGCCACTTAAATAGTTAGAGTTTGTTACATGGCTGAGTACTGGTGACAGTAGATCCAGTGTTCAACCGTCCATATTTAAATTGCTTTTTATATAGTTTTTTATACAAAAAAATAAAAAAAGCAGCTCTAGATTCTACCAAAAGTAAAGTGAAGGAGACTACAAAGAAGAAAAATTATGATTATGATAAGGAATTGAGCGTAAAATGCACAAAGACAGGCTGTGATTTAGTGGAAATCAAAACAAAATAAAATTAAAATTCTCAGTAATATACTTCTATATCCTGAAACTCCTGACACAGAAACCTGTAAGGAAGATAAGCTCCTAAAAAAATTGTTAATCGGCGACTTTTAGAAAGAAGAAGAAGAACTTGAAATCTTTTTAAATACTGATGTTACTAAAGAAGTTTCCGACTGATTTAAATATAAGTTAGATAGGTATTTGATTGTTGTGATTGTTAGGGCACTTTTAGGTTCTATGACCGGACTAATTGTTTATTAATGTTCTTAATCTTTAAGCTTGAAACTATTGATCTTAAGAGAGGCTGACCACTGGTGGCAATATGGCTGAGTACTAGTTTTTGGCGGCTGAGCACTGGTGAAAAGTGCCTTATTTTGTTAAAAAGTATTTTTCACTTTATTAAAGGATAAATTTGTAATTTTTGTTAATTTTGTAACAAAGTTTAATAAATGAGTAAGTTAAATTATACAAAAGACTTTCAATTTACTCTTTCTAATATTTTCTTATATAAGTTTGAACCCAGACTTACCACTAAAAGGCTGACTACTGGTGCCAGTACCCTATTTAACTTGTTTACAGATTTTCTTAAAGGCTCGGATATTTTTTTTATATGAATTAGTAACTATAATATGTACATTATATAGTAAGTTTCAAAACTGATTATTTACGTATGATAACAATATGTATTGTCTTATGGAATTACTGAATTAAAAAATATGAAATGATATGAAATAAAACAATATTGTATATACTAAAAATCACGATCTAAGCATCAGCTGAATACAGCATTCCTAATATGGAAATTCACAATGTATTCCGAATTTGTTCTTTGTACGCTGATGGCGAAGGGATCCGTTGGATGGAAAGTAAAGGCGACTAGTCGCCGTGCACTGGCTGGCACCGACTGACCCAGTACACCAGCGTAGATCTTAAATTTTAATAGGCCAGAGTCTCGAGCGTAAAACCTGTGAAAATTGCAGTAAAAAAGTTTAACACGTAATTGACAAAACTATAAGCTCAAATACTGTATTGTAAATTATTTTTCATCTATGAATATGAAATTGTCCACCCGCTTATAATGCATCAGTCCAGCACATAATGTTACGTATGCGCATGCGTAACATTATATGCTGGAGTGGCATCAGTCGACAATAATAGGAAAAGCATGAAATCAAGTCCTCCGCCATATTTTCCGGAGTCCTTCGCGAAATAGCAAAATAGAAAAAACATATTGCTACTTATAATCTCCATTACCCCACAACTATAATTCCTTAATATAAGTTAATATAAATGTGAGAAATGACATACCTAATGGGGTATTCCCCATAAGCTTTAGGCCTTTCCATTACAGATACCCATTTGTCATCATAACTGAAAAGACCCAAGTCCAAATATGGTGATCCGCTGTATGACTGTGCGCTAATAGGCAACTGTGCTAATATTCGTTTCGTTGCTTCCGTGCGACCGCCATAAATAGCTCTCACTATGGTTTGCTTGAATCTCTGTTGTGTCAATCTTGCATATAAGTTATTAGAAGGTGAACATGTAAACTGTGAGTCTGCACACAGTCTAGCATTTCTAAAACAATCGCAATAATTCTCAAATAATTGTAACAATCCCTCAGAAGTGTTTTCATAGACTTCTAATATTTTGCTTTCACTTATATTGTAAATTACAAAAAATGATGACTGACTATTTGGCTCGGCAACTCTCAGTGTCACTACTTCTTCACTGGCATATTTTATAAATAAGTGGTCTTCATCCAGTAACTGCATCTTCCACATTCTGAGACTCCGAAACATGTCAAAATATTTATAAAACTTCCTCAATTCAAGGGGGTCGCCTGTTTCATCACTAATGGTCTTAGCTCTCTTAAATAGAAAAACCAAAAGTCTATGTTTCAAACTATTTATTGTCTCTTCATGAAACGGTCTCTCGTTCAGAAGAGGCGCATACACTGAGCTTACAATAAATGGGTCGTCGTCATAGCAGAATCTTCCGATTTTTCTTATTTCTATTAACATTCCTTCAACAATTTGAAATAGATGTATTGTTTGGTGTTGTACAGACAGCACGGCTAACACTTCTTTGTATAAGTATATACCTTGATTATGAGATAGATAGATTTTATCGATTCGAAAATGTTTTGTATCGCACAACTTTCCGTGATGTAAGTCTACTAAATGAAGAGAATAGTCTTCCAATGCGGACCTGAAAAATGAATGATTATTAATGTTATTAAAATTCCTTAGTTTTCGTATAACGCATTTTTGGATAAGATAGAAATGATTATATGATTCGACTAGTCAAGCTCAAGAAAAAGATCATAGTAGAGACCTATTAATTTCACATAATTTCATAAGACATCATAAATTACTTATTTATTTTTTACTGAATTTCTGTGATAAGATAATAAAATGTTACAAAAGTACAGTAATATTATATGTAGTAATACCTTTTTAAGAATATAAAATGGTAAAAATACCTCATTGTAGGTGTGACAGCTTCATTGTTGCTGTGTATATGATAAAAATGTGGTCTTAGGTCGTCAGGTATGTGAGCAGCCGAGCCCACTATCACATAACGACCATCTTCAGTGAACAGACTGCACTCTCGATTTAATTGTTGCTCCATGAATGGTACCTGGTTTGCATTTCGTTCCTCTCTTGGAATCTCTCTTTGTTGACATACATTGACTGTAAATTTGGGCTGTGGGGATAGATAATAATAATAACTCAGTGAAGAAATAAAATAAAACAATGTTAGTAATTGAGGAAAATACAGACAAGCAGAAGATAACCTGTGGAATGCAAACAAAATATGTCAGACAACATAAATTGTTTCGGATTAGCCTTGTAGTAACTTAACTCTAGACAATGAAATAAAGAGCTCATTTTTTAATAATGTTATAATTTGTTTAAAAGATTAACAAATCTATATTCAGATAGATCTGCCGTCAAGAAATATAACTCAAATATTAGTTTATATTTCTATAACTCATTTATTAGTTTCTAGTTCTATATAACTGTAACTTGAATATTTTTTTTTATCCTGCAATCGGCTTACCAAGCCTTTAACAGATTGGTTGTGGGACTGTTGACGGGAGAGAACTATACCTCCAGTGAGGAAACTATCTCATCGGTGAATGAGATCCCATGCATGGAGTCTCTTAAGCCTTCTGCATTGCACTGGGTCTCGTAGTGCTTTTGCAGGGATATTGGTATGCGCCCCAATACGATCTCTGTATACTCTTGTTCTGTGCTCTATTTCTTCTCTGATTGTTCTCATGTTTATAATGAATAGAGGTGCAGCAGTTATGGTTTTGAGTGCTTTATTCTGAAACCGTTGCAAAATCTCTATGTTGGAATTCTTTGCTGATCCCCATAACTCGATGCCGTATGTCCAGTTTGGCTTTATTATGGTTTTATAAATGAGTATCTTGTTTTCCATGGTTACATGTGATCCTCTGCCCGTCAGCCAGTTCAGGTTTCTAAACCGTGCATTCAATTCATCGCATTTTTTTTGCATGTGTATTTTCTACGTTTGCTTCCTATCAAGATGCATGCCCAAATATTTTGCCGAGTCTTGATGGGGTAAAATGTCATCTCCAAGTTTAATCGGTGGGCAGTTGTCTTTTCTCAGGGTAAAGGTGACATGTACTGATTTGCTGGAGCTCACTTTAATGCGCCATTTTTCCATCCATTCATGTACTTTATTCAGGTGACTCTGTAAAACCATGGACGCAATGTTCGGATTTTCATTGTTGCAAAGTGCGGCAGTGTCATCGGCAAACGTAGCATATAATAATTATCCGATGTTGGTATGTCTGCAGTGTACATAAGATACAGAGTGGTACTCCGGCTTTTATATCTTGAAAGGTAGAGTAGGTGTCATTGATTTTGACTCTAAACAATCAGTCCTTTAAATAAGATTTTAAAAGTATGTAAAAGTTATGTGGAAGGTGTTTCTTCAGTTTGAATAGCAGTGCCGGGTGCCAAATCTTGTCAAATGCCTGTTGTACGTCAAGAAAAATAGCAGAGCAGTATTGTTTCTTCTCTAGAGCTTCTCTTATTTTGTTGACAACTCTATTGACTTGTTCAATTGTTGAATGGCCAACTCTGAATCCAAACTGATGTTGAGGGATAATTTCTTTTTCATTTAATACCTGTTAGCCTTCGTAAAAATATCTTCTCAAATAATTTCGATAAGGTTGGAAGTAGGCTTATTGGTCTGTACGAAGACACAAGGTGTGGAGGTTTGCCAGGCTTGGGAATCATGACTATCTCTGAAACATTCCATGGCTTTGGCACATGTCCAATCCTAATTATACTATTGAAGAGTTGTGTTATACCAACTTACCTTTTTTAGGAAGCTGTTGGAGAACTTCAGCTGTAATCAGGCAGAAGCCAGGGGCTTCCAAGTTTTTGATTTCTCTTTGGACTTCTCGTGGAGAGCAGCTTTTAATTGGAAGAGATAATTGGGAGTCAGCCCTAAAATAGTCAAGTATCTCTTTTTCGGCTTCTTCATCACCGCCATTTGGAGTAAAGACCTCATTTAGGAACTGTCCGAACGTTGTTTGTCAGTTCTAGCCCAAGTATTATTCCTAGTTTTGATGGGGTGTTGTGAAACCTGTGGAGCCATTTTGCTACTTTTAACCATTTTCCAGAGTGAGTATTCGTTTTTAGCTTGGGGATTCAGGTTAGCCAATTTATTCTGTAGGGTCTCTTCCTCAATCTTTTTAAGGTATTTTTTTAGGTCTGCAGCTGTTTATTAAACGCCCTTTTGTCTTGGTTATGTCGACTACAATGCCACACCCTTCTAAGTCGTCTTTTTTCCAGGATTTTATATTTTATATCCCTGGGTATATTCTTACTACCATGTTCTAATGTGGTAGCTGGTGTGCTTTTCCATGCTGCTATTTGTATTAGGTTTGTTAATGTCATTGCGTAACCCTCTATGTCATCTTCCGTTTTATGTGGTACTTTCATGTCGAGGTTTTCGTTTAGGTAGTCTCTGAATGCCTTCCAATCATTTCTTTTAGTGTAGAGACGCTCCTTAACTGGTCTTTCAATAATGGTGGTACTTATTGTGGCAATTACAGGCGTGTGATCTGAGCTACTGACAAGACAGCTCTCCACCTTTAAATAGTTGTTTGACAATCCTTTATACACAAAGAAGTCCAGAAGATCGGGTATTTTTTGTGGGTCTGTTGGCCAGTATGTGGGTTCACCTATGCTTAGTACATGTAGGTTATTTTTATCTATACTTTTTTTCATTTCGCGGCCCCTAGGTACGGTCAGTCGTGATCCCCAGTGAACGTTATTGGCGTTCCAATCGCCTCCACATAAAAACCTATCTCCAAGAGTTTTGAAGTAGTTAGTTAATGCTTCTTCTTTTAATTTATGTTTTGGTGGACAGTATACAGCTGATATAGCCATAGATCCTCTTTTATCCTGTAGCATTATTGTAGTTGCTTGTATTGGTTCCGTTTTATACTCCTGAAGGATATTGTGCTTGATGTGCTTCTTAATAATTATGGCTGTACCCGCATGAGCTGTTCCATTGTGGTGGGATGTTGAATATATGCTATAATTTTTTAACCTTAGGTTGTGATTTGGTATTAAGCGTGCTTCAGATACAAGGAGTATATCAACATTGTCGTATTCCAATAGAGTTTCCACATCATACTTATGTGTGACCAGCCCGTTTGTGTTCCAGGTTACTAATTTCAGAGTAACTATCTCAATGAACAAGTTTGTTGATAACTGTTGTGAGAACTTGCATAAATAATAATAATAATAAAAATAGCTGGACAATTAACATAGTGCCAACAAGTCCCACGGTAAGCAGAGCTTGTGTTACTGATATAAATACTTGAATATTTTTTTGTAAATACATAGTATACATATACATATAAAACAGCCAAATTGTTAAAACAATCATACATATGAATACAAGTGTTTGCACCATGCGAGGAATCAAACTCACAACCATTGGAAGTAAAGTGGTGTTCTAAACTGCTAGACCACAGAGGTTGTCATTACATAATTATAAAATTTAATTTGTTCCATACTACAACCAGTAATAAGGCAAGGCATTACTGCATAAATGGTTGTAGTTTTACCAAATACCATTTAGTATCAAGGATGAAAGCAAGTATTATTTTCAGTGTTTATATTTACACACATATTGATGTTAATTGGCAGTAATCAGATATAACAGATCTTACCTTGAAAAATCTATAAAAAATATGTGTTCTTATTGTGTAATGTATTTCAGCATCTGCATTAAGTAAATCTGAGGGGTACCTCGCTACTAGATCTCCTGCAGCTGCTGCCCCTCTGTATTCATATATCTGGAACAATGTCACTCCAATTTTATGAGGTGTTAATTATATGTATGTATATTACTATAAAATATTACTTCATAAGTTTATGCAAAAAATTGACTAATTAAAACATAAATAATTTGAATTATGGATCTTTGTTATGTGCTTGAAAACTAGTGATAAATAGTACAGATTACATAAAACATATGCATAAAAAAATATGCATTTTACATTATCAAAAACAAAAAAAAAATTGTATGGACTATATATCACTAAGATGTATTTGTAATGAATAAGAGCTTACCTCTAAAGAAGTTTGATCTGCTGAAAATGCTATAAAGTGTTTTCCATCTGGACTAAATTTCCTTAGAAAACATGGTGGTTTTTCAACATTCACTATAGTTAAATTAGGGAAAACATTTTGATAAAATTCCCGAACTACATGAAAGTGGGAACCTGGTTTTCGTGAGCCATAAATCTCTCTCTCCATCAACCGAACAACTAAATTCTGGGGTTTTATCTTTCTTGGAACTATACGTTCTGTGCATATGAATTCATCTTCATTCAGAGTACCAGGAGGAATGTCCTCATAATATACATTGCTCTGTCTACTAGTTGATGCCATTCCTCTTTATTACAAATTCTCTATTTCTCAAGCACTAAGTTTTAATAATGGAACTACTTTGTTTTTACATAATAACACATTATTCAAACCAATCTTGCAGACCTGAAAAAGAAAACAATTATACATATTACATCATATTGCTTGATCATATTTAACATGCCTTTGTCATATTATTTGTAGTTGGCATAATAAATAAATATGTAAGAAAGTAATTTGTTGTTTAACAGATAATAAATAAATGTTGCATTGTATACTGAAAGTAAATAAATAAGTAACAACAATTCACATAAAAATCTAAATCACTCATATTATCAAGGATAGATGGGAAACAAAGTAGTCCATAATTACTATTATTATTTCTGCCTGTTCCTGTATGAATCTACCATCATTATCTCTATGAAACCTATGAAGATAGCTTTTACTACTTACGAGTTGGAAAGAGACCACAAGGCACAGACCGCCACCGCAGCTCATGTTCCATGGTATTAATGTAATCTCGTACCAAAAACTAACACTATCCTTACAGTTTTATTACCCTGTATTTTAATTAAGAGGCATGTTTTTTTACCTGAAAGTCTAATCTTGAAAGCTCGACTTTGTAGTCGAGTAAAACTTAATCATGATTGTTGATTTTAATTACACAAACAGACATTTTTTCTAGCATATTTTAAATGCTAGTTTTTCGTTTTTCTATTCAATGAACTAGTAGAGAATAAATATTTAAAAGTGCGGTCAATATATTAAAAATGTAAATAAACTTAAAATAAAAAAAATGACAATCACAGACTAACTACACCTATTTGTTACCTAGAGAACTGGGTAGTAGTAGTAGTGGTATATTTTATCCACAAGTGGATAGGCAAAGGTATACAGCCTAATCTTCAGTAGTATTTCCATAGAGAACTGGGTTGTCTACAGCACAGATTGCAATAAGGACAAATTTGGAATGTCAATCATTGTCCAAAATATAAGCAGTGAAAGAGAAGCAAAACGTCAAATTCAAAAAAATTTTGAAATTTCTTCAGTTTATTCACTGAAGTAAATTCAATCTATTCCTTTATATTATTGCTATTATAACAGCAGTTTTTAGGTATTCTACTATAATAGAATTACTAAAATGTATTTAGTAAAAATCGCATATTAAATAGATTCTCCCGTTTGGTTAAAGATATTCTCTTACCATGGATGAACCTTTAGTACGTTATGAGAAAATTGACTTTCTAGGAGAAGGCCAGGTGAGTAATCGGAAATAGTATTCATAACACTATATAACCTCATTTGTTCTCATAGTGATATTTCTCTTGTTTTTGGTGGGCCTGGTCAATGTGCTCCCTCTAATATAGTTGAGTGCAATGATGGCTAGCTCATCCGTCATATTCGTGAACGGGTGCTACTTATGGCCACTGTTTAGATTATTTCCTTTTGACAAAAATGCAATAGCATGATGGTGATCACAATATTCTCCCTAATTAAATTTAAAAATGAACCTCTGTTATTGTTATTATGTACAAGTTCATTTAAAAAGAGTTTCCTGTCAGTTTTAGACTTACATGAATAAAGATATTTGTATTTGATTTCATTTCTTGAATTTCTATATTTATGATTGAATTTATGTAGTTTATTTCTGGAAACAAGCATAATCTATCATGATGTTAAAAAAAATGCTCAAAGTGATTATTCCGGTTGTGTATGGGAGTGTATGTCTGATATGGCAAATCTGAATGTGTAAGTTTCCATCTTACACCAAAGAGTATGTTATAACTTTTATTTTATACTCCCTTTTCCAATCAAAATCCGTTCAGTAGTTTTTGCATGAAAGAGTAACAAACATCCATACTCACAAACTTTCACGTTTATAATATTAATAAGATTGCAAAAGTATTCTCTGCAAGAAGTAATGAGTATTCTCAATGTATGTTCGTCTTATTTCAGTTTGCCACCGTATACAAAGCCAGAGATGTCAAAACTGACAAAATAGTAGCTGTGAAAAAAATAAAAATAGGCTCACGGTTAGAAGCTCAGGATGGCATCAACAGGACGGCACTCAGGGAGATAAAATTGTTACAGGAACTGCAACATATAAACTTAATAGGACTTTTAGGTGCTCATATATCTTTTATTACTTAAATTATTTAAGTCAGTGAAGTTTCTAGATGGGATTGTTGTCAACTAATATTTTACCTCTAGTACTACTTAGCACAATTTTGTTAAAACACTATATATATATATACTAAAAAAACATACCAATTAATTTAATTACATCATAAATCAGTCATATCATTACAGGATGAAAATTATTTTTCTCTTTAAGATTTCCTTATACTGAAAACATTAAACATTAATTAACGTCACAAATTCAAAGTTGAATGATTGCTTTTATATATTACAGATGTATTTGGACAGAAATCAAATGTCTCCTTGGTGTTTGATTTTATGGACACCGATTTAGAAATAATAGTTAAGGATAATAACATTGTACTTACACCTGCAAATGTTAAAGCATACATGATTATGACATTAAAAGGTAAGTTTAATTATTATTACATTTACTTAATCCAGATTTATTGACTGGAGTAAAAAGGAGTTACATTTCCTATATATCATAATAAATTTAAATTACAGGTTTGGAATATTTACACCAAAATTGGATATTACATAGAGATCTAAAACCTAATAATTTACTTATAAATAGAGATGGTATTTTGAAAATTGGAGACTTTGGGCTTGCTAAGGCATTTGGGTCTCCTACTAGAATAAACACACATCAAGTTGTGACAAGGTGGTATAGGTAAGATGACCTCTCACATTATATATTCAATTTATTTGTACTGAAATATAAAACTAATAAATACATCAACAAGATAATCAATTGACTCATTCTATTGGAGGTATGATGTCCTACATATGTTTTGTCTAGTACACATGTGTTCTAGACTGCAGTAAAAATATAATACTTAGATACTCTTTAATTTAATGTATCACTAACTCTCTGATGGTGGCAAATAATTTAGAATAATTAATTAATCTGAAAAAGATTTGGGTAAAAGTTTTGCTTGCTGACAATAAAAAACTCAATTGTGGCAAAATGTAACATTACATTCACTAGAATATTAGAATGTTTTTTCGCTACCTACCTGGGAATAGTTTGAGCATATTAGAAGCTATATATTGCTATTATAATTTATTAAATCTTAGAAGTATTATTGTTATTAAAACAACATATTATTACAAATATATAATGTATTACATATCTAAGGTAGGCAGAGAGAAATGGTGCCATAAACCATTGTTTTGTTATATTCACCCTCCTTCTTTCTCTTCACTCACTCCTGTTACATATTACCTAAATAAATTTACATAAATCTTCTCATGATCAAATTAATATGGTACTGTCTCAGTGAGAAGTCCAGTTTCTTTAACTAGTCCATAAAATATATACTGAATAAATAACTTCAGGTCACCAGAGTTATTATTTGGAGCACGTCAATATGGTACAGGAGTGGATATGTGGGCTATTGGTTGTATATTAGCTGAACTACTGCTAAGAGTGCCATTCTTACCTGGAGAATCAGATTTGGACCAACTTACGCGTATTTTTCAAGTATTTGGAACACCCACTGAAGAAATTTGGCCGGTAAGATAATGTCTGTAAACTTTAATGTTAATTTGTATCCTCTTAGGTATATGTATACGATGTAAGTAACATTAACCACTTTTATTGTAGCAATCCTTCTGTACTTGTGGCTCATACCTCGTGACATCTGCATTTTATTTTCAGGTTTTGTGTTTTAATTCCATCGTCTGCTGTGGTAAATACTTCTATTTAAGAATATTGCAGTCCATTTATTGAGCCATTTTTCAATTTAATTTATTTCTCAATTTCCAAAATAAAATATATTGCGTGTGACAAGGCACACATGGGCGTGTGGTATTCGGAATAATTATAATACAATAAATTAACATTTTTGTTTCTGAACACAATTGCATTAAAGTAAACAATAACTGTTACAAAGCTTGGTATGATATATCAGTGAAAACCATATTGACATCAATCAAGGCTAGGCTTGTTTTTTAATAATTTATGTTCACACAGTTAGTTTTTAGATCATTATAAATATATTGATTGTAAGGTATTCTGGTATTGAACATGGTATTTTAATTGTTACCAATACGTCAATTCTCCAAGCAATAAAAATTTTATGAAACAATTCATTTTTATTCATCAGGGTATGAAGTGCTTGACAGACTATGTACAGTTCAAACCGTTCCCGCCACAACAGCTGAGACATATATTCAGTGCGGCATCTGACGACTTGATACAACTGCTCGAAAGTCTCCTATCCATCTATCCACCCAAGAGGTGCGATTGTACACAGGCCCTGCAGATGCCTTATTTTAGGTACACATCTTTACTTTTTTATAGGCTGCATTGGCATACATTGCAATGCCATAAATTAAGTGTTTTATTCTAATAACAATAGTTTGGTTGAATAATATTATATTACTTTTTATGTGTCCTCAAATAACAAATATTCATTTTTTATTTATATCGATATAATATTTTAATACATAATTATATATTAAATATTACATATTAAAACTTTCATAATTTGTTTAAATAGTAGGTGTATTTCAGTTTATAATTATTGGTATAAAAATTATGCGATTTTTTCTGTGAATATCATCCATATGTATTGTGGTATCGCCTATATAATTAATTATTTTTACAGTAATAAACCAGCTCCTACAGTTGGTCCAAAACTTCCTATGCCATCCAGTATATCCAAATTAGAAATTGACAAACCGTCACTTAAGAGGAAAATTTTAGAAAACCTGGATGGCGGTTCAAGAGCCAAAAGACTGCAGTTCTAAATATTGTCAGATTATGTTCAAACACTGCCACTATCTAGTAACAATATTAAGTGCAATTGTGAAGATAATCAAGTATCTATATGTAAAAGATCAATTAAGATAATGAAGTTTACTAGGATGTAATGTATGATAATTTTATTCCGTTTAATAATATCTCTCTAGTGAATAAAGCAGGACTTTAATATTCCGAAATTTTTTATAAATTAAAAAACACCCTATTTTTATATAAATAAAAAAAACCTCTAATTTCTTTAGTTTTACTGATAAATAGGAACCTATAATCCCAGACATCTGAATAAGGGTCATATTACTTATTAAATAGAAAACTTAAAATGGTTTTACGGAATTACATTGAGAACTCGTCTGCGTGGGTATCTCAGTGGGTAGACTGAGAAGCAAGCTAAGCAGCTTGTTTTGTAAAATGCCTTTCGGTTGAAGGGTGAGACAAGACAGTGTAATTACAGGAAACAGGTCATCACATCTTAGTTCTCCGGAATGCCGACGCATGACTGGTATTGGGTCACATGATAAGGCGATGTCCAAAATGCTATTCATATAACATGCCGACAACCAATTGGTATCAGAGAAACATAAAAAAGGTATGACAGTATATATATATAAAAAAATACAATTTCGATATATGTACACAAGTATTCGTGATCACCATGTATGATTATTAAAATGCTTATGGAGTGAACTAAAAAAATGAAATCACATCTAGTACCTCTTGTTTTATAAATACCTACTAATATATTGTTGTGATTATCACTGAAATATTAAATGATATTTCAACGGTTTTAACGGGCAAATGAGGTTTAAAGTGTCTATAAGAAAAATAAATAGTGCAAAGTATTAATATATTATCTCAGTTTTACTTATTTTTTTATACACCGGAATTTACATAATCCTAGTTAAATGTTGTTAATAATATTAATATTAGGAAATATCAATAAAAATAAAATTAACATTAATTAATTAATTAAAATAGCACAAGTTTAGGAAGCGAATATAATGTAAAAATATAATCTGTGGGTACTAATAGTAGGTATAAAGACCAGATTGTGAATGATTATTGGAATTAAATTATACACTCAATCGTACATAGTTTCTGAAAAGCACAGTATAATGAACACATTGACGGCACTGGGATAAGTCGTATAATACATAATAATTGACGTTCAGTCACTTGGAAACAGGTACAGCTGTTACGAACCTGAAAATAATTTTATCAAAATAAGATATTTCCGGCAATATGCTCCACTAAAAATAAATCTACAAAAAAATTTAATAAAATGTATGACAAGTAAGAATAAAACCTACCGATTTCTGTAATATTAGGGAAGCCGAAACCTGAGTAAAAATTACTGAATTATAACGTAAACAAAGTAAAGGGCAAAATGTTACCAAACAATACATTCATCCACAATCGTTAGTGATGTTTACGGTGTTATTACTGTAATAATAATATATAAAATTATCGTGTCATTTTCTCTCAACAAATTGTTACCAAAGTCCTTCGAAACGGCTTTACTGATTTTTATGAAATTTTGTGTGCATATCTGGTAGGTCTGAGAATCGGCCAACATCTATTTTCATACTCCTCAATGGTAACCATCCTTAAATATATTCTTATGATTCGGCATTAAAGATACATATAAGCCTATATTTTCATCTTTCTGATGCTAGAAAGATGAAAATGTTTTTAATATTGATTTTAATTTATACGGTAAAACACAGTTTGCGGGGTCAGTTAGTTTAACAATATAATATTTTCTAAACTGTCAAATGATGGAAGACGGACGGACGGAATCAAATGATGAATAGACGTCTAGAAATTTCGCATTAAAAAAGAAATTACGAATTCATCTTCCATAAGGTGTAGGCCATGCGAACGAGATGCGTTTTAGTGGTTCCGTCAGTGACGTCCAGTTCCGCGACCGGCCGTTCATAGATAAGCGCATCTCGACATTGCACACGCAGTCCTGACAAATATTACAAATTTATATAGAATATTCTGTTTAAAGTATGTATAAATTACAAGCGCGCTTATAAAATAGTACCACTTACCATTATCTAAATAGTCTCCAAAGTTGTTCTGTTTACGCTTGTCATATTTTTCCCTTATCTTTATGACGGTCTGTACATAAAATTTAATCTGTCCCTGATCATTTCTTACATCTAATTTTTCCATGTTTCTTATATTATTTTTTCAAACTGCTTTACACTTTCTGCAGACAGACACAATATTTCAAGTTAATATTAATTTATATAATTATAACGTTCAGGGTGCCAATTCATATTTAAGTTTAAAATTAAATTTATGTAAAATATTGTGTATGACTGTATGAAGTGGCCTTGAGAACTTTTGGAGAAAATAGATCAATAGTTGCCTTTACATGTACGCTCTTTCACACGCGAATATGCTTTCACGCAGGAAAGAATGCGCCGCCAACTTGCATATTCCGACGTTTTTCAATCGTGCGTGCATTAGCGCTTTTTGTAATAACTAATTATTGTTGCAAAATGCTTGACCACCGACTATGGAGCAAAAACATTATTATAAAGTTATTGATTGATATCTTTAACGTGTTATTGGAAAATAAAATTTGTAAAGTGCAAACGCACGAAAGAGCGAATAAAAAAGTAGTACATTACAATCCCTCGCGCGAGATGGCTTTCCTGCGATAAATCAGGCGCGTTTCTGATCGCGCGGAATGAATATATCGGATAAAGGCAGCTATTGTCTGAAATATAATATAGTTACAAATATCTATCTAGGCACTAAGCGCGACTCCAGTATCCTGACCAGTACAAATAATAGCTATAATAATACACAGTATGTGTTTTTGCAGAGTGAGAATTCATAGCAATTCAGAACATAGGTATTACACGTATTACGACTATTCTACTTAGGTCCAATTACTTAAGGAACACTTATTTTATTTTCAAAATGATTACCTTGGGAGAGCTAGAGACAATAGAGAGGCGCCCGTAAACCCCATATTTTCGCTCATCTTCTGGTCTTAGTGTACCCATTTTTTTCATGACTAGATAAATCTGTAATAGACATTATCATTGTAAATAGTAACTGGCAATCGATGTATGTGTTTTTTTTGCATATTATATCATCATTCATTTCTTTTACTTTAATACCTAGTTTACTGTTCGAATATGTCTTAATCACACATCATCAAGGCGTCACATCAAAATAACAATAAAATCCAATATTAACAGAGTCTAAAAATCTTCTAATTGCGTTCAGAATTAAGGACGATGAAGTCGTAACAATTTAAAAGTATTTATTTCTGTATTCATTCAAAGATTGATTCAAACACATACCACATAGACATTGCCGTTGATAAAATATGTGTACCTTTTATTTTTTACAAGAGGGTATCCGTCATGGAGATCCGCACGCCCCAGGGGAGGACTGCGTATACTGCCGTACTCCTACCGGCTAAAACCCCTTGGTATCCTCCGCTCGCTACTAGCGCCGGGGTTACGGGATCAACATTGCAGTCCACCGTGACCCCGGCAGCGCAGGCTCTGCAGCCCACTCCGTGAGAGGCGCACGCGGACACCACGTGCGCCTACTCCTAGCCTCATCTTCCTTAATGTTACGTTGCCGTTTACCCTGCCACTCGCGCTGCCGGAAATATTGCCGGGCGACAACTGAGCGAGAGGGCTGAATGTAAACACACGCTGCCAGTCCTTTGACTCGCGCACAAAAAACCAACAATCGAGGGAGCGCCTGGCAGCGCGATTGGCACATCCCTGCCCACTCGGGCTGAGTGTAAATTAGCCTTTGGTAACGGCAGACGCCGCATGTGTACCTGTTCCAACATGCCGTAACTTCTTATAAGAAAATCTCGCTGCGCCAGCAAGTTAACTCGTTCCCGCTCTTCCTTCTCAACTATTGGGTCTGGTTCGTACGAAGACAATACATACGCAGCTTTCGTTTCTTTCTCTGGCGACTGTAAATAAGATAGTATAACAACAAATAAAATAATATGTATAACAGTTTGATTTATAAATTAGATATAGTTTTTTAATATGGAATGTTCTTGAATAACATAATGAGCATTTAGTATTATTAATACTTTTACAATTATTAAAAGTTAGTCAGATCGTTTGTTTAATTGTCAGTCACTTAGGACGTTATCAGGTTCAAAATTGCTATTACAAATTATTAAAAATGTTATTGTTTTGTTGCCAGAAAGACAAGCTAAATATAAATGATTAATAATAATAATTAACTTATACTTGGAATAATTTATAGTTTAAATAATTCTCACGTTCTTCAGTATAGATGAGAGTTTGGTTGTCAATTTCTTATCCTTCTCGTCTTTCTCCTTGTCCTTACGTTTTGGTTCCTTGTCACACCGCGTCTTGGCTTTAGTTAATTTATCTGTTACAGTAGCAGTAGTCACAGTGCCACCCGTTGTGGTGCCCGTGTCTTCACCAAGCTTCTTCTCATCTTTCAACTGTTTGGATTGGGTAGGTTTCTTCAAAGCCTCAGCTTTCGCTTTCGTTTGCTATATAGACAATGCATAAAAACTGGAATATCTGGAACTACTGCATATTTCATTTTAGTATTTACAGAGTATTACAACAGGAGAAACATACGCTACATATATTATTCAGTCTATGCAAGGCAGAAACAGGATGCTAATACTGTACATTTTATTTACCATATTTAGAGCTTGACATTGTGCGCTGTAGTGCTGAGTTCGCACGTGTATGTGAGAGATATACGGAATAAATAAATAACTATTTTTAATCACATCCAGAACTTTAATTCAGCGTAATTTTTGCTGGAACTGGATGTTTTAAATAGATTGACCTATTAATATGTATAACTAGTTTTGTTTCGCTAACTTGAAACTCCTCTCGTTGAATACGAGTACAGTCCCCGCGTGCACGCGAGGATGCCGTGCCGGTGTACAGAGAGCCCGACGGCTGTTGAAACAGTGACGCGTACTTCTCGCCCACTGGGTACACACGTCTGTAAGTTAAATTGGCGAAATATAAGGCCAACAAGAAAATGAGGAATATAAAAATATATTTTATTTTTTTATACTCAAAGACTGACCAACATTAAGCACATTGTATCAATTTATATTGTTAACAGACTATCCATAGATAAAAATTACAAAATAATCAGCGGTAGGTTAACACATGGGGTTAAATATATGCAGCGGAGTTGAATTCATCATAATGTGGACAAGTGATATCTTCTAAGAATTGTAATAATCTAAAATTACATGGCGGAGAGATTGTTAGTAACGGGGTATTAGTGAGTGATTCCCTTACTAACAATGTACATGGCTTTAATTCCTGGTCAATTCGCCACGGTGGGTTAAAAAACCAAACGTCAAGTACATCCTAATACAACTCTCTTAATCTAATCTCCACTGATACCACGCCAGCGCAAACCTGGGTGCGTATAGATAGGTTCACATGTACATTATTCTTCTTTTTACATAGATATACATACATACATATAAAAATTAAATGACATTTGTTAGTTTCACTAAAACTCGAGAACCACTGGATCGATTTGGCTAATTTTGGTATTAAAATATTTATAGATCTCCAAAAAAGGAAGAATACGCTGTTTAACAGTTACGAAAATAAATTGGTTTTAGTCTTAAATTTATTTTGTTAAAATTATATTGTTAAATTTATTTTATTCTTAAAAAACCTTTGACATATTATTCAATTTAAGGGGTAAATTAGTCACCCACAAATACCTGAAGTTACCAAGATGTGATTCCTCCCATTGTATTTGGGTTTGCCAGGGACTTTTTTCGGGCTCTTTTTCTTCAGCTGGAGTTAATTCAGGGAACCTAATAAATCAAGAATATGTATTTCAATGTACGAAATAAATATTTATGTAACTATCAATACAACTAAATAACATATTACTCTATTAATAACAATAGACAATTATATTGAAAACATGTAGAAATACATAATGTTCTATAGTAATTGTCCAGTTATAAAACTAGGATATTGTTTGATTTTTCTCTTTCTCTCATTTTGCCGTATTATGAGAAATCATTGCGAAATTGGCATGACCGAGAGTCAATCCAAAACTTCGCTAGGTCGATGAAGTAATGAATATCCTACTTGTTAGTTTGCAGCAACCTATCTCGTATTCTCTTGCGATCTTCTTCGAGTACTCTCTTCTTGTCGCACTGCCAAATGTTTAACATTGTGAACGTGTCTGTTAATAAGCTTTCCTTCACTTCGCGGTCTAGTTGTGTGTCGGTGTGGAAACTCGGCGAGTGGTTTACCTGAACAAATAATACTACTCTTATTATAAACAAATTGATAATTAATTCATTATGTATAAATAAAGTAACCGTTATCCATAACAAATAATCCAAATAAGTTATTTACAGTGGATGTGCTTATATTATTAGATTGCATGATTCTGCCTTTCGACATAATTTTAATGTGGATAGATAACTTACCTCTAAAATATAAGGATGCAGTTTATGATCTAACAGTATATCGAAACCAAGTATTTCGAAGCACGCGTGAACCTAGAATAATATATCAATTTAGTATAAATTATTATTAAAAATATAAGCGTGGTGAAGAATTTTAAGAAAATCCCACATGCAAGGTACCTACATTTTGTCTCCATATAAGAGGAGGTATCTACTTTGACAAAGAGTAACAAAATGATTAATTTAGTTTTGTTATTACTTTTAAGATGGTCAAAAGTACTTTTTTTTAAATATAGGTACTTATCCTATAATACCATGAGATGTATGCTCTTGATTGACTAGTAGATCTGTGGTTAACTACGCTATAAATAATACAAATGCAAAAGAAGCATAGTCCTTATAAGTTACACTACAAAAGAAGTAAATCATAGTCCTAAATAAAAATATTTTTAGGAATTCGTGATTTTTAAGCACATAATTGTAGCAAACAATTATGGTCCTAAAATCACGTGGGGACGAAATCGCAAATGATTAGGAAATACAATTAATAGTTAAAAAGTTAAATGTAGAGTGCAATGTTTCCAGACTCTAGAGCTGAGTTAACAAATGAGAAATAAACAGTTAACCCTACATAAATACAAAAGCACTAATACATTATTAATATGAAAATTAATAACTAACTTATCAAAATTAGTTAAGCAAAATGGCAATACGTAGTTCCTTATACGCTGCCGCCTAAAAAAAGGCCTGATAACTTATAGATACTTTTAAAATGTCTTCATCTAAAAATAATTTTAAAAAATGTACAGCCAATAATTTATCCTCATGGTATATAACCCCGAGAAGGACGAGTCAGGGGTATTTTTGACCGCGATATCATAACGTGATGGCACTTTGAAAAGAGGCACACGCAGCGTGCCAATAGCCGCTCTCCGCTTTCAGAGAAAACTTCTCCACCTTGACAGAATTAAGTTACCATATATCTGCAATAGGTTCTGTCACAAGTTGTAACAGAAAAGAAAACGAAATCTGCTAAAAAACTAGGTACCTACATTGTTCAAACTAATTCAAAGCAAATACTGATAGTAAGTTGTCTGTAATCTACGGTTAAGCAAGAAGTACGACATAATGTTAGCAGTAAAGGAGAACCATGTCGTGCGAGGGGAAGCACGCGTGGTAACTGTGTTTGAGTATCGGCCACGCGGATATGATAGTCTTCACGATCACTTGGTCGGTAGCATGCCATAGCCGGTCGAGGTCGACTCCTTGTGACAGCAAGATCTTGTTCAGCGTCGATATCTTGCTGACCCACACAAATCGATATATAACTAATTATTCAATAGTTTGTTAGATTTTTTTATCTGTAATTGACCAATGGTGAGCGAGAAAGAGAGCTGAAAATAATAGTCATAGCCGCTTGACAAACGTATTAACTTGTTATAAGGTTCAGCATGGGCCGCCTATGTCGAGTACGCCATCTGATTGGCGTATTTCTAAAGATGACGGGGCATAGTATCCTATGCGACAATCGAACGGGATTATCAGTACAAGCCGTCGGGGTTGAATGTGACCTCCACTCATAATCGTAGGATAAATAGAATGTTCTACCGGATTAACATTATGAAAGAGCAGTTTGGTAAGCTCGCAGTAGGATATTATTGGATTGTTAAAATATTCGTTATTTTTATATAAGTAGTACCTACATATACTTGGCGCATACGACCGATAGTAAACAGGTAGGTACTGTAAATGTAGGTCACACGTAACGTATAGTAGATATAATAATTATTATTATGAAATTCAATGGATATTTTGTATAAAAACCCATTTACATTCCATTCATTAAGTTTATGATTTAAATTAATATTATACAGTACAGTCATTTAAAATTTTGCTTGTATTATTGAGTAGGTACATTGGTGCTAGTATTTGTAATAAAAATCCAAGCTCGTATCGTGACTATAGTCACTTGAACATTTCACCCCACCCTCTTTGGTTTTCTAGTTAAGTCAGGTTAATACCCGATTATACCTCGGATAAGGTACCTGGGTCGAATATGGCCACGTTAAGGTTTGACACTAGAAATAACGTATTTTATAACAATGAAAAAATACAAAGAAATATTTATTTGATAACGTATTTATTTAGGTAATATATCACGGGTACGGAAAAACCTAGAAACGGATAGGATAGGATTTGTGTTAATTTTTTTAAAAGTTGGGATAATGGCCATATTTCCGACAGTGTATGTGAATATGGCCAGGTGTTGGCCATATTAACGGTATGAACTGACTATAAAGGTAATTTCTATTTGCAAGGGAACTTAGTGCTATAAATAAAATTAATTTATTGAAACAACTTGTTTAATCAAATATAGGAATAAAAAAAAATTCAACTCAGAACAAAAATAATCTTTTACATTAGTAATTAATTAACTAATTGAACCTCTTTAATAACAGAATTTGAGACCACATAATCTTAAGTTTGCACTCAGTCTTAATCTTAATATTTCATTCTTTACTCGCATTTCATGCAAAGAAAGATTTTTTTATTATTGGATGTAAGTCCAACACATTCTTCATGGACGTATGAAGCACATTTGATGCAAAGTCTCATGTCGGCGACTTCATCTTTATCAGAAACAAAACTATACCAACTTTCTTGGGTACGAGACGCCAGCTCCTTTTCTTTCTGATTAGTAAGAAATGGTTTCCTTCCTAACTTAGATTTATTTTTCTTTTTCTCTGTAAGATATCGTCGAAGTGTTCGTCTGGGAACTTTAGTGTTTGGCAGCAGATAAAACCTTCATTTCACCACTTTTAACGACTGCTATTTGCTGATTTCATATCAGATTCTGACCAATTTCCTCTGATCTGTTTTGTATGTATGTATCATGGAGCCATATTCTGCAAGGAAAAAGAAATAAATAAAATTGAGAAAAACAACAACGAAACAAAGCAGTTGGTGCCGAAAATATGGCCACTAAGTGGTCATATTTTCAGTCGTACTCGATATTTCACTTAAAAGATAAAAACTAAAAATATACAAAAGTAAGCTTGAGAATGAACATATATGTACATACGAAGTATGAACTAATGACAAAAATAGATTAAATGCTCTTAAGTAAAAGTCAACAAAAACAAAGAAAATCATCAAAACTTACGAGTGAATATTTGTATCCGTGACACGTGGTTTCACTTCGACCATTGCGGGGCTAACGGGGCTGCAGGGAAGATGGCAGCGAAGCCTGAGCATTACTCACACATATACGTTCTAACGTATATAAATAAAGTTGTAAATGGTGCCACAGTTTTGGTCCTGTAGGGGTATGGCCATATTGTTAGGCTGGCCATATTCGACCCAGGTACCTTTTATATAATTATGTAACTTGTAATGGATTTTCTCTTACTCATAACAAAATAGATACATTATTAACTTAATACTTTTAAAATTAAGATGATCGATATTTATAATTATTATTAGATATATATATATATATATATATATATTATTAGATAACATCGGTAGCCACTGATGACACAATACTGTAGCGAACACATTATGAACAATAATAAAACAAGTTTATAAGTTCGTTTTTCTTCAATTGAACAAATTATTATACCTAAATAAAAGTTATCTTCACTACCGCAATCTCAAATGGGATTGAGTCGTAACCTTTTATTATAATAATTATCATTAGATAGTTCTCATAAACAAAATTAATTTTACCTTTTCTTATTGTAATTGCTCTGTAATGATTTTTATAGTAATTACAAAATTGCGGTAATAGTGTAAGAACCTTACCGTTTGCTACCCGCTTCTGAATCGTACACGTAGGTACGACTGTGTTTGTTTAGGGCGTAGTTAGTTAAATGCATAAATACATTGGTCGTATTGTTTGCACTAGGGTCCGCATATCTGCTTGTGGCAAACCTAACATAAACATATTCCTGATTTGAACACTGGTGATATAGTCACATGATCCATGGAGTAGAGATGTAATTAACTAGACCCTCTTGGCTATTTGTGCCTAGAACCACTAGAGAGCGTTTCATATCTGTTGCATTACTCGATTCGGTCTGAAGGATAAAGTTGTGTACACAAATTCGCCAGCTTCTCAGAGATGCAATAATTGAAGATGTAAATTTTTTGTATATATATTATTCCTATAAGTGGTTAGGTAAGTGCCGATAAGTGCTTATTTTAATCCAACTTAGTTTTTTAAATATTCTTTATTGCACTTAAATACATTTATAAGTAAATTAATTACAGCTAATGTTAACAAAGGAGGACTTATCTCTAAAAGAGATCTCTTCCAGTCAACCCAATAGAGCGTGGCATAGGAAGTGTTGAGTGGGTTAAAATGTGCAAATTATATTTTTTATGAAAATGTCAAAATAATTAAAACTAAACATAAAAATATAATGTCCAAAATACAGATACTAATACAATATACATAAAGATAAAAAAAAATATATATTAATATATAATATGTACTTGAATACCTAAACAAATAAAATTACATTTATAATAAATATATAATAACCATAAATATATACTAAATCAAACAATAAATACTACAAAGATATATATACAATGATGACACTAATCACATAGCAGTAGAAAGGTAATATGATTTTAACTTTTTCTTAAAAGAACCACTAGATGGACTTTTTTGAATCTCCAAAGGGAGATTATTCCATAGCTGAGCAGCACGAAACGAAAAGGAGTTACCCATAAACTGAGTTCTACTGTTAGGAAGTTTAAGGATCCTCGAGTGGTTTTGGCAAAGGCGTTTGGGACGGGAAGAGGGGGTAACAATTGAAAGCGGGAACGAAGGTAGGCGGGAGCATTAGGATTATTAAGAATATTATAGAGCATGGATAGGATATGCACATTATGCCGAATACGGATTGGGAGCCATTTTAAACGAGCGCGGAAATCGGAAACGTGGTCATATTTGCGTAAACTGAAGATAAATCTTATAGCTAAATTTTGTAAGCGCTCTAGTTTATTTAAAAGCTCCTCAGTCATATCTAAGAAGCAAACGTCGGCATAGTCAAGAATGGGAAGTAAAATGGATTGCGCGAGCATAATTTTGGTGCTGAAGGGAAGAAAATATTGGAGACGTTTGAGAGAGTGATATGAAAAGTGTATTCTTCTACTAATTTCGTTGACATGGGAAATCCAAGACAAGTCCTAAATTTTTAACCTTGTCAGTGTACGCTATCTCAATGTTGTTGTATATTATTGGGGGTACCAAAGACCAATCCAACTTGCACCTTAGTCTGCTACTACCAACAATCATGGCTTGAGATTTGGACGGATTAATAATGAGACCGAAAGATCTAGCCCACGATTGAATACTCAAGAGATCACAGTTTAAAGCTTCTACTGTTTGAGTCACTTCCGACAAGGAGAAGTGACGGTATAACTGCAGATCATCTGCATACAGATGGAAGGGAGAAGTAATGACTCGAGAGATATTGTTAATAAACACTGAAAATAGTAAAGGAGAGAGTACACCGCCTTGAGGTACACCAGCAGTTAGAGAAGTCCAGTCTGAGGAACCATCACTGGTTCTAACACACTGCTGGCGACCGAAAAGAAAAGAAGAGAACCATTCTATAACAGAATTTGAAATGTTAACGGCACGGAGGGCACCAAGGAGAATATCGAAATCAACAGAGTTGAATGCACTGCTGAAGTCCAATAAAATAATGGCAGTCAATTTGGTGTCATCCATAGCCTGCCGTATATCCTCTGTAATATTAAGAAGCGCCCCAGTAGTGCTGTGGAAGGGACGGAAGCCTGACTGGAAAGGACATAACAGGTTATTGGTGGAGAGATATGTATAAAGTTGATTATGGACAACGGATTCAAGAGCTTTGGAGAGTAAAGGAAGAATAGAAATGGGACGAAATTGGGAGAGACAAGTAGGATTACTTGTTTTGGGAACTGGTATGACATAAGCCTTTTTCCATTGTGATGGAAAGACATTGTTGCTGAGTGAAAAGTTAATAATGTGAGTAAGCACTGGCAAAATGTCATCCAACACAGGAAGGATCATCATTTTTTTTTCCTATTCAAAACTTAAGATTATTTTATTCAATGACTACCTAATTGGTTGCCTAATATTAATAACATTATGCATTACTAATAATATAATGCGAAATAAAAAAGTACTCAATTTGTGAAAAAGCATGTTGAAAGTCCGTTTCATATTAGGCAGTCCGAAATAGTCAGGTTCTATCTGACCTAGTGTAATACTTGGTCAGATAGAACCTGACTATTTCGGACCTTACAAATGTCCTCAAGAATGGCAACGCATCAATATTTGATTACAGTATATTTGTTATCGCCATTTTGGTTCGACTGTCACCCTTGTGGTGAAAAAGATCCTGTAGTTTTGTAAAACATATTTAAAATTAAAATGGCGGGGGAGTGAACTGCTCTTCTTTTCCGGAATAACTTCATTTGCTGGTAGCAAATGAGAGAGCGACAGTAAGTAATGAAATGACACACAAAAACTATTTAGTATCATTGGAATAACATTGTTTAATTTGTAACTTTACATAGTATAAATGAAGTCGCTTCCGCTGTCTGTCCGCTTATATAGGTATTTTAAACTATGCAACGGATTTTTATGCAGTCTTTAGCAATATATAGGTACATACAATTCAAGAGGAAGGTTTGATGAAAGCCGGGGCAGCTAGCTAGTCGTTATATAAAAGATAAAAATTACCTTACTAGGCCTTCATTATATACAAATATTCTAAGAGGGTCACATGACGTTATGAGTGTGTAGACCCTGATGTCGAACTTGTATCCATCCACTAAGTATGGTTTAGAGAGGTATACCTGTTAGAAGTTTATTAGCATTAAAACATGGCCACTGAATTTCACGTGCGATTTCCTTTAAACCTTTAAACTACAATAATTTATTTATTATTCTAAAAAAGTTATGCCAAGTCTAAAGGGATTTTGCTATCGGAATATGACACGGATAAGAGACTAAAGTAAGACTGTTATTAAAGTTTGGTGAATTCCATATAAATCGTAAAAATTAATTACTTTCTCATGATGTTGCAACAACAGAATATCAATTATAAAATGGCTAATTTATGTTATATTAATTTGTCGTGTATTTGAGTTAATTTTTACTAAGACAAAAATACTGTAGCTTTTCTGTAAGGTTAAAATAATATGACGGTAGTAAAGACACATATACAGAAGTACATATATTACCTGGCAAATAAGCTTATCGGTAGGTTTTATATCTTTCAGTGATTTAGTTAGGTAAATGCCACGGCCCTGACTCCCACATTCGGGCTTGATTATAAAGGTCTTGGTTTTGCGGGATTTACTATAATTTAGTGCTTCACCAAAACTAAAATAAACAAAATTAAATGTAAATACATAATTAATGTTTATTGCTTTATAAATGCCTAATGCCTTCGGGGCTGGCCCGCGTAAACTTATGTAACTAAACATTCTACCAAATTTCATTAAAATTCATTTAGTAGGATTTGTGTTAGTACATAACATAAAATTTATAGGACATGAGAACATTTACTGCTGTGTATACCTATGGGTACGGCTTTACTTATAACTTTTGGAACTAAAATTTCGAAGGGGCAAAAAGTGATAACTTATTTGTTGCACTTACTCTGCAGGCAGACACCAAGTTTTCGGAAAAAAGTTATATTCCTTTGGATATATTTTTTGCATTCTGTTTAGATTTCGTGCCAACAAATCCTTCCTGTTGGGGTTAAAACACAAAACAATGCTATATTAACGGGCTTTGCAGATGTTTTACAATGTCACGCGATGCAGTAACTAAGGCTAGCTAATTAAACTTTGGACATTTAATATGTAGGAAGTAAGTGGGAAAGACAATGTTGTTGTGACTTTACATTATCTCCTGATTTTTTTTTTTACTAGTTCATAAGGGGGTCATCCATAATTTACGTCACACGCTAAGGGGAAGAACCAATAGGTTCGTCCCTTTCGTTTCCCAAACGTGTAAAAAGCTGTAAAAAGTGTTACGGCTGGTCACATTTGGGAAACGCTGTTTGTTACAGTTGGGTCGAAAAATTAGTGTAACATACTTTATGCATGCCACTTAATAAAAGATTTTATACAAAAATTAAAGGTGTATACTTCTGTCTTGATCTAATTCTGCCATTAAAATATAGCTTCTCACGCTCTTTTCCAAAAAAAGTACAGGATTTTTGGAAAAAAGTACAGGATGCTGAGTCACGACGTTATTTCTTAAGAATGGCAATGAATGTAGTATGTAGTGAAGGTTAACAGATGAAATTTCTTAAATAATTACTACAATAAATAACGTAAAAAACAGAATTTTAAAAATATTTAATATCTATTAAACCATCATTGATACTTATTATGTCTTTTATTTTCCTTCACTGCAAATAAAGTAACTACGTCTTTTTTTTTTTCATTTTCTGGTTATTTACCTGCAGATCTCTAACATGCCTGGAAAATGGTTGATACGTTGAAACCTTTTCATCTCCTTCGCTCGCTCGACAGAAACGCTCATGTCCGTCCAGTAAAAATTCCAAGCGTCTTCCTCTGATACCTCTCGCATGCCAAACGCGCTCGCTACCTTCCTTATTGACTCGTAACGGCAGTTTGTCAGGCATATACATATCTGTGACCTGGATATTATACTGATATCAGGGGAATAATGGTTTCTTTATCTTTTTGGTTTGAAATCCATTCAAAACTTTACTTATTCTAATAAAAGAAAATTGACCTATAGGCAGACAGAGGTATTTCAAAAAGTATTTATTAACCTCTTTCTCTTCTTTTTCTTGCGTGTAGCTTCCATTGGAATAATGGGAGCAGTACGCGACGTAGGTTGGGAGGTGTCATCTTCACCGTACAGTTTTGAATCGCAGTTGCGCATCAACATTTTTGTTATATTTTCTGCTTGTTCCTTTTCCACTTTAGCCTCTTGGTCATATGTTTTTTCACTGATATGTGTGCCTAATAATATTATATTATGAATGTAAACATGCCCTGCAATGTAGGTAACTAAACAAATATTTTTATTTAAATAACGGCCGGAACATCTTTATTGAAACAAATAATTTGGTGACTGAAAGAAGGAACTCCAAAGACTAATAACATAAAACTGAATGTTCCTCATTAATAGTAGATAATATATTATTTTTAAACTCATAAAACACATAATAAAAGATTTATAGCAAACATTGCGAGTCGGGGCATGTATAAGTATGAACTTCGCCAATCAACCACATCGATTTTAAAACCAATATTATTATTTATAACATTTCTGAAATAGATTTCATATACGAATATAAATTGCCCCAGAACGTGCGCCCGTTACCGCATACCAGCGATGTTTAGCAGAATTGAACGAATTGACTACTAGCTAGGTACGTACGGTCTGCGAATTGCGCGCGCAGGCCAAATTGTTTGTTTTATGCAAATATAAACTTAGGCTGTGTTTAAATCAAGTGTTCTGCAGTTTAATTACTGATAGTATGATGTGACCATCTTACATGACATGTCAAGTTTATATTATTGTTTGAAGAATTTTAATAATATTGTGTAGGTTGATTGCTACACAAAGGAGTGCTGTATCTGATGAGAGGATAGGATAGGTAAAGGATTTTGGAATTTCTCTATACTGTATTTAAACATCATTTAAGTATTCAAATTTTCATATATGAGTACAATTTACAAGTCTAATTTAATTATAATTGATTGATTTACAACAAACCTTTATTTTATTGACATTTTGTTTGATAAGGTTGTCCTTAAGTTAAATTCCCATAAAAGTAACTTAATAAGAATGTATATATCTACTATCCTTGTTACATCTCTTCAACAAAATATACTGATTAAAATTTAGGATAGAATAGCAAATTAGCATATCCATTGGCCATTTAGTATCAGATGAGCCATAAGTTTGTTTGCCACTACAGTAGTATTAAAAAAAGACTGATTAATTACAAATCAGAGTACATACAAATGAGATTTAAGGCTCTCATAATGAAACAGAGAGCAACAGTAATAATATTTAATACTATGTCTCCTTTTGAATAACATACAGATTTTTATTTTATTTTGTTATATAATGTGTCTTAGTTGTTTGTAAATAATTTCATTTATTTCTATAAAATTTTACCTTGTGTTATCTCATTCTTTCTTTTACTAGGAATTGGAAATATATGTTTTGGACTATGAAGCGTTGGTTGATCTTCATCACACAAGAAAGTGTCTTGTATCTCCAGCTAAAGAGTAAATAATTTTCATAAGTAACACATGGTATCTTATCTGAATAAGTTAATTAAGAAGTTATTTTATATTCCACTATTATATTTTTTACTTTGGTGCCTGACCTGCATCAGTAGATATTAGGAAAAGAGTAGTAGAATGAAATATATATATTTTTATATTAAAAATATCCATGATTAAATTACATATTTGTACTCACATACTTTCTTATGACTTCACTCATAAGTCGATTTTTTTCAAAGCTCACAAAAAAGTAACTTACCTCCATATGCTGAAATCAAACTTAAAGGTTTATGTTAGACATTTCCGTTAAGCAGTACATAAAAGTCACAACAAAGATCTAAAACAAAATTGGACAAATAAAGGGTGATAGTTACACCTTATGATAAAAATGAATACATGTATTTTCAATTTATATTAATACTGTTAGAAACCACACTTACCAAACTTTATTGTGTGGTAATTTCATTAGAATTTTGCAGAGACATTATTATAAACTGTTTTTTGTTTTTGAATCATGTCAAACAAACAATAAAAATTAAATTAAACTGACAATTGACAGACATTTACAAAATAATTCTTTCAATTCCGCTTCCGGAAAATGTTTTCTGGAAAAGCCGGAAAAGGAATGAAAAGTTGACAGTGTATGATATATCAATCTATGGTTAGTATAGAGTGTACGAGTAAATAATCACACTAATTACCGAGTATTGGTAATCACAACCAACAAAGTTAATTTTGATTGAATTGCATCCACTATTGTAGTATTACATGATGCATGCATAATACTAGCATAATAAAACAAAATATGTCGTAATTTACAGAGGCGTAACCATTAGCGATTATACTTCTTGCTATTACTCAGAGTTGCCAACCTTAAAACAGTTAACCTCGTTCTAATAAATATAAATGTGAGAAATTTTCTCTCAACACAATTTATGTTTTAAACCTCATATACAAACTTGTACAAGAATAGAAATGTACCTGTATTGAATACCGAAAAACGTAGAATTCTCGTAAGGTTAAACTGAATCTTATATAGTACTTGCAATGTGTGGATTAGAAATCGTTTTATTAGGATAGATATTATCATCTCTAGTTTTCATTCATAGTATTACATGTGTATAAACAAGTTGTCATTATATTTTTATCTGTCCTCCTAAATACATGTTATCTATTGCTATTCATTTATCTGGATAAACACTTTAAAAAAATTCAAGTCATCTTCCGTCAAACTAAACTAGTCTGTCTGATCTGTGGTCAAATTCTATAGTGCTTGTCTTGTACATATTTTTACTTTTCCGCCAAAGTACAGAGTCATTCTAGATTTGCCAAAATGGCAGAGGGCCAAGAAGAACCTAAAAAAATTACAATTACAGTGAGAACTCCAAAAGAGAAACAACAAGTGGAAATAGAAGAAGATGCAGACATAAAAAAGGCGAGTACTTTGTTGGTAGAAATATTGCCCATGGCGTAATAACACAGATATTGCACACGCAATCAGTGACGACATTTGTTTAATGAATAGGCAACTTAATCTATAATTAAATTGCATTCTTTTAGTTAAAAGATGTACTGTCACCAAAATTCAATGCTGAACCGGAGCAACTGTGCCTCATCTTTGCCGGAAAGATAATGAATGATGCCGACACTTTGAAACAGCATAACATCAAGGATGGATTGACAGTTCACCTTGTTATCAAGACGCCTCCCAGGCCGGAGCCAGAAGGTGCAGCCCGGCGCCCACCAGGTTAGTCTACCTGTAAAAAAATGTTACATGGCAATAGAAACCTCCAGATGTTAATTATCAAGCATTGAGTTCAGTTTATTCCATTAGTAGTTGAATTGCTTTATAAGTATTACAAAAATTGTATATTGAATTTAATTTTCTTTCCATAAATTGCATTAAAGTGTGATATAATAATGTTTTCAGCTGATATTGGTGCTACACCTTTTGGACTGAATTCATTAGGTGGACTTGCTGGTCTAGAAAGTCTGGGCCTTGGTCAAAGTACATTTATGGATTTGCAGGTATATCAGAATTATTTTTGTTTTGTATTTTTAATTATTATTTCGGTGGTTGGAGCTGGAGGTGTATTAGGTAGTAGGAATTATCTGTTATCATTACGTTTACAGTTTTGTAGAATTAATTTGTTTGTTTAAAGTGGTTAAGACTTCTATGATAATTGCTTGTTATTGTATATTGATGATGATTGCATTATGTTGTTGAGATTTAGATCTTTGATTGAGAGAACTACTTAAATCAATCACTGTTTTAAATAATTTATTATACAAAATTGTATGTTTATTTTTATTAATTACACAAATATTCCCTTAGAAGTAATGACTTTATTAAAAACATAAAACAACCAGTTTTATATTAATATGATCTGTTATTTGTATAAAAAGGATTAGATATATATATCCATTTGAATAGAAATCATACATTTATTTGACTTCCGAGTGCTATAACCACAGGAATTATCACTTTCGGTAACAGTATTTAATTGTTTTCATTTATTAAATGACATTTTAAAAATTTTGAGAGAAAAGTAGATGAATATATTTATTATATAATAATTTATAATGAATACATTTATTTTCAAAGGTCCATTGTCTATAGTATTTAGGGATGTGCAATAAAAAAATCTGTCATGCATTCTATTCAAATCATATTATATTAAATAGACAATCCCAATCTATTCCATATAATATGACAATAATAAGTAATAATTACAATTACTATTGATATTTTTCAAATCATGATTAATGTATTATTTATGCTTCAATGTTATTATATTTATTATTCATCATTATTATTAAATAAGTTGAAATAGTATCATTTAATAATATTTACTTCATATCTCAAACTATGATTGTGTTTTGTCAGTCATATTAAGGTTTAATCAAATTAGTGAAACAAAACATTAAATAGATAAAGAATGATTTATTTTTGTGATGTAATGGGGTTTAGTCATCACTACACACAGTGTAGTGTGACAGTCTATGGTTGAGTCAATGATTTGTTTACCTTTTACCTTTAATAATCAATGTGGATGTTTATTATATAAATTTATAATTTTAGGCCCGTATGCAACAAGAGATTTTGTCAAACCCAGATATGTTGCGGCAAGTTCTAGACAACCCTTTAGTGCAGCAAATGATGAATGATCCTGAAAACATGAGATCACTGATCACATCCAATCCACAAATGCAGGATCTCATGGCTGTAAGTCAATATTCTATTATTGTATTGTATAAGTAACAAATTGTGTTTAATTTTGACCCAGTCATTTCTATATGTAGTTAGAAAATATTTTTGAAAGATATTGATAACATAAATAATGTTTTTCACCATAATATTGTAGGGCCATATACACAGTGCTGTACCATTATAGCACATGATACTAAAATGAAAATAATGACTTAGTATACATTAAACATAGACAACTAATAGATAAAAAGTTTAACAGTTGATAAAATCAGAATTTTGAAAGAATGAGGGGCAAAAAAGATTTTATAGTAGATAAATATCATTTTTAAGAACAGTGCTGTTTCATTAGTGGCATTATTTGTATTGATATAATGTGAGTGAAATCATAGTCTACTTCTGTCTTGTACATTAATGTTATTTAATAGTAATTATGCACATTAACAGAGGAATCCTGAGATAAGTCATATGTTAAACAACCCAGAGCTGTTGCGTCAAACTATGGAACTGGCACGGAATCCTGCTATGTTACAAGAATTAATGCGGTCTCATGACCGTGCATTGTCTAATCTGGAAAGCATACCTGGTAAATAACAATATTTTTTCCTGCTTTACAATTGTATACAGTAGGATTATATTAATTTCAAACATAAAGTATTAAATTACATTGCTTTGAATACTATCCAACACATGAAATGAATTAATCATATTATGTCTTCATTAGGAGAACAGAAAAGCATAGGGGATTGTTTGAGATGTATTATCTACACATAATTCCGAATCATATATAATTATTTACACAAAATCTGTTCATTAATATCTGATAGTCAACATAATAATCACCATAATTTTTTTAAGAGAATAATGTGGAATTATTGTTATATAGATAATGCATCTTGAAATTATATTCATATTTTATTATCATTTGAATAATGATAATAATCAAAGTATTTGTTTTCAGGTGGTTACAATGCTCTGCAGAGAATGTATAGAGATATTCAAGAGCCTATGTTAAATGTTGCTAGTAGCATGGCAGGAAATCCATTTTCTGGACTGGTGGATAATTCAGGTGAGACCTGTTTTTATCATTAGTTAATGAAATTAGAATACAATTTTTTTTCTCAACAAATTATCTAACTTTTTTATTATCACTGAATTCAATAATATGTGTACAACATTAATATACATACATATAAATGTGGTTACTCCATTTAATGATAATGTATGAATTTTTGGTGCTTATGGTGACATCAGTACAGTTTGATTTGATTCAAATTTATTCAATATAAATTTAACTTGATAGATGGTACTAATCCGCAACAAGGAGCAGAAAACCGTCAACCTCTGCCCAACCCATGGCAGCGCGGCGGTGGCGGAGGCGGTGGAGCGGCGGGGGCTGCAACCCCGGGCGCTGGTACTGGCGCGGGCGCCGGCGCCGGCCCAGGCCTCATCAACACGCCCGGCATGCAGTCGCTGCTGCAGCAGATGTCGGAGAACCCGCGCCTCGTCCAGTCCATGCTCTCCGCGCCCTACACCAATGATATGCTACAAGCCCTCTCTGCCAACCCAGATATGGCTGCACAGCTTATTAATCAAGTTAGTCTTTTTACAATCTATTCTACAATGTTCTATATTTTAGAGACTAATCCTACAATCGATTGTATTTTATATTCCAACAGAATCCAATGTTTGCAAACAATCCCCAACTGCAAGATCAAATTCGTACAATGATGCCGCAAATGCTCACCCAGCTACAGAATCCTGAGATGCAACAGATGATGTCGAACCCACAGGTAAACTTAGTTTCCTTTCTCCTTAAAGTTGGTAAATACTTAATTAGTTATAAATATGTGCCAAAATTGTTTAATAAAAACATAATGACTGATGTGGGATGATTTTACCGTATTTAGGTTTTTTTTCTTGTATTGGTGCAGCCTCCTGTGCTAATGATATACCTTGACAGGGCACTAGTGGAGGATAATAAGATGAGTATGAGGTCAGGTTACTTAGCCTATCACGGCACAATTACCACGAATTTAACATATGGTTTCCAAGGGAACTGCGTATAGGTCAATCTGAGGGTCAACAGGGCAGTTTATTTACAATTCTTTGTGCCCCATTTTCAGGCTTTGAACGCGCTGCTGCAAATTCAACAAGGCATGGAGCAGCTGCGCGCGGCCGCCCCGAGTTTGGTGCCCAACCTGGGACTGGGCGTGGGCGCGGCCGCCGCCACCCCCACCACGCCTGCCGCCCCCGCCGCGCCCACCACCGGGACGCCACCCGCGCAGAACGCTAGGCAGCAACCCAACCCGGAATTGTTCACACAGGTTTGTAAATACATACTAAACGTACTATAGTACATATTTTTCTTTTTAATGATAATGGAATGAGGCTCCCGCTTGTGGTTAAGTTTTAGGTTGGCCAGGCACCAGTGGTGGATGATAAAATGAGCATGATATCATGTTAGTTAGCCCATTTGGGTAATTCTTGTATCGCGATTTGTGGATTTGGGGAACAGTAGTGTATGGATAAAATTTAGATAGATAGTTGAAGACAGAGATAATTTCATTCTTGCTCTATTTCTTAAACAAAATATAAAACAACAAGCTTATCACAGAAATATATTTCTTCCAGTCGTTTTAGATAAAAATTTATATCTCATAAAGATGAGTATAGCATTTCAATCCGCGGCTTGATAAAATCATAAATTTATAGTTTACTATGTTTTTACAATAATATTCTTCATATTAATAGTTATCTGCATTGTACTAAAAATACCAGGTTTATACGTAATATAACTTTATAGATATATGTTTTCATAAATAAAGTGTGCGTATTATTATTCAGTGTGATTAAAGCACGATGCGGATTATAGCTGACAGTTTTGCATATTGCGCTGTAAATATAATCTAATAAGCATAATGCGCGCTCAAATTTAAATATAGGAAAAAAATATCAATTATCATCTTCCACAATGCCGACGTATTATTATACTTATTTATTTCATCATCATCATCTGCTTCTTCCTTATCCCATTTATTTGGGGTCGGCGTAATATGTTTTTCTCTTCCATTCATCTCTGTTCGTAGTCATTCCGTTATTTTCTCACCATATCATCTTTCACACATTCCATCCATCTCTTTTTCGGTCTTCCTCTACCCTTATAACCATCCACATTCATATGTAACACCGTCCTTAGGATATGATTATTATACTTATTTATTTATATTATTATAATTGTAGTTTAAATTAAGTCTTATATAATATTTATGTTTGTCTGAGAATATTATATTATTAATATATATAATTCATATATTTATGTATGTGTATTTATTCTTATAGTTATTAACATATATACAATAATATCTCAATGTTTCCTTTTTTTATCGTACACATGTATGACTGGATCTGGATCATTCATCATGCTACGAGTATCCTACAAAATTTTCTAGATTTGCTGGAAGAAATCTCTGTTTAGAGATAATTTATCATATTACCATGTATGGGTACAATAAATACCACCAGCATGTGCCGTGGCGCCATGAAAAATTGGCGAAAATCCTACTTGCGAAATTTTTTATAGTACCGACACTTTTTAGCTACTGACACGGCAATTTCAGGGTATAACAGCCTCTTGTGTCGCCAGCTGCACGTGCTGTTTTGTTTGATATTTACTGTAGGCACTATCAAAGTACGGCAATACAGTACAAATGAACCTTTTTCATATATCCTTTTTAAGCTTATAATGTAAAGCGGAAATGAAATAAAGAAATGACAAGACAGTATTAGAGATCCTGTTTTATAGTCGTAAGTGTAAATTAAGTTTGCAATAATTTAGGCACATACTTAGAGCTAAGTATTCTGAATTTCAGTTACTAGCATTAATAGTTTTTGAAAGGTAAAGCTGAGAATGACTGGATGAAGTCGCGTAATAAGTACTCTGTTTTACCTTGTTGGATTAGATGTTTTGATTACTAAACAAATTTGTATTTAGGGTTTCCTCCTTTTATTTTTATTTGTATTTAAGCCACTATGTATTTCTAGTTATAAACATAATTTTCATTTTTATGCAGTTCATGCAGCGAATGGTGGCAGCGATGGCGAACAATCAAAACAACTCGTCCCAGCCGCCCGAACAACGCTATTCTCAACAGCTGGAACAGCTAGCTGCTATGGGTTTCCTCAACCGTGAAGCAAATTTGCAAGGTATGCTTACAGTACAATATATATAATCCTAGTACTATATTTTAATGCTATAGTTTGTAATAGACATGACAAATTTTGATGTTGAGATGTATGTATGTCACTTGTTCATATAGTTAGATAGGAATGTCCTATAGAAGGATCACAGATGGATGAACCATAAAATATATTAGTACAAAGGATGCTGTATGTTCAACACATATAAGGAAACCTACAGGTTATTGTTATGTAGTATAATAATGTTGTACCATATTAATAATAATGTTGTACTTATTCAGGAAGATTCTAATGAATGTTGTAATATCATTACTTATAAGGTTTTTATAAATCAGTATTTTCTTTCTAGCACTGATCGCGACTTTCGGCGATGTAAATGCGGCAGTAGAGAGGCTACTGGCGCTGGGCCAATTGTCCATGAGCTAACACTCGGGCGCCTCATAATGCGCGTCCCCATACCACGGCTACAACTTGCTTACGACACCTAACCTGTACTGTAACATGCAGCCATGTTCCTATCTAAACAAACATTAATTTCTTATTTATATATGAGATTATAATAAATATATACTTTATGAATGAGCATTTCAAGTTGAACTCAACAAAATTCATTGGTATCTAATTTCAAAATTTTGTTAAAAATATGCACTAAACTCAAAAGTGATGGGTTGATTAAGCACTTATAGTATTGGTTTATTTATTAAGGAACGGATTTGCAATAGAATTTTAGTTTGTTGAATATATAATTAATATACAATTGTATCATTTGTGTATTGATTTGTTTTGAGTAATAAATAATAACTAATAATTATAAAAATATTTATTACATCAGGAAGATTTGTTTTTATAGAGAGTACTCTATATAAAAACTGAAATATATCTGGTTAAGTAAATATTTTTATATTGACATTAATGAAAGTTTAAGTTCATACTAAAAAAGACGTTATGTTATGTAAGTAAGGATCAATTCGAAAATTATGTTTTGGGACCGTAATAATTACTGTATTAAAGGTCAGATACGACTTGCTACTTCGTAATTAATGAACGTAAGTTTTCACATATTATTTGTATGTATAATGTTCGGGTAGTTATAAATCGATATGGCGTCCTAAGCCTCATTATTTATGTAATGTGGTGTTTAGATCACATTAGTGGCGGACTATTCCGGCTGTGGTTATCCCTAACTGTTAATATAAGTTTATGTACTGCATTAAATTTAAATAGGGGCCCACAAATAATTATTCCTACAGTCCCTTTAAACGAGGCAATATTCTAATAGGAAAGGTCTAAAATGTATGAGTATGAATAAGTTTAACATATACCTTATATTATTACCAGCTTCTCAATTATGCTTTGCCTATAGGTCAAGTCATAATTTGGAAATCAATATCTGTGGATAATCTAGCAAAGATTTACAGAAAACTCATTTAGTGGACCCCTAACTATTAACAGTACTTTAGTCCGCCTGTGGTCCACAGAGAAATAATTTTGTTAAAGAATTCATGCCACGTTAATTAATTTATTGTCATTGCACTGTGTTAAACCTTATCGTTTATAGTTGGCAGTCACTATGTTTCGGTACAGCTATTCTAAGCTGTGTTTATTATTTCAAGTTACAAAACTTGTGTTAGTTATGACTTTATATACACAATATATTCCATTATAGTTTATATATAATAATACTATCTATATTAGAAAATTAAATCAATAGTCATTGTAAACGATGTTAGCAATTAGAATTCGTAAATTAGTATCACTGACACTTGTTTATGTCAATAAAATTAAATAAATATTAAATAAACTACTATGTAGCTACAATATTCATGTAGCTATGTTACAATCCCAAAGTGGGTGAGTAGCCAAACTACAGAATTCAGATTCTAAATGCCTATACTGTGACCATCTACAAAATAACTTAGGCAATTTATACAAGTGTATGCACTTTACGAATAAATTTCATTCCTTCTTTTAGGTTACTATAGAATGTGAAAATGTTTAAATTTATTTTATAGCAATATTATTTTAAAGTATAATTGGGCATAAAATCACCTTGTGTATTTACTACATTCTTTAATGAATTTTTGTATTTATCTTGTTTACAAGATGAATACCATAAATGTTATAGTTATTATTTGCATAAAATATATTAAGATATGGAAGTGCGTTCTACGTAATGACCAAAATGAGTCCTAACATATTATACTTTATTTCACAAAGGTTTGTAACAACGACAATGGCGTAGAAGTTACGCGATTGTTGTAATAATAATAATGTATCAGATTAATTATTATAATGTTACTTATTCCCAGACCCTTTTTTTTAATTTTTCCGTATGAATAAACTGATAGACTGTTTTCGGAAATGCATTTCATTGTATTTTTTTAAGATCGCAAACACATCTGGGGAACGAAAAGCCCGCTTTACACGAATAGTGGGATTTACGTTGTATAACCCGCCGAATTTATTAGGTTTCGCACACTGAAAGCATATACTAATATACTGGTATATTTACATATTAATACCTTGTTAAATTAAAAACTTGTTAATACCTTGCTTTTTCATATTGTTCAATATTTTGAATAATTTTACTATATTTATACATATGATTAGGGAAAATCACGTTTATTTTTACTTATTACACATTTATTTTTATTGAATACCCGACATTTCAGAAGCCATGATCACGGGTAAACTGAAGAGCAGTGGGTAGATGGTAAATAGAATCCCTTACAGAAATTTTTGTTTCACTGGATTCCAGTCATCCAGTGATAAATTTAATTAAACAAAAACAAAAATCGCGATCAGACAATGTATTAAGTGTACGTGTAATAGTATCTGTTAGTATAGTTTGCCGAGATAAGTATCGAGTTAGTTTCAGTGGTAGCGATTAACGAAGACGTGTAAAGGTAGATGAATATGTCTGCCCATAAAAGATTTTATTTACCATATATGCGTTACTTTTCAGTTTACCTGTTGTTGTGGCAGTTAGAACACTGAAATATCGAAAACTCAATATTAATATATAAAAAGTGGTAAGATCCCGTGATTTCCTAATAGTACGAATAAATTATGACAGCATCAAATTTAAAACAGTATTTCAGGATATTAGATTAGAATCGGTGTATATGTTCTATTGATGTTACATATTTATGTTATGTATATGTTGCTTTGCAACATCATTTAGCATTTATTTTTTCAATTAATTATAAATGATCAACATCAACATTATGTTATATACGCCTACATTTTCTTGTATATTGCGTGTTTATTAAACAACTGAATGACATTGTAATCGGCTTATTTCTTTCAATATTTTAATCAATCGGTTCTTATCAATATTTTAATAACTACGTTAGCAACATCTTCATTTTCTTAACTTGTGATTTAATGATATAATAAATAATAGCTATATATGGAACAACAAACTTAGACAACAACAATTGTAATCTCTTAGTTAGTTATTTAATTTAATTGCCAATTAAATTGATCATTTACATGAAGGCAAATTTGTTGACAGAATTAGACATTTGTCATTACCTAGGACAGCATTTAACAAATAAACGTTAAGTACTGCAGCATCTAATAGTCAGTAAAACGCACTTACATTATCATTATTATACTGGTTTTAAGTTGTGGTGGTAAAAATATTTGAATGTATAACTTGTTTGTAGTTTATTGTAGTGGTTTTATAGTGAATTCATTAAATTTAAGTTGTAAAATATCGTGGACTGCTGTTGCTCAGCTTCGTAGAGAAGTTTGTTGAAATTGCCCAGAAATGAAAAATATTTTCAAGCATTGTTTGTTGTATTTATTTTCATATTAAAATTCTAGAGGAATGCCTATATTTAAGGAATCCCCACATTGGGTTTGTCTATACTTTCTTTTTATATATATCTACCTAAGTAATTTCATTTAAAAAAAGAATACACGTAATATTTGTAAAAATTGAAAAGCGTGTACTCTGTGATGTATTCTAGACTGCTAGAATTGTCTTGAAACGAATGAATCTGGGTGAGGCATTGAAATGTGACCGAATGCAATTATTATAAATAAATAAATACAAATTATATTATTGTTTTATTTGTAAGTGCAGAAACTTAGCAATCGCCATATAATTTTAGACCTGCATGTACCAGAATTTTGGCTACAGTAAATTTTATTCATATGATTCCGAGCTTAATATATTGTAAAAAAAAAGTAAGAAGCGATTTCCTATTATCGAATGCGTGGATAAATCTCACCCGTGGCCCGCGTATTAGTATTAACAGGGTTTCCAATCCCAGAAATTTTCTCTCGTACAAAGAAGCTAAAAAATCTCGTAACTTGGCTCAGATTCCTCGTAAATAAACTTATTTTTAGAAAATGTTTGAGATTAAGTAATGTCGACAAATGTAACAGAACCATGACAGAACATGATAAGTATTGAATCCATTTTTTACTTTACACTTAATATTCTCAAAAGTATTATTATTAGTTTTATTACGTGTACCCCATTGCTAACAATATACCATGTCAGCTTAACCTCCACGCGGTTCCCCTTAGAACCATTATAAGTTCCTGGTGAATTTGGTACTAACTGATAACTAATTAAACCGACTTCATGCATGCTTATTCCATCAGCCTCCATGCATCGCTAGCGTATATCGTGTGCGTAAGCAGACTTATGTTCCAATAACTACAGGGTCAAAACGTTACATGCAAAAGAAAATTGTATTAGATATAAATTTCCGTAGATTTAAATATTGTATTTGTAACAAGGATCGTACAACTGAGAATAACAAGGTTAGCATCCCGTATCCAATAACCATTATTACTTTGTTAGGTTTGCAACCCTGACAAATGTAACCTAAACAGATTCTTGTTCTTAGGAACTTGGTAGTGATATCAGTTAGGGATGCGATGTCATAAATGGGAAAAAATATCGACATATCCGTTATATTTCGGCAAACAGTTGTAAATGTGATCTGTATTTGTATAATTTATTAATTGAAGGGGAAATCAGATCTATAGAGACAATAATTTTTTTTTATTTTTAAAAATAATATGAATAATCTCTGGTCAGTTTGTGGTTATATACTAATTGTAATCGTATACAAATAGCAATAGATTTGAATTAATATCATTTTAAATTAAAAAGAAGTGCAATATGAATAATATTCATTCAAGTCTGTTACAAAAAAATGTACTAGTTTTAGTTTAGTACGAAATTCTTGAGTAAATAGCTACAATTTTGAATAATTATTATTATTCAAAATTCATGTCGTTGATAAGAAATCTCGTACACGAAATTTCCTAATAATGATAAGGCAGCTCATGATATCTGCTTTGTTTTGATCATTGTAATATATATTTATATTTCCTATAGATGTGTTATATGAGGAACATTAAAATTTTCAATAGTTATAATTATAATTCAATGATATCTCGAAAAGAATATATCGATATATCGATAAAATAATAGTCAATAGTCAAACCCAAATTCAGTCAAATCATTGAGCTGCTGAAAATTAGAGAATAGTATGAAAATATTAAAAATTAAAATAACCTAATACAATACCTTTGCAATAAAGGTACAAAACTATTGACTGTGTGTTTTTTTTACAAATGTGTTACATAACCAACATTGCAGTTTGTGAGGCAAACCAAGTGCCACATTATATTTATTATACATCATGGTTTGAATACATAATATATTTCAAGTAAACGACCATAACACTTGGACAATACGAAACGGTAACAGTAATTTACAGTCCTCTCTAATTAATTAAAAATATAAATCCAATACTATTAATATTATTCTTGTATTTCAGATGAACATGTATTCTCCACGCCAAAAGATATTATGGTTTGCGTTTAGTTCAAGAATTGTTGTGATATTTTTACAAGCAATTTCAAATTTTATAATACCGGACCATGACGCCAATGTTTTTATAAGCCCAGTAGATCCATCATTGCGCCAAACATATGCAGATGTTGCAGTGAACAATTTGTTAGGTGGTATGAAAAGATGGGATGCACAATACTTTATACATATAGCACAATATGGATACACTTATGAAAATTGCTTAGCCTTTTATCCATTGTTTCCCATGGTTGTAAGATATGTAGCCTATGGACTATGTAGTTTATTGGGAACACTGTTAAATTTTCATAGTGCATTGTTAATATCTGCAACAATCATCAATGTATTAATGTTTATTAAATCTGCTGATGTATTACATAGACTGAGCTTAAGGGTTACAAGAAGTGAGTGTAAGGCTTACAAATGTGCAATACTATATTGTGTTAATCCTGCAAGTATATTCTTTACAGCACCTTATTCAGAGACATTATTTGCTTGGATGTCATTTTATACAATGTTAAAATGTACAGAAAATGAAACTTTGAGGTTTGCTAATATTGACATAACAAGTGGAATGCCTGCTGGATTTTCATTGATAACTAGATCTAATGGTTCTGTAAACATAGGTTTTATTCTATATACTAGCTTCAAAAATGTAATAGAAAGGACTTTACCTGAAATTGTGTACAAATACAAGACATTAAAACATAGAATTATAATTCCAGTCTTGTTGTTGCCTCTGTTCACATCAAGTGTTGCACTTTTTTTGGTTTTAATAATAACTTTCATCCCATTTCTGTTAGTGCAAACTTATAATTATTTTAAATTTTGTATACTCAATGATCATAATTTACCAGAATTTCTGTCTAACACTGAATATGTTTTGCCAGGTAGTGCTGAAAGCCCTTGGTGCAATAGCACCATACCCCTATCATATTCATATATACAGAGTCATTACTGGGATGTAGGATTTTTTAAGTATTATAAATTAAAACAAATTCCAAATTTCATACTTGCTTCTCCTTGCATTTTTTTAATATTGTACCATTGTATAAGTTATATTAATAGTAATTTTAAATTATGCCTTCGACTTGGAATAAAATCTAATGTATTTGGATATTCAAACAAAATGCCTTATAGGCAAAAGCAATATTCTAAAGGATTTGGGGCCAATGATCCTTCAATGTTTGTATATATAGTGCATGTAATGTTTTTAACAATATTCTGCATAATTTTTGTACATATACAAGTGTCAACAAGACTTTTGGCATCTGCCAGCCCTGTGCTGTACTGGATATGCTCTAGTAGAATGAATGTAGGACCTACTCCAACTTCAGACCAAAATACTATTAATGAGCATTTTCGTCGTATTGGTATTGGGAAAAGAATACCCTCCCATCATTTATCAATAGCCAATTTAGAAGGTGTTGACAATATGTATAGTAAATGGAAAACATTTGTAATATCACGAAGGATGCCTGATTTTCATTCCAGGTTAATTCAGTATTATTTTATAGGATATTTCATAATAGGTACTATATTTTATTCGAATTTTTATCCATGGACTTAAATACTTTATCTTAAACAGGACATATCAGAGAACGTATCAAATTCATTTATTAAATATATCTCCATTAATTAAGTGTTATCACTTGTAATATTCTAACATATCAGATGACGCATTTAAAGATTAATATTATTTTACGCAATAGTGCTGATATAATATATTACAGAGTTATTTTATTTCTGCAGTACTGAGGTTAATTAAAATTACTAGTTAGTATTTATCTTTATACAATATAGCGAAATAGATAGACATACCTATTTATGTCCTAGACTTTTTAAATCTTTCTATAGTATTGCTATTTTTAAGATTTCGGATCATTCCTTAATAAAAGTATTATATAATAAGACTAATATAATTATATATTTAATGTTATTATGTCTTTAAATATTTAGGACTTGACTTTTCTGCTTAAACTTAATAAAGTATGGGGCCTTTCAAAGTTATCGTAGGTACATATAGTCCATTTATATATAGCACCATTTAGTTAAAGAAATTCATTGCCTTTATATAATATTAAGACGATTAACAAAACTGAACTGCGATTTATTCTAGTCATTTATTTACAAATATACCAAATGGCATTTCTTTAAGTAATAATATTAGGTATATAATTATCACAAAATAGTCATAAGTTAGCGAAAGCCGAGTCCAGACGTGTGTAAATAGTAATGAATGTAAGGAAATAATAGTGTATTGTATTTTTTTATGGATGATACGCACATAACGCGCGAATAATGTAGCACAGTCTGCGCATGCAATGTTTGGCAGGCTGGCAAGGCATCCGTGAAGAGTAATAATATACTAGTATGAGCATGAAGTCAGATTAGTAATCGTGATGAACACTAGTAATTAACTATGGTGGTTTTAAGGGGACCGTGTAGACTTTGTATTCAAACTTGCTAGGAATCACTATTGCTAAAACGTATAATTTACATTACGTTATACACACATCTGGACATTTATATTTATAGCTGTGCTGTAAGTAATTATTTAGCTGGAATTGACTTATTTGTTTATGAAATTAGGTTGGCTGGCTTTGGGTCCAATTAACAGTGGCCAGTTACCAAATATTTTTTTAATATAATTTATTTTTGTTAAATAATTTGATTGCAATTACCTTAATAATTTAGTAATGAGTGAGTTTTTTTCTGCATTGTAAGGTAAATATTATCATTGTAGCGTATATGAGAAGTGAAAACTGGTTTATAAGAACAACTTGGAAAGACTTATCAAGCCCTGTCGTAGAGTATTGACTTTTTCGCTTATAAACAATCATAATAATTGTTTGTGATTTTTTATGTATAACTTGTAACGTATTTAAACTTAAAAAAAGAAAGAAGTTGGACTAATTTAATTATGTTTAATGAAGTTTTATTCTGAAAACTATTACATTCAAAGAGTTGTGGTGGGAAAACTTAAGATACTTATGGGTAGTTTCAGGTACGCGATTGCGACAGAAGGCTGCGACCACAAGTCATATACACCGCATACTGCCATAGGATTACACATTCAATGTAATCCTCTGTGCAACAAAGAATGTGAACCTCTGTGATAGAAAAAATTCAAAGCATTGAATACTTCTGTATGAAACGCTGTTCATATAGAAGTAGATACTTAAATGGGACAATGAGATAAATATGAATCGTGATCGCGTACCTTAACGTCATCATACAATTGATACATCTTAATGTGTTTCTGAAGATGCAAATGAAATTTCAAGATATACAATGCTGGGAAATATGGGCGCTAGCTAACATTTTATAAAATGAAGGACATATATAATTTTTAGATATCAGTAGTTAATGATCGAAAGGCAAATAGAAGTGTTTTGAAGTGACAATATGTGTTTACTTTTGTAATAAAAATTATAGAAAGTAAATAAAATTACATTCCGGAAAATTAATAAAGATAAGTGCAGCTTCTTTAAATTTACATTTACCACCGTCCATTATTTAAAAAAATAAATAGCAATAATTTCAATGTCAATTGGAAATAAATAGAACATGATTTCTCAATCATTTTGGCGAGTCGCACAATGTATTTTTTTATTTGGGGGCTTACAATAGCTACTTGTTTCATATATATCTATTTAGTTGAACTCTGGGCTAACTTTATGACGAAGTTAGTTATGCAAATGTTTTAATACTGCCTCTCGGTCTCGGCTTGGATAGCCATAATACAAACATTTGTGTTCAAGAATAGGTCTATGTCTGTTATTGTTCTGGATATTTTCTATGTATATTAAATATGTATTTGGAAATAAATTATGTATATCAATTGTTTAGTACTTGTACAAGCTATATTTAGATTGGTATGAGATGGTGCATTATGATACATTCAGGGTTTATTATGCTATAATAAAAGCGACCCTCCAATGGATCGCAACTCCCCGATTGAGGAAAAATGTGACATAATACAATGTAATAATAGAAATCTAACTTTAACGTTTTATCTCATATGTATATTTTTAATAATCACTTGTGCTTTTGCTTATATAAAATTTATAAAGTCTTATACTGTCATATTACTTTCTTTATCATACGTAATTTTCACATATTTAAAATATTATACGGTTGTGAAATAAAATTCTTAATTAGTAATTAGCAGTGCAAAAATGTCTCAATTATTTGATCTACTTCTATTGAATTAAACCAAAATTAAGTTATTACATTTTTTTATTAAAGTATATTACATTCCTTTATATACCTAGACACGAAAGAATTTTTAAACTTATAACCATAGAATACTTCATACATTCGGACATTTCAACCAGCATGACATCATAAGATAAAATCGGTTTATTAAAAAATAAGTTTTGTATATGTTAACAATATATAGCCTATCTCACTCTGAAATAATATGCCTTTCAAATACTGAAAGAATTTTCTCTCTAATACAGGACACCGTTTCACTTATTATTTATTAAATTTCGCAATACATACAACAATACCACAATACACTACAAAACACTGAAAATATAAATAAAAATTCTATAGAAAAGTCTTCCAACAATGAAGTTGACAAGTGTTAATTTTATGCTTTCTATATAATTTGTTCTATGAAATAACAGAAATGGCATGTTTACACCATTAATGTAGTAGCAAATTTATAAACACGTATATAATTCATCATTCCACATATTACGATTCAGATATATACATTTGCACTGTTTATCTAATTCTTCACATAGAAGTTTTTCGTATCTTAGCCGCGTACTTATTCGAAACTAATCATTAAGTTCCAAGAACATATTGATCCTCATTGATAAAGTATTTATAAAATATCACACTGAGGAAGATTCTGTACAATGTCGCCATCGTGAAGTACCTCTGTGTGTCACCTACTTAAAACGCCAAGCAGCTTATTTTGTAAGCTATATTTCAGCTGAAGGATGAGATATGGCAGTGAAATTATTTAGTACGGATCTTAGTCATTCTTTGCCATTCCGGCTACATAAGAAAATATAGTGATATTCTGATTACTAATAATATAATACTACAGTACAGAGTAGTCTTCTTTTTAGTAGATCATTAATTAATATTATGATTACTCATTATTTTCAGCGTTGGATTCTGGCACTGTTTTAGGTGATGGTGCCGGTGAGATAGGTTCCGTCGAATCCAGTAGGTCGAGGTCTGCGGCGGGTTCCAGAGGATCCCCGCCGACGGAACCCTACGCGGCCACTAGAGCTTCCTGCAGACGCTGGCGCGCCCGTTTCACACGTTCTTCTTGTCGTCGTACGTCATCCTTTGTTATCGTCACGGCCGCTATTAGTGGTTGCTCAGGGTTTAAAAAAACACCAGGATTTTCTAATATAGCTTGTTTCGCTCCAATTTGACCTGAAAGACAAATACAATATATGTAATTATATACATATATCTACAGGGTACATTTTTAAAGTGATGTAGCAAGTATATGTAGTATATTGACTGTCATACTTTAACGGTACCTGTCATAATTATGAGAAGATTTACTTATGACTCCGAATTTGGAATAGAATGACGTTTTATTTGTTTCGAAAATAAAAAAAAATAATCTGCTAAGAGTGTGCCTAGGATTTCCTTGATCTGGACTAAATAGGGGTATAAATTGGATTGTAAGTATAATTTGTTTATTAAAATTTTTTACAATGTTAGAATAGAAACATTCATTATCTAACAACATCTAACATACAATTTTTCTTGTATATATGTTGTCCATAATCTAGACACGCGGTAGCGTGTCAAGCCGAGTTTCAAGTAAACTGGCAAGCAGCACCGTGTGTATATTTACACGAACCATTTGGAGCCACTTTTGACCCCCTATGAGGGGGTCAAAAGTGGCTCAAAAACTCTTTCACACAAACCAGTCAAATTTGGTTCATATATTGAGACTTGCGAGATAAATATGTGTTCCAAATTTCATAAACATATCTCAAACGGTTATTTAGATATTAATGTCCAAAAATCGTCATTTTTATCACTGATCAACTATAGATCAAAATTATAACCCACTTCCAGATGACCTAGGAAGTTCAAATTTGGCATGCAGATAGGTAATTAGGTGAATATAAAGGAAAAAATATTATATTTCATATACGAAATATACTGTAGTCTTCTCAAGTTCTAAACATGTTACTTGTCGGTTCCTATTTTAATATTAGTAGTAACTAGCAATCGAAAGTAATAATTGGTATATGAGAACTGGCCAAGTTAGACCTTAGGCTACAGTATATTATCCTAAGTTATAAGAAGAAATGATATTTATATTGTTATAAATGCATTTCAGGACAGACCATTGAACTTGGCACCCATTTAGATCTCATCTCTTTTGTCGTAGAAATCAACAATCAAGGTATATATCATAATATTAAACTCGGCTATCATTTCACATTTATGTTTTTGATGGGATATGTTTAATAGTAGGTCAATTGTTTGTATAGTAGGTTTTCTCGCTTCAGTCTTCACAGACACCATGGCGAGGTTACTTTATTACATTTTTGACAAATTACACGGCATTATATGAAAAACTATAACATTAAATATAAAACCTGAACATCTCTCGCATTAAGTGTACCTCACTTCAGCTAGTACGATAATTTTGAAAGAAAAACATACTTTCAAATAAGTATCTATAATAATATTTCATACAAGAATTAATTTCATTATTCATTAGTTTTATTCCATTTATGTTTGTATTATATGATCTTACCTGTAATTGGTTGAGAGGAAACATGAAGAGCCGTTGCCAAAGACTGTATAGTAGTTGCGTCAGATGTATAAGGACCTAACGGTTTTATATATTTGGGAAGAGATGTCGTTCCAATAACACCATTTGCATCACAGGCTGTTAGACCCTGAAAGATTTTCATTTATTTATTTATTATTACTATTTATACAATATGAGCCAGCATATTGATCCTTAGTTTGTGGTGAACGTAACGATTGACAAGTCCACATTTCGTTTATTAATTTTTTTATAAATTTGAAACACCATAATATTATGAAAAGATGGGAATACGTTTCCCACTGTATGTAGACCAATCTCGTATTGCATATTTGTTAAATATGTAGATATAGGAAGATAACTTTTTATATCTACGTGAGAAATAACATTGATACCAACCTCAAGCCTCTTCTCCCAAAATAATTGTTTGGGTTTCTCTTGGGTGCCATGTTTCAAGTCTGTCTTCACTTTGCTCTCTTGTGTTTTAAACACGGTGACGGGCTGTTTGAAAATTGAAGCAGTTTGGCGTATTGGAGGCACCAGCGACGCATCAGAGCGTACTCCCCTGTTTTACATATGTATTTGATTACTCTGTTTTCGATACGATCCGTAACATATTGCAACTAATGGTATTTTTTCGCCGTTCAACTAGTTTAATATCCCAGCTATAACTCCATGACATACGAGATGGTGCATTGTTCCAGATGGCGTAATAAGCATTAAGCTTAAAGTAAATATAAAATTTTAGGGAAAAAACAGAAAGAGTACATTATTACTTTCTCCATTAATTAAAAAAAAGTAGGAGTGGCAAATTTCCGGTTACAAACGGCCCAGGCGGGAACAAACCATGCTACGGTAATGTCTAGCTTCGTTTATAAGTTAAATAGCTCTATTCAACAAAAATAAAAAAAACTTGCCCATTAAAAAATCCCAGTCATTTTGCAAGTTTATCCATTTGGTCTATATTTTTGTGACCATTCAATACGGTCGGATGCGTTGTCAAATACCCAAATCATCAAATGTTATCAGATCTTCATTTTAATTACTACATAATTCTTTGGTTTTAATTTACCATAAGTTGCAATATATATACATCTATATTTTTCCCAAAGGGTAAATCTATGTAGACAGTAAACTACATTACTAGTCAGTGTTCAAAGCTACATGTTTTATTAATGTGATTGTTACTCTACGTACTATCTTTAAAATGCATACTTTATAATTCGTAATAAACTTTTCTTATTACTTTCCTATTATATAAAAAAAATATTTTTTTTTGTATAAATTCACGTAGTTTGTCGTCTACATTACATGATAGACATCATGTGGTATTCTTCAGGACTTCTCAGTTTTAAGGTCCAATTAGATACAACCTAAGAGGTACCATACGCAGTAATTTCACTTCCCAGGGAAGTGAAATTACCGTTTCTATAGAGCAAACACAGCATGCAAGTAAACGGTTTGGTGGTAGAATTAATAGGTGATATACGATTATCCATGCGGACGACTTTGTCGAAGACGATATACCCCGCCCGCTACCAAATAATGGTATGCACTTCAAATTTTGTGTATATCACAATTTCTTATTATTACAGACTCAGATACAGATATTGTATAATTATTAACATTAGCTACCACCTAAGCTGCCTTGCAGTTGGAATGTGAAATTTGTGTAAGAGTTGGCAACATATGTTAAGCTTTAGAAAACAAATGATAAAATACAATTAGCAAAGCCGTTGTGAGTTACAGAAATGAATGGTGAGGTGAGACAAGCACTACAATAACATAGACTAAGCTCCGTGTGTTCAAGGTTAAACAGGTACTAGTACTGATTTTGTGTTGAAGCTGTGCAATAATTGGTGTTTGACTAAATGTAAAGATATTACACAAATTAATCTAATCCCCCATTTCCGCCAAAATATTTGTCGCAAAATATGATGTACGGGACACATATTTTGATAGAAACAGCTGTGACATCTACACAAGCAAGAAACACGTTTTATACATGTAAAACAACACATATAAATACATGATCTCTACATGTTTTATACATGTACAATACATAATGTTTGGAGAAAACGCGGTGTAAGAGATAAGTTCTAGGGCACACTGCACTGACAACTATACAAGCATTTCTAATCAGCACAAACATTAAGAACACAAAGCTGCACTATGATCACAACACAAGTGAGAGAAGTTATGACACTGATGTGGAACCTGTAATCGAACTGCGCTCGTGCTTTCTTGGCCTTGCACAGCAGCATTGTGTTTATTTGACCCTGCTGAAAGTCGAAACACGACAGGTCCACACTATCACCAAGATAACGTACTAGCTCCGGTTTACTGCGAAACTTTTTACCTGTAGGGCTATAGAAAATTTATTGTCAGCAGTCGACAGTGATCTATTATAGTGTTGAATTTAGCACTGGGTAGGCAGATACATTTTTAGCCCTCATTTATAATATGTATCTTAAAAATGCGAGTAGACATTTGATTGTTATAGTAGTTTTATCTCATAATTAATTAATAACATTAAAACACTAGGACTAGATTTATCAATGTATTTTAAACAACAAATGAACACCTATCAAAAATTTGTGTATCTAATTAAAGTCTCCAAACATGATGATGACTTGATGAAAAAATTCTTCTCAATTTGCTCATCCTACATACATATAATAAAATACTACCATATAAGTACTTAATTACAGAATAGATATTAGTTAAATTTGTTTATGTTGAGATTATGTAATAGGTATGTCTGTGTGTTTGTGCATGATAATCTTAGAAATAGTTTCTCTGATTTGAATGTTCCTTTGACATAGTAAGTTTTGCAATGCTTAGATAAATATAAACACAAGTTTTAAACATAATAAATCTCAGTAACATTATTATTTTTATCAATTTATATAAATTGAAATAAGATAAACTATTCTGTACAAATTAGTTAATTTTGCTTTTACACAATGTTTGAACTAAGTGTTTTAAATTCATTTTAACTATCTAGTGCTGCTATTCCTACGGATTTGACAATATTTGTGTACAGTGTAGTACCTGGACTCTCTTCAATAGGCCTCCTAACATCCCAAACATAACTGTGATGTTAAATTTAAGCATTTCAAACCACCCAAACATGAACTCTGTCAGTCTTTACCTATATGGTCATAAAAAGAATACTAAATTGGATTTTATTTGGAAAAAATATCAACCATGTGGAACACCTAGATATATACTCATTAAACAAATGGGACAGCAAAGTTCAAATGATTGTTTTAACTAAACATCTGGAAAATACAAGAATCTTTAACACATTTATTTAATCATTTAGGACAATGTACAAAGCTTACACTTTTAACTACACTATTAATTACAATTAATGTGCTGCCAATTTTCATTATATTTCTGTTTTTCATAATTCATAATATAATATTCAGTTTCAATAGCACTACAAGCAGATTAGATAGATACAGTTGTATTTAGGAATAATTATTTTATATTAACAAATATTTGTGCATAGTCATTTTTATAGCAGTTCTAGTTTTGACATGCACATGGAGGGAGCAAAGTGAATGCACAAATTTCAGATCAAAATATTCAAGTCAGTTGTGAATGGCAATGTAAATGTGCTGCATTGACATGAAATTATTTTACATGAGGACTAGTTTGGCATCACTCAATGTAAAATGTTAAATATATAGATACAATTGTCACTTTCATTTTACAGTCACACAATCAAATGTCCAACTCGGTAAACATTACAATTTTTTTTAATATATTATTAAAATAAAAGAATTTGTATAGAGCTATGACATTTAGTAATGATATTAGAAATTTAGAAGTAACTTAGGTACTTCCGACATACCGAAAACTTAAGCACCCACTGGCCGTAATGTGATTACATCTAACAAAAATAGGTTAAAACATTTTTGTGAATTTATTTTCATTAGAGAATGGCTATGTTACCTAGATTATTGCTAATTAAGAAATAAAATGTTATCGTAAAATACCTGTAGTAATAAACATCAACTTTGCCAGCAGTTAGGCCAGTTTTTCTAATAACTTCTTCTCTTTGCCATCCTTTAGGAAGAGCAGTGCAATCTGATCTTTTCCTTTCAATAGAAATATTCATTATTTTCACAAAATTGATTAACGTTCAAGTTATTATATAGTTTTAATAGGAAATGTAAACGAAATAATTACTATTTGCAGAAATATTTTTTTGTTACTAAATACCAAATAAACAGAAGAATACAATACTTTTAAAATGGTTTCGATGGCTCTGGATGCAAGCCTTTTAAAACTACCGTACCAGTGATTGCCAAGTAACTATTACTTTTAATATTTAAAAACAAACTTATTCTAATCACTGAAAGCACAGATAATATAATATTACATACTGAAAGTATATGAATACACGATCAAATACAACGTAACGTTACGCTCTATAGAGTTAATTGTTTTTCGGCTATAATAAATAATTATGATGATCTTATGAAGATCAACGTAAATTTTCGTCAAATATAAAATCATATTTTGACGTCGTTACACAGAGATGTACAAAATATTTAAATAGAACAAATAAATACTTTTAAGCGTTTTCCATTTCACCTGTAAATTCGAATAGTATTATATTTTGTATTTAATACAGTTAATGCAAAACATATATTTTAAAATATAATTATTTCGTGGGCCTTAACTTTTCTTATTATATTAGTACATCTTCATATCATCAGTTTATTTTATCAAAACAAGTCTTAATTTTAATTAACCACAGCAATTAATTAGCAATTAATTGCAGCTTGCACTTTCACTCGGAAATAGCTAACGTTATAAGGAGTAACTTAGACTACTTTCATTATAGAAAATTATGTATTAAAAATAAATAAATTTGTATAATAATAAATTATTTCAAAACAGTAGATCGTCGTCGTCCCAGTGGTGAGAGTAGCATGTGGGCTTGACGTCTCCTTCAGATTCGGTGCTGTTCGCGATCGGGGCAGTGCACGGGTACAGAATACTCGTGAGACAGTCCAACGATCGTATACGAGATGATGACGGTCCATTCGACACTGTTATAAATATTGAACTGTTTGAAAATGTTTTAATGTCATAAAGGTCTGCTATACCGAGGTAGAATTTGTACAGAGTCTGCAGCGTGACCGACATCTCTCTTACAATTACGTGAAATTACAGGCTACGAAAGCGTGACATTACAGTAAGGGTATGGTAACGCATGAGTTCTATAAATTCATGTTATACATTATACCTACGTAAAATATAATATATAACAATAAATCATACGTATAGTAATATGATGCAAAATTTTAATTTATTTCATACATCTGACTATTAACAATTATTGACTTCTTATAATGTTAATATTGTACACCTTTAACTAATTTATAGTGCAATCCAATAATTTTTGTGATTGAAGTTATTGTAAAAAAAGGAGGCAAGAAAATATTTATGGACAATGAATGAATTTATTATCATAGTGAAAAATTAAGCAAACCACTCGAGTCTCCGCTGTCACCGCCCCGTGGTTCTGGACGTAATTTCGCAATAGCTTGATTCTGAATCTTCTTAGCTTTCACCATTTTTAATCGATGAAAATCTTCTCTCTCCTAATTAGCATTAAATATTTATTCTTTAAATTTATATTAATAGAGTTTAATATATCATGTAGTCATGCTAAACTTGTGCAATAAAGTCGTTTGCGGTATCAGAGGCCTTACCTCTGTTCAATGTATTCCTGCCATCATGCAGTCGACTTAAAGCTGTGTTTCTGTTTTAAAGTAATATACCGCGAATGGGTGATGGAATGTCCTGCAATATGACCGACGACATCAAGGAGGCTGGTGGAGTGGATTGGTGAGGAAGGCGGAAAGTTGCATATGGTGAAAGGGATTGGGAAAGACCTATAATCAACAGTGGAAATAATGCAGAGGCATCATAGTTTGGTCCTCAGGAATATGTGTAAATTACATTTATGTAGGTATATAGGCGACGCCTAAGTACTACTTTCCATCAGGTGCGCTAACAGATTATGTATGATATCAAGCTTCACTCAAATACTAATATAAGTTATTGTGTTATCTGTGACTCTATATGTTAAAGAAGAAAATTACCCTTTCGTCCATTTCCATCAATATGTAGACTTCGGTGTTTCGTAATTTTGGCATAATTACTTTCTCAATACCATTTATCTTTCTAAAATAAATGAACTAATATTATTGCATTGTTAGGTAGTGGTCATTTATATGATCTTGCTTAGCATTATACTATATCAACGAAGCACTCTTGGAAATCATAATGCTTAATGTCCGGTGAATTTGTTGCCGTTGCTAATAGACCTGACTGGGGGAAAGGGATTGTTTTTTTTTTGAAGGTTGATAATGGAATGGTGCACCCGCCTGCGCTAACGGTTTACGCTGGCGGGGCACCAGTGGAGGATGATAAGATGAGCATGAGGACAGGTCAGTTAGCCCATCGTGACAAATTCACCAGGAATTTACACGATGAATGTCACGATGGGCTAACTGACCTGACCTCATGTTCATCTCTATAATCCTCCACAGGTGCCCCGCCACAGTAAACCGTTAGCGCAGGCGTGCGCACCATATCATTATCATCCATAAAAAAAAATAGACCTGACTTAGCCAGCGCATTCGGCGCGCGATTCCATTATCATTATAATTTAATTTTAAATCTATCATTTAGGTACCTTTATCCAGTACCGGATTAAGCCAGCGCAGGCTTGTAACAAATTATTTATCAAGATGCCTATGGTTCGGTTTCACTACTCAATTTTGAGTTTAATAACAATATTTGCAAGTTATATATACTTTTTTCGGTGTAGCGCCTGTAAAAACTAAAATAAAAATGGTTGAAATTACACGCTTTCTTCGTTGTATTATGGGCAGACAGGAGAGGCTGCGGGGTCTCTGTGCGTAGAGTCCGTAGCATTTGCTACACTTGTTACTAGGCTTCTCTGATACTACGATGTTCAATAGTGTAAATTAAGAATTGTGTTTTTTCATAATACCTGAACGTAGTTCTAAGTGCCTCATCCAGCAGAATACAGGTATTTCTCAACGACGCAAACTTGACGAGGATGTGGATAGCTTCCTTGAACGCTTTCTTGGCTTCTCCCGTGCGGTGGCCACCAGCTCCAAGGCCGGCGTAACGGAAAACATCACCCACAGTCGAGTCTTCGACTGCTTGCAATGACACAGTTGCTACCCCAGATATGTTTTCTGATATACGTTGTACACGGATTTGCGCCTAATATAAATACGAAGATAAAATAGAAATATTTAACAATTTTCTTGCAGCCATTGGCTGAAGGCCTACAAACATAAATATAGAGTAGAAATACTATTATACATATTCGATGGTTTTAGCCTACTTGTAATTGCTATTCTAAAAAAAAAACTAGTGTTTAAAAATATACACCATCGAAAGTCTGTATCTAACGAAATGATGGATAATGATAATTAACTATAGATACGTCAATATGAACAAGAACTTATTACTTGGTGGTAATGATGCTCAATGCAAGCTATGTTAAATACAACTTACTTGTCCAATATTTTCTAGAACCAAAGCGTTAGTCTCTCCATTAGTGAATTTAATAGCAGCTAGCGATATGTACGCTTCTCTCAACGTGTGGCCCAAAATCGCTTGGGTAGAGGCAAGTTCCGCTGCTGCTTGCCTGCCTCTTATACGAAGAGCTTCAGCCTTTCGCCTCAGGAGTTGGTACCCACGTTTTACTTGCTCCTGACGATGTGTTATTTCCCTTAACATGAACATTGACGCTGTGACGGGATAACGATTATCGGTATTCATGCTTTGCTATTATTATTAGACATATACGCTTTACGACTGTTCCTGTGTAGTTCTAGATAATGTCTAGTCTTTCAGTGTCAGGATGACAATTTAATTTTTTTTTTTAAAAGAGTAATTATTTCAATTATATATGGCTTTATAATCGATGCCCTACTTTAGATTAACTATACTCGTCTAAAAAATAACTGTTATACTATTTATCACACACGACCATTTATTCATAATATTGCTGCTCAGAATTTATCTATTGAAATTTTCTTGTTGGTTTCAATAGATAAATTCTGATATGTTGTATATACTACTATTTATTTGCAAAAACAATAGTCAAACATTTGTACTATTGCTTTTGCAAATAAAGTTGAGGAAATTTCTAAAAATTTTATACTGTAATAATGCAGCTTTATATATTATAGATTAATTCAGACTCCCAAGCTAATTTGAGGACCCACATATAATAAAATAAAATATGGTTCAGATATTAGAAGTAGTCTATATTTCGTCTTAATTCTATCTTTACAATTTACAAATGTATTAAGTAAAGCAGTCTGTTTTTAAGTTTACTTAAATGTAAGAAATATTTCACTAGCACAGTTCATATATTATTTCTTAACTATACGAAATTCCAATAAATATCGTCTAGGTCTCAACTGTCTTGCCAATAATTGTAATTGCCTAGAGGAGGCATCGGTGGGCCGTTCGGAGGTCCAGCTCCGGAACTATAGGGTGACCCTTGGGGTGATCCGTAGCGAGGCCGAAACCACGGTCTACTGCTATACTGGTACTGATTATTCGCATAAGCTGCCATGTTTTGACCCGTTGCGTTAGGGTATGGATTCTGTGGATTTGGATTAGGAGGAAAACCGACATTGGGCATGTTTGGGAGATTTGGCGGTGGATAGTTTTGGTTTGGAGCTAGTGTTGTAGATGGTGAGAAATTACTTTGTGAAGTGTTCTGTGTGGTGGATGTTCCTTGTCCGTAGCTTTGATTACTTGATTGTAGATTCGGTGCATTTGCCGAGTTGGTATTATAATTAGGCGGTGGCTGTGATAATGTGTTTTGATTTACATTATAACTTGAAGTCTGGTTTGCACCGTTGGATCCATAATTAGGTGTAACAGTTTGATTTTGTGGAGTAATGCCTGTACTTTGCGTTGTCGAACCGTCTACCGCAGAAGGGAAACTCTGTTGACCAGGATTCTGTACAGATGAATTGCCTGATATAGAATAATTATCTTGAGAAGACGAGATATAATTTGTCTGATTATTAGCACCATTCGTGCTGTCAGTAGTGGTAGTAGACTGTCCATTACCATTGTTCGAGGTAGGATTGGTGGGTTGACTGGTAGGCAAATTATATTGGACATTAGGATTATTTCCCGGAACAGTTAGTGTCCCAGAATTGGGTTGCATCATGTATTGGGGAGGAATTCCTGTGAATTGTGTAGTTGGTGTCATGAAGGAGTTCTGGGGTACTATTTGGTGGATGGGCGGTGGTGGTTGTGAAATAGGTATAGTAGGAGTATTAGTCATAGGTGAGGCAGGTGGGGGAGCCTGTACAATAGGTATGGTGCCAGATACGGCTAAATTAGGATTTGTTAGCTGCTGTCCCGCGAGAGCTGCGTTAAGCTGTTGCGCCGATAACTGAGTATTTAAATTTATACCAGCGGGCATATACTGTGAGCTGCCTTGCATATTCATTGGCATCAGTGGAACATTGTACTGTACCCCACCGGGTACACTCAGCTGATTGGGTTGCATAACCGTCACATTTTGCCCAGGCTGTAACACCTGTTGCCCTATAATTCCTGGTGGTAATCCCCCGGTTTGGACCAAGTTTGGATGGTTCGCCGGGATCATGTACACTTGGCTGTTCGGCTGGCCAATCATAGTCGGTACTTGACTGATGTTTAGAGGATTTTGTAGTACAGTCATTCCCGGGGGTACTGTTATCATTTGTACGTTTTGAGCTGCGCTTTGAACCTTGTTCCCTGTGAGGTCTTGTTTCAAGTTGTCTTTGCTGCCTTGGATTTGTATAGCGTTTCTGTCTATTTGGCGGATGTACATCCCGCTGCCGTCTTGTGAGACGCCTGAAGTTGCCGCACTGAATAAAGCAAAAGATAGAATTTGAACAATGTGTGTAGATATCGGCAATTAAGACTCATTAATATTATTATAATTTTTGTCTCATTATACACTGGCAAAATCGGTTTCGCTCATAGATTTTGGACTAGGATGATCGACTTTCTACAAACACCATGTCGTCCATTCTCTAACGTATTATGTGTTTTTGAGACGATGTATTTCTAAAGTGAGTATTCTTTACTACCAGTATTATATCCTAACTAATATTATAAATGCAATAGTGAGCGAGTTATTTACTTTCAAGCCATTACCAATCATCTTGAAATTTTACATACACGTATAATTTAGGATAATGCGCTTCTTTCTATTCTAGTCAATAAAATGTCCTCGGAGGCAGAAGCTAGTAGTTTTATAACGAACAATGGAATTTAAGTATGGAATATTTGATGCAGGTTGCTGACTTTCTTGAACCAAGGATTTACATGGCTATTATTTAATTACTTAATCATTGCCACTTTTAAGCTGTGTTTCGGTTGGAGAGTGAGATAAAGGAGTGAAATTACACGACATACATGAAATCTTAGTCCTACAGAATAGTAGGAGTGACATGATAACTTGATGTACATAATGGCGTCATCACGTTATCATGCCCTGTACCCTGTACATAGGCGACGGTTACTATTTACTAGCAGGTGGGCCGTCAGTCTGTTTGTCATTTGAATTATATATAAAAATATTATGTTACATAATTTATATATCTTACTTTGTTTGCTGTCCTGATGACACGTGAATAATGGTTCCGTGAGCAGGATTGATTTTCATCCCCATGCTGACAACTGTACTGTCTCTAGCTGTAGATAACATAATATAGCTATAGTAACCTACTTATACGCTATATGAAATAGAAGTATCTATAAAGTGTTCCTTATGTGGAAGCAGCTATGGCATAAAGACATATAATATTACAGTATAAAATAACAATATTATACATTAACAATAGCTAATTCTAAGAAGCGCTTAAATACCGAAACGGCTTTCGACCAAATAAATAAGATAACAATTTTTATTTTACAGTTTAATATCAATGAAAACCAATGTCATATTTTTCCATTTCGATAAACAAAGTCATACGATGTGTTACGCCGCAATGTACGCCTTTATCTAATACCTACGCATTGCTATATTATTTACAATATAAATTTTAATCATGCATGCCGTTGGCAGGATTACAGCAGACTGGAACAAGTTAGTAGTAGAAAGTATCTAGAAAATCTGCAAATAAATAATATAAAAATTGTGAACACTGCTTTTGTTGAGCACAGCATTTTAAACTGGATGTGTTTAGTGACTCTGCTAAATAACAGATAAAGACATATAAAATATTCAATTGCAAAAAAACGAAAAAATAGATAAATAATTTTTATTTCTCAGCAATCGATGTCAGCAGATGGTTATTTTATGTTAAAATTTACGCAAATCTGTATCTGAGCATTACCAGCATACATCGAAGCTCTGAAAAAATACTAATTAATGCCTGTCGCCAGCAATACAATTTACATCTATTTGGACGAATTGATAATATATATATATATATATCTATATACGGCAACATCTGAAATAAATATATTAAACAATATCATATTACATTAAAACGATTAAGATCCAGTTTACAAGCTTAAATACATAAAATTTAGGAGATAAAAATTTTATGATTGGTAAATTCTTGTCGTATTAAATGGACTAAAATGAATTTTTTTTATATTAGATTGATTAGAATGGGATTCGACAATCATCAGAAATAAAATTACACTGCATTGGTAAGGGTAAGTATTTTTGGCAAATTCCTTATTGTGGATAAAGAAACTGTAACTTTCATTCCTATACAGGATTTAATGTATTATTCAAGTCTGCATGCGTTGATTACAGACGTAATAATATACGTACTATATATCAGCTCAAAGATATGCAATATCTAGTGTTATTACATATTTGTAGTTTGGATGCATTGTCAACGCCAAGCTAGCTTTTCATGCACATTACTACCATGCCATAAATTAAATAATTGTAACAGCTAGTTACATAAAATTGATTCTTGAACTTCCAAACTATGGCAAGAGTATAATTTGGTATAATTAACATAGGAGATGCGTCTATAGAGACCTGTTCGTATCGACAAGCCGTTAGGTTTCTAGCTACTCTGTTCCACCTCTTCGCCTCTATGCGATATCCAGAATTCTCTTACCAGTGCACACGGAAGTACAATCCCAGCGCAATTAAAATATAATATTCAATTATCAGTTCTTAAATTCATACAATTGAGACCAGCGAGTATGTGGCGAAGAACTATAAACATAGAAGTTATTCACTGCCGGAGATGAAGTGGTAGTTCCCCCCGACGTTCCATCCTCCTCTATACGACTAGCGTCACGTGTAGATATAAAATCGACACGTGACCTGAGGAGTCTTGCAAGTATCTCTTATTTCGTATCCATGATACACAATATTGGTGGGTGTGGTTTCCAAGAGATATATCCGAAAATGGAAAAATAATTCTAATAAATAATATTTTTAAAAATTTAACCAATATTTATTTATTAGCATACAAAACAGATTACAGTCAATATAATAATATAATTAGGAGCGTGTAGTTCGGTACAGAACTGGATTGCAATCCAACACTATGTATGCCTAAGAGCTAAATTATATAGACGCATTCAATATACGCTAGATAGCTAGATAAGGTTATATAATAAAAAGTAAACTAAATAGAAAATGATATATAACTACGTAATGCAATGAATTATCATGTTAACACAATTTTATTTATATTAAAGAAAAGAAAATTGGTACAATGTTAAATATAATTTGTCTCTTTACGGTGGAAATTTAATTGTCTCCGGAACTGGACCAGCGTTGAATGGAAAATATCTATATTTCTATTCGAGACAAGAATTTCATTGTATTGACGACACATTCGAACTATTGGATTATAATAAGAAGTATTATTTGAGTAAACCTGAAGATAGAAGGTGTTATAATTACGGTTGCGTGATCTAAATCTCGTATTAAAGTTTAATAGAGAAAGAAGAGTGGACGAGTCCAACTGATGATGAATAATTTTATGTAACAAGGTTAGGTCATTATTTTGTCGTCTTATATATAAAGGGTCCAGAATAGTCCAGATTAAAGTATTCCAGACGTTCACTGTAAGATGCAAGTTTACGACCTAAGCCGCATCTATAGCTAAGTATCTTTAAATAACGTCTTTGAATACTTTCAATTCGGTTGCTATGTAGTCTATAGAAGGGAGACCAGATAGCCGAGTTATATTCTAAAATACTACGTACGAGTGAGTAATAGATACTAATTAAGCTTCTACTCTGCCGAAAGTTTTTAGTTGATCTTGTAATGAACCCAAGAAGACGGTAGCTACGGTCAACAATATTATCATAGTGGTCTCGAAATGTTAGTTTGTCATCAAAAAGCACGCCCAGATCTTTTGCGACACGATTATGTTCAAGAATTTTATCCTTAAGAATATAGTCAAATTCGAGTTTATTTGTTTTTTTAGTAAAAGTTATAGCGAAACATTTACCCACATTGAGCTGCATGAAATTACGATCACACCAATCGGAAAGTGAATTTAAATCCGATTGCAATCTGTGAGCGTCAGTACTATTGTCCACCGTAGAAAATATCTTAACGTCATCTGCATAAAGTAGACAAGGACAGGATAGGACATCGATTAGGTCATTTATGAAGATGACAAATAATAACGGGCCTAGATGACTACCTTGCGGCACACCAGAGAACAGTGTGACGGGAGCAGAGGTATGACCCTATTATATTTACGTATTTATCTTGGTGCAATTGCTGCTAGGAAACAAAGTTTTGTAGTTAGACTAAGTAATTGGTGAGATACGATAATTTCTATTTTATTTCAAACGCAGATGCTATGTAACCTAATACAGCGCCAATTATAAGTACGCATAAGCACGCGAAGACTATTTTGTATTTGAAGCGTTCAGTTAGTAAAATTCACATAGATTTTTAAGTAGGCAATGTTTATTACTGTTACATGCTTACTAAGCATGTAACAGTAATAACAAACATTTAAAAACTATTAACAATAAATTAACGCATTACTAATATCTAAACTGCGTGCTGAGGATTCATGAATTACGCAATAATACTCATTCTTTTGTATTTTATTTAGGTAATACGCAAACGATAATACCTACGTATGAGCTACCTAAAAACGCAAAATTTCAACAAGTCTGCAAAAAAAAAAAATACTGCACGGTTTTATATGCTGCTCTGTACTGCCATTTTTGGCTGTCATTCGTTAGTATAAGAGGCGAAGCGTTCATTTAATGAGTTTCGTATTAAAAAGAACTCAAAACTACAATTGTATAATTAATAGTAACTTTTAATATTAAATATGTGTTATATTAATTGTAGTCGATAACGCGATAAATAAAAATACGTTAAAAGAGTCAAGTTTGATTAATAAATAACCAACCAACGCAGTATTCGATTAATATGGTCTAAATTACACTTTTCCTATTTCAATATTTTTTAAATACGTAAATTTGACCTGCAAATCATGACAGTTCACATTTTGGCGGTTTGATAGATGATTATAAACTCCACAAAATGAATACGTTCTATTATATGCAGTAGAGCGCAGATCACAATTTATTGTCAGTTTACAAATCTCGCGAAATTATTCACTATTAGTGTTGGTTCATAATACCACGGTGACATTTATATAGGTGAAAATTAAAGTCGTCATACCATTTGTATTTTACAAATACTTTCTTCCTTTCTCGACATACGTTACCGTATTTAGATAAAAGCATTGTGCTTACTAAAACAATATATATATATATATATAGTTATAAATATTATAAAACAAGTTATATAAATATGTTAGCAGCTAAAGTAAACTACAAGCAACGCTCGAGAAATTAATTCAAGCGATTTCTCGCCAACGCACTCCACTGTCCACTATTGCTCTACTAGCCGTGTGAAACAGGGCCTGTTCGCTAGTATAGTACAATAAATCTTCCTGCGTACAGAGGGTACGCAGGAAGACATGCGTGAGTTTTCAATTTTTTACAAGGGATACTTTATAAAATTAATATAGAGGAAACAGTTCAAAATTCTCGTGCTGTTTTATTAACGTTGTATGTGATAATTACATTTATAGTGGTGAGACGAAATTTATATATATTTTTAAAGAAATGATATGACAAGAGTTAGAAAAACTTCTCGTCATATTATAAATATCTAAATTCTTGCAACTTACAATATATACCAGCTATAAGTCCACAAGTGTAGCCATATAAAGTCCGAAAAGAAACAGCCTCTTGCATGCTAAAAGTAAAAAGTTACGCTATATTGCAGTAGATATTTTGGATTGTTTTTAGAATTTACGCCATTCATGCAGAAAAAAAAAACACTGATCATTGGTCTTGCAGCAATTTTGTGTTAAAGTAAGGCCTTGAACGCAGGTCTTTTTATTTTAATCTAATCTGAGTTAGACTGTGAAAGACTTAAGATTTAATATTAATGTACGCTGCGCAATATTACTTACAAACTACACTAATGTTAATAAAAAAAAGTTAGACTACGCTTTCAGCCAATTTTAGCGAATATTAGACATAGACATTTGAATTGATATAAATTGGTGTAAAAACGCTTAATTTTTAATATTAAATTTATTATAAGATTTATGGATTCAAATACATCCAGCGAAATGTGGGTAGGGAATGTCTAGTGTTTACCACAACGTTGATAATAGACGCTTGATAGTCATGAAAACATATTGTTATTAAAAATGAAGTATCGTCTTTATGTCAATTTATATCATCAAGCGTAGAATCCCGGCTAGTACCTGCAGCGGCGGTCCACGCGCGCGATTCTCTTCCCGTACTCTTGTCCTGTGACCTGCGGCATCACATCATTTGAATACATACACAACACAAACATACTCCATGTTAGAGACACCAGCTTCGTTTCCTTCGCCTTTTAAAAATTAAAAGGCGGCGGATATTGAAATTTATTATAGAATTTTCTAGTTATATTTTTATGTAATATTTCATAATCATTTTTATTATATAATTGAACATATTTAAGAATTAATACATTGTTGTAGTACCAATTATTTCATTTATAAAATAAAAATAAATATGAAATTATTATTTAAAATATTGGTTATATATAAAATTTATTGAGGAAATTAATTTCTTTTTAACATAATTTTTTTATCAATAATTCATTACATTACTTCTTATTTATTATAAAACTAAACTTAAATCACGACTACTATGTACTATTACGACTGTGTAATTAATTTCTCCAACAATATGTACCTATATGTGAGGTTGAATGTGTACTTTCCATATGGTCTCAATTCTTCATCACATCTTGATTGCAATATTAAGACTTGTTGATTTGCTTCTCATAGTACTAATTAGTATTATTTTTGTTGCGGGCCTAAGTAGATTGAAGAAATTATAATAAAGCCAATTGCTGAAATTTGTTTTCATAAAAAAATTCACCAAATTTTTCTGGAGGCTAATGTTGTGTGAAGAGAATAAATTGATTAAAACTAATTCTTGTAGAAGCTGTTCAATTATTTTATTATCTGAAATAATATTATAGCTTATGTAAATTATTATTAATAATTTTGAAATGCAAGTAATAATACTTACCCTGCTGGTGCTATAGGGCGTAACTGCAACTGATTAGGAGTTCCATCTGACAGTCGCTTCTGTCCTCTTGCCTCTGATCCACTTAAATTTTTTGTAGAAGTAGATGTATTCTGTAATTATTCATAAATACTAATTATGTTTTGGTATTATTTTGGACATGAATTAGTAATGACACTTACATGTTCAGCAACAATGCTATATAATTTGAAATATAATAAGGATATTTTTTAATAAGCAGTGCAAATATTATTTTAACAAAAATAACCTATAACCAGCATTAGAAATCAAAATAAAAGTTATAAATAATAAAACATTCAGAACAAAACTATAGTGTTACATCTCCTAAAATTAGTAGCTTTCCAGATCACCTTGTGATTAAATTTTGATGTTAGAATGCTAAATAAAAATATAATTAGTCTATATTGTTATTTTGAAATACATTTTGAAATTAAAAAGGAAAAATTTATGAGCAAAATAAAATGTTTATACAGAACAAAGCTATGACACTGATGCTTAGTGAAGGAAGGCTACTTCTAAACATGATGCTCACTGATGCAATCTGTGGAGATGATGCTTGTCCAGTTGATATAATATTTATCAAAGAACCACTGCTGACTATTGGCTGTTAAAAGAATAGCAAAACATTTAAATATCAACTATGTCAAATATTGTTTAGCTTCAATTATATAAATTGAGTCTCAGGTTCATACTACTTCATGTTGCTTTTAATATACAGATAGATTAATAAAATATGTTTCTATTCAATTAAAAATGTAGTTGTTATTGAATATTTGTTCTAACATTAAATGTACTGTCTTTTGTCACTTTTTTGCTTCCAGTTAAACTTTAAAGACATTACATTGTTATTAAAATTTAATGCATTGTTAATGAAATGTAAATTGTAAAGTATTGTATTTACAATTAAAGATCAATAAATTGTAATATCAAGTAATTCATAACAGAATTTTGAGTTTGTTTTGACAATAATTCACCATACATGAATAACAAATTTAAAATTAATGATAAATTATGTACCTTCTGATTAAGCTGCATAATTGTGCCAGTAGACTGAAGTTGTTGCAACTGTGTGGCACTTAATGGTAATGAGGTTTGTGGAAGACCACCTGCTGGTGCAATCTGTATGAATCAAAGCAAAATTTCATTAAAAGAAATAAGCAAAATTAAGTACTGATATTATAAAAATAGAATGTGCAACAGTCAAAAACATTATTATTTATGAGTAGAAAGGTAAACAGGTAACAGTTCGTACAACTATATTCTCTTCATATATTGAGGATTTATCATCTACTTCAAGCAACCAATTGGATATCAAATGTTCTGGCTGTCTTGATTATAAAATATCAATCTTGCCTTTCACAGATTATTTATTACTTATTTATTAATTCATACAGTCAGAAATATTTAAAAATACTTACAGAAACAAATTGCTGTGGCTGCAAATTAGCTAAACCTGATTGATTAGATGTCAAGTCTTGAAGCTGTTGATATGGTATCAGCATCGTTTGAGACCCTGGCACAGTCCACTGCACAGTGTCAGTCCCTTGTATGTGATATTTCACATCTTTATCTCCTTTATCTGTGCTGTATAAGAGTTTCTGTGAGGCATTTGTACTTGGGGCAGCACAAACTACAGGTGTTGCTGTAGCAGAGCTAACTGTAGTTGTATCAGCAGTTGATAAACTCGCTTGAGGAAATGATAATCCATTGGGCAGTATCATCGACATGGAAGATGGCACTCCACTCAATCGTAACTGTGTCACATTAACAGGCTGCATACTTGATATATCAACAATTTGTGTAGTACCAAAATTAGGCTGCTGTATGCCTAAGGGCTGGGCTATAGGCAATGAAGTAAAATTAGTGTTTGAAACTTGAACACCAGGTTGAACTATAGGTATTAGCTGCCCATTTTCTTGATTAAGCACATACTGTTGCTGTGGTAAAAGCTGTAAAACTGTCGGTTGACGCACAGTCATCAGTGGTGTAGTTGCTGGTGCAACACTCACTACCGGAGGAATTACTGTGTGTTGAGCAGATGTCAAGGTTGACGGTGTGGGTAAGGACACAGAGACAACTGGCGGCGGGACGGACATTGACGCACTCGTTGTAGTTAATGTCGGTGGAGGGACGTTTAATGACGGTGGCGGCCCGCCCGCATGAGCAGCACTCCATTGCGCCAATTCAGCACGTATTGTCTCAATTAAATTTTGTGCCAAAGCTCGCGCGGGTGCTAACGCTTCTGCTCTTGTGTGATGCAACGCTAAATGCAACGGTTCAAACTTGTCGCCTTTTAACGAGGCTGTAACTCCTGTTTCCGACCGTATATATTCTAAGTTTGTGCTATTCTGCAAAAAAATGTGAAAGTAAGGTACCATTTACCGTTTAGTTTTTATTAAAGACTACGGATATATTGATAAAAATAAAGTAAACTTACTGGGCCTAGAATGCGATTTTTTATATCAAATGCGGTTGGGGCATTATCCAAACCAATATAAACCTTATCCAAAAGACCTGCAGACATTGTTTTTATAAAGGTATGGTTGTAATTAATTAGATTTATTTAGATTTTACAAAAAGCATTTTCTAGTTAGTATCAAACAAAGTGAACGCTGTGACAGTTTGACAAGTGACAACGACAAACTAAATAGATAAAACTACTTTTTTTTTAATATTTCACCTTTAGAAAAAGCAAAGGGAACTGTACTTATACAGCCATGTCTGTTTGTTTCTCATATTGTTTTCTTAGTTCATCGACTGCGTATGTGACAACTGATATGTAAAATTCTGTTCATATATGAATTAAGTAAAGAAGAAAAAAATCAATAACAATGATAGATAATTATCGTTAAATGTATACTTAAATGTTTTTTTTTTATAATTATAAATTGTTAATTAGGTAATACGTTCTGCCAATTGAGCAATGTGAAATTGTAGAGATGTTATATATATCCTATATCATCTCTTAAAATTTTACTCGGGTATCAGTGATTTTTACATTTATACCTATCTGTTTACATGTCATGTTTTCGCCGAGGCACACTTTGTAGAAAGTCTCTCGTCTACCTATTTTAGTTGCCAAGCAGCTTGATTTATAAAAATTAACAAGCTGACAGACCTTCGGAGCTTGTTTGCCATTCCCATTACAAAAAAAATATTCTAATAACAGAAATAGAGCTATATAAGTTATTGACAATAGGTGACTAAAATAATTGACCAGATTATGTTTCGCTGGTATATTTATCACGTAAAGTTACCACGTAAGAATAATTCTAAACTATATATAGTACACCGCTTACTAACTTCTCAGTTTGCCTTATGGTTGACTGGTGGAGAACGCTCTTAGATATTAAATTCCCCATATGTACATTAATGCACAAATACAATATATAAATGTACTGTACATTTATATATTGTATTTGTGCATTAAAGTTTCAATAAAGAAATAAATAATTAGGTATATATTAATAATTTTATTGAAATGATAGCTTAAACAATTTTTGCTATATTATCAATGTACCTAAATAAGGTTAAATAAAATGCTGTTTGCATATTAATCAATATATATTTCTACAAAATGTGATATGCTGACTATTTCGTTACACAAAAGTAAAAAAATAACATTTTATCCTCTGCTTTTAACCGAGTCCTTTTATATATATATATTTGTATGAGTTTTCACAGTTATGCTAAAATAACAATATATTACTTCAGAAATTTACATTATGTCATGTGGACTCATCTTCATATACAAGTTACATACAGATCTTTAAGGCGATACAAATAAATGGACACTTAATATTGTTAAAGTTGTTAGTAAAGTAAGAAGAAACTCAATGAAACAGCAAATGAAAAGACAAAGAGACTACTAATAAATTAGGTGGGGAAACAATGTTATTATTTGTGATTCATACCACGAAAATGATTTTATAATAAACTTAATACTTTATATATCACTTACATCTAAAATCACCCATTAACCTAAAACTATATTAAAAATACAGGACTAGAAGATCAAAAACATGTTTTTATAAAGTATTATCCTCTTTCTTTTATAAAGTATAATCCTTTTCGAGCAAATTAAGGACGGAGAGTGCACTCCAAGCTCTTATATTCTGAATAAATTATATCGTGAAGACTTTAATATCACTAGTAATATCTTAAAAAGTTAGTGCATTAATAATTACCCTGAATTCAGACAATTAGCTCTATCCACTTGCTTTAGTAGCCATCCGTAAACGATATGACACCAATTTCAGTAATTCCTTCACCCCATTCCTGTCACACATTAATGGTCTCTGGTCACATTTGAATAGTTAAATTTTCGTATAAAGATCATGTAAAATTACACAATTTTTATACGAACTACTACACCTCCACCTCCAACCAATGTATTGTTACACAATGTAACACTTTGTATCATTAACATGTGACGCGATTTATGGATGGCCCCTTACATTAAAACATTTCATAATATTTTATATAAAAATAATATGTGTAGTTTTATATTACAAGTAGATGTCAATTATCGTTTGTATTAATGTTTTCACTAACGTCTAATATTTGTAATAGGATAGGAATCATAAAACTTCTGCCTTGAGGTAGATGGATTAAAAGGAAAAATATATATAAATAATTTTCAATATACTATCTGAAGTCCATGAAGATTCAGATCTTAGATACTCAATATATAGACAATATGTCATGGATAAAATAACTTTATAAGATTCAAACTCGTTTATAAAAATATTTGAAAGATTTATAATATTATATATAATAATTATTTAATTTGTTACCATAAAATAATGACAAAAAAGTAAATGTCACAAAGTTTGCTTTTAGCAAACTCATTTTAGTATAACTGTCTTGTTTTGGTTCCACCATCACTTCTATTTATTAGTCTGAATAAATAATGATCCATTATATCAACAATTCGTTAACTATAAATATGTATGTAACCTTTATTCCATCTACACAATCATCTGAAATCTTGTCTACGTAGCTCACATCATATTGTCCAAAATTACTGCCCATTCAGCCCTTGACACTGAATTCTGAACACATCGGTTACAATAATATTCTCACGGAGTCTCACTTTCCATTTATATACTTTAAATACATTTAGAAGCCACTTTTGGCACTTGTTACATTAATAACAGTCATAGAGTATATTATATCGATATTATGATAGATATATACTAAGGTGTACTCTTAGTATATTTCCATAAATTACGTCACACAATTCTTTTTAAAAAATTTCCCCTCATTACAGCATGGGTACATTATTGTAGCGAACTCATTGATAGGTTTTTATATAATTTTTGAATTTTATAATCATATTTTTTGACATATCGTTGTGATATTAGTCGCATTTTAATTTATCTCCGTATTTTCCTTATTAAAAATTCTCAGCACCTCTCACTCGTCACACACATTAGATACCTCCGCTTCAATTGTAATAGTTATCATTTTGTTTTTTTTTTACATTAAGCCTCCCCTCTCCTGTAGTGTATGACGTGATTTATGGATTGTTCCCTAAGTGAATATCTTTGTGTAAGACAGTAAGCTCATACATAACTAATGTACATGTTTTAGGTGAACGAAACATGATTAATAATTATAAAACGATTTTATGAACTAAATAACAAGGTCATTTTATGACGTAATGATAGGGGGTAAGTACCTTACATGATTCGTGCTATGTTAATACTTATTGATAACCTAAGTCAATCTAGTTTAAATTATATTAGTGCAACAGTCGTTGCTGGATAAAGATAGCCTTGTTTCAATATAAAAAAAGTTACAATGTTAATAACTTAACCATACTCCTAAATTCTAAAGAATTTAAAATTTTATAATAATTAGAAAACAAAACTCAGATATAAAAAAAAATAAAAATCACAAATATAGAGAAAAATTATATAAGTACTTAATTTTGTAAGAAAACTACAAGTGCCACCACTACTACTACTTTCATTGCCTCACACTTGGCTTGATTTTACATAAGCTATATCATTCGTAGCAAATCACTAACACTGAAATATCATCTGTAACACTATTTTAATGATTCTTTATTTCACGAAATAGAGATATTTCTAGGAACTCAGAATTGAAATTTTGTCAAAGTTGAAGAAATATGCAGTCAATATCTGTGCAAAAAATAGTAGTTGAATGAAAATTGTTTTTTTTATTTCTGTCTAAGACCAAACGCGCAGGTAGACATTTACACAAAACACGCGAGGAAGTAACTAACTTGTTTCTATCGAAGACGAAATTCATTGGAACAGCTTACACCAGGATTTTGATTATAAACTGGTACGGTGACTTATCTTTATATTACTACTAATTAGCCCCGACTTCGCACGGTGTGGTTTACACATATAAACTTCTGGAAGAAATCCTATAAGTGACAGTGAAAGCTATGTCAAAATCTGCATAGTTTAGAAGAAGGAAAACACAAAATTGTTTGTGTCTGCCTGTATTCCGCCTACTTAAAAGATATAAGTGTTATATTATTGTTATTACTATACACCAATAGTATTTATCCATTACTGCCAATATTTTACAATAACAGAGGTAAATAGATATTACTCAAGTAATACCTTCCCTATTAAGAGTGTTCACACAATAGTTCATCACAATCCAAGCCGAGTAATGTCAATTAAGGAAAAACAAGTGGGTGGAATATTTCATATTCATACATAAAAAATATTTTTTTATTAAAAGGCTTTGAAAATTTATCGCTGACGTGAGATTTCGGTAGCAAACATACTTAACGTTTCAGATCGCTACAATACTTTTCAAATAATATTTAAAAAATATAGAATCGAATATTATTCAATTACCAAAGGCATCGGTTTGCATATTGTGAAGTGACGGAAGCATGGTAGATTTTTGCTGTAAGAATGCCGCATGGGGACGTCACTGCAAACGAGCGCAGCGCGAACAGTAATCCCCATTGGCAGGGCTCCCATAGTACATACAGAGCGGCGCGCGACACGGTTTAGGGGAGGGAGGGCGGTCATCATAAAATGTGGATTTGCTCAAATACAGCGTACGGTCTCGCCTCAGCGTGCCTTCTGCCCCGGTGCCACCCGTTTTAGACGAAGCCCGTTCGCCGTTCGTCCGGTCTGGTTCTGCGTAGAACTGCGAGCGTCCGGTTCCGTATCGCGGCGCGCCGGGTTCGATTTCTTTGCGGTTCTTTTCGGCGGTGTACCTGTGTGATGAGAATAAGTAAATTAAGTAGCTGTTTATATTATATTAGCTTAATCATCTGATACTGATAAAGAATATTTCTTTAGGCGAAGGAGCTTTTAAATTAGTTAAGGTATTTCTTATATCTTGAAAAACATAATGCTGTAGTCTTTAGAGAAAACCTCGGGAGGTTTAATATGCATTACTTGACAATATGCAAATTGTGGAACATAAAATAACGTTTCACCCACCCGATCCAAGCCTCATTGAGATAATTTTTGACCATTTCCTCCTGTACTGGAGCTCTAGCGGCCAACACCCTGCAACACAGCACTTCACACGTGGACTGTCTCCTTATCAACCCCTCTTCAGGATTACTCTGGCTCCCACTGCTCTTTCCCGTCAATTTAGCCATAGATCCGAAATTCTTTTTAATTTTGCTGCTCATAGAGCGACCAATGCTCCCAAATTGTTTTGCTACAGAGTTCATCTGCTTCGAGCTTTTAGTCGATAAAGCATCGAGGGATCTGCGCAGATCTTCGGGTGGCTGGTGTTGGGTGAGGCATTCAACCCTCTCGAGGTCGAGATATGCTGCCAACATTGCAGAGCGCTGGTACTCGTCAGGGAGAAGGTTGTTGATTGTCTTTTGGTCAGGTTCCATGTCCCATCTGAACTCTTCACCCGGGTCCACATTGAACCTGCAAGGTGTAGATATATTAGCTATGATGTACTACAAGATAATAAATAAATAAAAGCCTTGTAATTGAGGTACAATTGAAAAAGGAGATATGATTTTAATCACTTAATTCGCGTTGATAAGGTCATATTCACTATGATGACTTTATCAATGTGATATTAAAGTTAAATTTAACTGAGACAGTGTTTGTAAAATATAAATTTCTTTTTCAAATTAAATTGTTGCCAAAATAATGTAAAGTACAAATAATTATTTATAAAATATGTATTGTACATAACATTAATGAAGTTTATACTATTAATTTTAATTATAACTGTCTGTCTATCTATTTGTTACCTTTTGACCACTGAACAGCCGATTATATATATTTTAAATTCAACGAGTATGGCCATAAGCTATCATCTTTAATCTCAAATAAAGTAGTCGCTGATATCAGCTAATGTATTACATAATCATGTAAAATGTTATCCATACCTTATAGGCATAGCGTTTCCCGCTTGGTCTTCTAATGGCACTCTCGCGCCATCTGTTGGCAGCGGTTCGCAAGGAACTAGTGCGGAGAAATGGCCAGCATCGTACGCTAACAGTATTGGTGCTTTACTGCACACTTCAGGCTCCAGTTCTAGAGGTAAGTACACGCCCCCAAAAGGTATAGGAGCAATGGGGTCGCCGCGGAAATCCTGTAATAGTATTCACACAATTTTATTATTTATCATACGTGCCAAGCTGAGGCGGACATCTTCTATCCAAAATTATATCTCATACTATTTAAGAATATATAGGATGTCTTTTGTCTTTAAAAACCATAGAAGTAAGTAGTAAAAAACGTAGAAGTACCATAAGTAGTCAAACATTACAATCACTGCGAAGTTTACTATTTCAAGTTTCTATGAAAATGTAGGACATTTCAGCCGCTTATGAACGTAAATTATTTTGTATTATAATTTTTTCCTACCGTCCAATAAAAAAACGTGCTCCCTCTAATTAGTTGTGTATAGAGCGATGTTAGTTGTGTACGCCCCGCTATAAAACGGGGCTCATAGGGCGCTATATAGCGTTCATATATATAATATCTACCATATACATAATAGTGCACAACAAATAATTATAATAGTATATTTATATTTATTTATTATTGTTATCGCGAATAGGGAAAAATACAAGGAATACCTATTTCTTTATTTATTATTATCTTTTTTCCTTTACTTGGATATAAACAGTTTATGAATTGATGCCAAAGTTGTGTCGCCAATGTCATACAACTCAGTGATAAACATATGATTAGGTACTGTATATGTATTATTTTAATATTCCTCATTAAATATTACTAATGGTTGCCATACTAACGGACCCTAATAAAAAATTAAAACAGATCTTTGAACCAGCAACAACATGTACTTAATAATATATATTTATTTTTATATGAACATAAATATATGTATAATATATCTTATATATAAAATTCTCGTGTCACAGTTTTCGTTCCCATACTCCTCCGAAACGGCTTGAACGATTCTCATGAAATTTTGTGAGCCTATTGAGTAGGTCTGAGAATCGACCAATATCTATTTTTCATCCCCCTAAATGTTAAGGGTAGTCCACCCCTAATTTTTTTTTATATTTTTTAGTTTCTATTTTTTTATGATACAACATAAAAAAATACATACAATCCTAAATTTTCTCCCTTCTATCATCAACCTCTATTTTTTTATAGAGTTATTAATTTATATGGCAAAACAACGTTTGCCGGGACAGCTAGTAATATATAAAATTCTTGTATCACAGGTTATACTCCTCCGAAACGGCTTGACTGACTTTGATGAAATTTTATATGTATATTCAGTATTCAGTAGGTCTAAGAATAGGTTTATAAATAATTTTTATATTTCTAAGTGTCAACTCACCTCACCCCAATTTTTTTTTCATTTATATGACAAGAATTTTATTTTTTAATGTGGCATAAAAAATACATAAAACCGTAAATTTTCACCATTCTATCTCCGACCCGATATTTATTAATAGCGATTTTTATTTATATGGTAAAACAACGTTTGCCGGGACAGCTAGTGTAGTATATAAACATGTACATTTGTAAATGTTTCATGCATTAGAACTGACCCTAAGCGCGACATCAGCGAAGACGACGACGGGGCGGCGCATGACGTGCGCGAGCGCGAACACGTGCAGCTGGTCGAGGCCGGTGTAGTGCGGCGCGGCGCTGGGCTGCGGGCGCGGGCGCGGCTCGGCCGACGCCGCCGTCACCGCGTCCGCCCACTCGCGCTCCCACTCCGCCTCCGACGGCGTCAGCCCCGCCGACCGCAGCGCGAAGCTCTCCGACCATCGCCACCGCCGCTTTATGGCGTCTGGTGCGAATTCATTACCTCAATACCTATCTTTACATGTACAATAGCACGCTCAAAAAGAATGAGAAGGACTGCGCGCGCCTCCAACTCTCGCATTCCCGCGTTCTTCATTCGTGAGTACTTTAGCGCCTTTTTGTTATAATTAATTTATCATTGCAAAATGGAGGACATCTGACTATAGAGCAAAGACATAATTATAGTCATTAGTTGCCTTTACAAGTACGCTTTTGCACACGGAAAGAGAACGACGGCTTTCACGCAGGAAAGAGATCGAGAAAGTCATCTCGTACATACCAGCGTTCTTCAATCGAGAGTGCTTTAGCGTCTTTTTGTAATAATTAATTGCAAAATGGGCCCTCCATTTTGCAATTAATTATTACAAAAAGACTATAGAGTTGAGACATAATTATAGTTCATTGGTACTTTTAAACGTGTCTAAAATGTCTAAATTGCGAAAAAAATCTATGGTGCAAAAAATGTAATAGATCATTAGTAACTACACAACATATACAGTTAGAGCAAAAAAAGACAATCATTGAATCATACATACAGCATGTATATGTATATGCTTGACAGGGTAAAAGAAATTGGTAGTAATGTGAACTACTCTTATCTATACACTCTTCCTATAGCTAGCAATGTTTCGTACATAGGCTAGATTGACCTACGCGCTGTTCCTCTTGGATACCATCATTTTAATTTTTTAATTTGTTACGACTGTCCCAACTGAGCTGACCTTATACTCATCTTATCATCTTCCACAGGTGTACTACCAGCGTAAACCGTTAGCGCAGGCGGGTGCGACATTCCAGTATCGTCTATTGAAACAATATACTGGACATTTCGCCGAATATCTATATTAATATGTAACATGACGAAGCGTCGAATGTACAAGCGTCTTTTATATTGTCTTTGTTTCTAATCAGTATACGGCACATCTCCAGCATAGAGTCAGCAATATAAATTGACCTAAACTTCTAGATTAGCAGCCTGATTTAAACTAGTATTCTTGGGAGTTTATTTTTTTAATAATGCTGGGAGGTAAACTATCACATTACGCTAGGATGTCAGTAAAAACTTGACAAATCTATTACAAGTTCTGAAACAGAAAGGCGAACGGAAATACAATAAACAAAGCAAGTTAAATAAAAACTTTAAAAAAAGGCCAGTCTAGTGCGGAAATTCTTTAAGATTTACGATCGCTTTTACGAGTGCTCGATAGTTAAGACGTGGCCTACATACAGAATACTTTCCCTGAAGCAAACTTAAACTATTATTTTCATAAGAGCAAAAATAAATCAATGTTTTATATTAATATATAAGACGCACTTTTAATACGAGTACATATTCGATATAAATATTGCGATTAGAGGCATTTAATTAAAGTTGGTAAGAATAAAATTAATAATGGATGTCTTTAAAACTTCTAAAATGTTGCCCAAATTCTGTAAGATCATTAGGTTCGAAATTAATTTGGAAAACTGAACACCATGGTACTTCGGCATGCATGTTCGAGGTAGTTTCCCAGCATAGACTTTATACAAATTCACCTGCATGTGTACCTACCTACCTGCATCTCACCTATTTCAGTCGTTAAAAAGCTTGCTCTGAAACTGTGTTTTGTTGAAAGTTGAGACATCGGAGTATAATTACAGGATATGTAGGCATGATATTTTAGTCGGCAACTCGGAACGTTACCTGATTTTATGTAGGTACATAAGCGACGGTTTTTTACCATTCCAATTGTAAAAACGAAAAAATATGGATGGAGAAAGTGTGTTCATGCAAAGAAATTTGTAGACATAATATTCTTATATAGGTAATACAATTAAATTAAACTCACTTGTAAGTACATCACCACCCTCCCCAGACAACAATGCCTGTACTTTAGTCCTCAACGCGAGGAGTCTGTCGTGGAAACCGTAAGCTGCCAGTGAAGCTGCATGAGGGAGACAGTTGCCATCACCCGATGTTGCCAGCGGGAGTAGTCTTGGAGCGCCGGGCACTCGGCCGTGACGCCACCAGTTGAGGATACTAGCTGACTCGAGAGTCACCAGTGTAGCTGTCTCCAGGAGATCCTTTTCTATGAATGTTCTGTAATAACAATAATTTTACTTATAAGAAAACTTCATCTAAGGCCTACGAGCCATTAACAGGTCAATATGACCAATTTTCTTTCAGTGAAAACTTATAAAATAATTGTTAAGTTAGTTGTACAATATTTTGAAGCATATGAAATCAGTTGCGGTTCCGAGAGTGGGTTGAAAAATAGAAACTTCACAAACATTACATTTTGTTTATTAAGAAACATCTTACATAACTTTAAACTTTTTCAATTCATATTTAGGAATTTAATTTGAACAGGTTGTCTACTGATCATTAGATGGCGTTGTACAAAGGTGTAATTAATTATCTACGACTCCAGACGAGGCCGCCTGTATCATGGAAGTCAAAGCAACAAGAGAAATTAACATGTGTAGTGTTTTTTCATGTAACTGAAATGGTAAACTGACCGTTCCACATGGTAATAGGTTTCGTCATTCCGGAGGACTAAAATGTTATGCCTCATATCCAATAATTATACTGCCTTATAACCAAACAGTGACCTTATGACCTTTCAACCAAAACAGAGCTTACAAAGCAAGCTGTTTTCTTTTGACATATTTCAAAATTGAAAATATTTCAGGACTACAGATCGTTGGCAGTTCCTAATTACTGAAGTGACCATAACGTCGGCTAAAACCTGAGTAACCGTGTGAAATATATAAAGGTCGAAGGACGGTAAACAATAACACAGAGTTCAACGCCAGTTACCAACGTATGGGTTGCGTGCGAGTGCCTAATGAACGCTGGCCTCCAGCCAAACTACTTCATGTACGGCGACATACTGTAAAATCAGTACGGTCAGTAAGAAATACATTTGTTGAGCGGCAGTAAAATAAACTTTATAGTATTGCAATACGTGTTAATTTTATTTTAAGCTCAATTGAACTCTACTTGTCCTCTTGATGGTTGACTAAAATGTTCCTGAGCTAATAGCGGTTTATTTTTTTTATTTTATAACACAAGGGACAAACGAGCATGCGGCTCACCTGATGGTAAGTGATTACCGCCGCCCATGAGCACCCGCAACATCAGGGGAATTGCAAGTACGTTGTCGGCCTTTTAAAAAGGAATAAGCTCTTTTCTTGAAGGTTTCAATATCGTATCGGTTCGGAAATACCACTCCTGGAAGTGGTTGTGCGAGGCAAAAGTTTCTAGAAAACCGCACTGTGGAAGACCGCCATTCATCCAGATGATCAGGATGGTATTTCAGTTTCTGGCGGGTGGTACGGTGGTGAAACTCAACAGCTAGTATTAATCCGAACAATTCCTCAGAACACTCCCCGTGATATATGCGGTAGAAAATGCACAGAGATGCAATATCACGCCGCAAAGCCAATGGGTCGAGTCTGTCACATAGACGTTGATTACCAATGATTCTGGCTGCTCGGTTCTGAATGCGGTCAAATTGAAGTAGCTGGTATTGTGGTGCTCCCGCCCAGAGATGAGAACAGTATTCCATGTGCGGCCGGATCTGCGCCTTATATAATTGCAAGCGATGGGCCGCCATAAAATACCGTCCCACTCTACTGAGAACACCAAGCTTTTTTGAGGCTATTTTAGCCTTGTCCTCCAAATGACCGCAAAACTGAACGTCACTGGATATAACAACGCCAATAGAGCACGAGCCCACGACGGCCAGACATACGTCATTTTAGTAAACGTGAAAGTTCTTGTATGTGTGTCCCCAACACAGGTAAGAACGATCCCCAAACATGAAACCTGCCAGACACTTAGTGTCTGGCAATGAGCAGCGCAAGTTATAATAATGCTACGAACAATATATGAAAATATGGAGTTTCTTAAAATAACGAATTTGATATGAAATTTTTTACAACACCTTTGTTACCTGTTACCTGCCAAAGGAATCACGATCCAGGTTTCATGTTTGGGGATCGTTCTTACCTGTGTAGGGGACACACATACAAGAACTTTCACGTTTACTAAAATGACGTATGTCTGGCAGTCGTGGGCTCTTGGGCTACAAGGACCTCGAGATTTGGCTTCACATCAAGGAGAGTGTCTTGAAACTGAGGAGATACGATAAATGGATTCTTTTTAGCAGTAAACGCGCAAACTTGTGTCTTCTTGGGGTTGAATTGAACACAATTTTCCTGACCCCAAACCGAAACTTGATGGAGTGAAGTTTCGATTTCGGACACAAGTTTGTTCCGGTACTCTATAACTTTTGTCTGCGACATATTAGCATGGCCGCTGTACAAAGCATCTCCGGTACTGTCATCCGCATAGCAATGAATGTTGTTGATTGACATTGATGACATGACATTGATATGCCGAAGGAACAGATTCGGAGACAGCACACAGCCTTGTGGAACACCAGCATTCACAGAGTGTGGGTCGGAGCAAGCACCATGACAACGATCTTGATGCTCCGATCAGCGAGAAAGCTGGCGACCCATTTGCATAACTTCGCACATTGAAAGAAGAGCTTTGTGCCAAACCCGATCAAAGGCCTAAATATCCAGACTAACAAAACCTCCCCTTACTCTCAATAGCCTCTGCCCATCTATGTGTCAAATACACTAGAAGATCACCAGCTGAGCGACCCTGGCGAAAGCCATACTGACGATCAGAAATCAACTGGTTCACTTCTAGATATCGTAGGAGTTGACGGTTGACAATCGACTCCATGGTCTTTGAGATGGCTATGGGCCTATAGTTAGCTGCTGATTATTACAGCTAAATCTGAGCGATCTCCCTTCTTAGGGATCGGATGAACCAAAGCCGTCTTCCAAAGTTTCGGGACTACACCTGTAAAGCAGTACAAAAGACGCGTTAACATGGAGCCAACTCAGGTGCACACGTCCTGAGCACAATAGCAGGAATACCGTCAGGCCCACTCGACTTGTGGATATCAAGGGAGAAAAGAGACTTACGTACCAGCTTTTGGGTAAATTTTACCTCTGGCACAAAAGTCTCACACCACGAGATGACCGGCGGTGATTGCTCCCTATCGTCCAGTGTCGAGTTGGAAGCAAAAAGAGACCCAAGGAGATCGGCCTTCTCTATAGCATGTTGTGCCAACGAGTTATCCTCTCTGCGCAGTGGTGGAAAAGATGGCTGATAGAAATTTCATTTCATAAGTGCAACATTAAAAATAAATTCCAAAAAGGGTTTCACCTGCAAATCTTCTTGCTAGACATGAGAGTGTCGGTATAGATGTAGGATTTATAAAAACTTTTGTCATTGTGAAAGCAACATACAAGTATACTACCCCTATACTTGTATGTTGCTTTCACAATGACAAAGGTTTTAAACATAATTATAAGCCACAACTCATATTGACAAATTGTGAAATAATAAATATAAAAACATATACATATATAGGAAATAGCGATGAATATACTCACAAAGTTTAATAACATGACGCTTTGTTTCGTTTCCATATAGTGTCAATGTGAGTTGTGCCAAAAAGACTCCGCAAGTAAAGAGCACGGGTATTTTAATATTTATTAATATAAAACCAAGAACTGTATTGTAGAAAGAAAACAAGCTTTAGGCCTCTCTATATTGGACGCAATAGGTAATTTTAGGCTTAAGGGGGTCTTCCTATGTGATGGGTTGAAAAAATCGATTTTTTTTTTTCATAAATTGCTCCCTTAACATGTCTAGAATACGGTAGTAAAGCGATTTTAGAAAATTCGAAGTCGTTTTAAAGATACAGCAGGTAAAATAAAGAGCGGTTCGGAGCGGTGAGTTGGCAGTTAGATTACCGGGCCTATGTGTACCCGGCTTTAACATCATTAATATATTTGTTTATACAAGTTTAGACACGTTTCTACAGACTTAAACAGAAAAGGAATAAACTTCTTAAAGTTATCCAAGAAATTACAAAATTCTACGGATTAGGAAATCGACGCCATCCAGATTCGCTTGAAGATATGAGAAAGGAAGTTTGGGCAACGTACTATCACAAATGTTCTTCTGATGAAAACCCTCAGCCATTCATCCAGATGATCAGGATTTTGTCCAGAAGGCGATAGTTGGTGTAAATGGCGTAAGGCTGAAGCTAATAATGAACTGGACCAATTTCATCACGATAAACCACCTCTAATTCCGGTATCAAACCGGTTTTCGAAGATTTATCGAAAGACGAATTATTAATTCGTTGTTTAGGAGCAGAGACACAAAACAATAATGAATCTTTGAATTCTTTGATTTGGACTTTCGCTCCTAAACATCTTCATTCTGGTCCAAAGTTGTTGAAATTGCTAGCTACTTAGCAGTTATTATCTTTAATGAAGGTTTTCAAGGTATTTTAAAAGTTATGTCGATTATGGGATGCCCTGTTGGTCGTGAAGCCCAAGCGTATGTTGAGAAACGGGATGAAAAGCGAATCTTACGCTCTGAGCGGCGCGTAAGTGATGTCGTTAAACAAGCCAGGATTGATCAAGAGCTGAACAATCTGCTTTAAAAGAGTTTCACGAGGAAGAGGAAGGAATACTCTATGGACCAGGCATCGCCGATTGAGAGTAAGTTGATATTTTAAAAGTTTTTAACGGACTTGAAACTTTAAACGCGTTTTTCTCAAAACTGTGTTTTTCAAACTTTCCTCCATTGTATCTCAGAAACGGCTGGACCGAATTACTTGAAATTTACAGGGCACACTCAATATATGTAAACGCATGGCAAAAAACAAAAAAAAAAAAAAAATTTGCAACTTTTATTTCAAATGTCTATCAAAAATCCAATTTTTTTTATATTCATGATTAAGGTCTTCCGTGTGTTAAGCCTACAAATTAAAACGCCGTTTTTTTTTTTTTAAGAAAAGCCGATCAGCCGGAAAAGGGGAGGAAGTGGGAGCTCTTTTTTTAGAGGCGGGGGTGTTCATGAGCAGCTGCAAGTTTGATAATATTTTTAGCTGAACAATATATGTCCAAATATGTGTTAATAAATGATAAAAAATTTGAAGCTATAAATATTTTTCGTAGGAAAAAAAATCCTAAAATATCCCTAAAAAACAGGCCGTCACATAGGAAGACCCCCTTAAACTATCTAAAATTACATGTTAGTCTAATTTGGTAATTTCGTAAATATTACTAATAGTTTTGTTGCCGAGTGTATATTATGACTAAATTATAAGGATATGACCAATGCTAACTTGGAGACAGGTGTTCATCCGGCTGATTCGTTTCGAGTTATTCACACTTGAAGTGGAATAAGGCCTCAATGGAATTGGGTTACTGTCGCTTGTGCTATCCTGTTCTATTAATAAATTGGTGTCTGGATGACAACATTGGATAGAAATAATAAAAATGCTCCCAAGTGGCAATGAATGTTACATTCAATGAGATAGACTTTATACAAAGTCGTAGGTTTGAGTACCGCTGTCTCGCCTATTTTTGGCGACAAATAGCTTCCTTTGTAAATTCTGTTAGTGTTGAAGGTTCACACATGGCAGATATAACACCTTTGATCTCTGAAAAAATACATACATAATACTTTGTGATATTCCTAACCCCGTCCATATAGGCAATAGTTACGGTTTTCTATCAAGGTATTCTTAATCATTTCGGTTACATAATAATTACAATAAATAAATTCAAGACATGCTACATACCTGAAATCTGGTGGATAAACAGAGATATCTGGTAACAGAAGTATGTGATCAGAGCTGAGGGTGTTAGGTTCAGGTTCAGTGTTACTGCGAAGCGCCCAGACGAGCCCCTCATTGTCTGTCGCGCGAGATATCCCGCGGGATAACTTGCGGCCTGTCGAACAATAATTTATATATATGTCTGATAATAATCAAGAAGAACACATTACTTCCATTTTGGTGTGTGACTCATCCCTTTTGTGTCACGACGTATGAGGATTACATTTAAACAAACAAACAAAAGATAAAGAATAACTGTGCTGTAAGCTCCTCGCCTTCTCCCGTACCTCCAATCAAACATAATACCCCTCGCAATCAGAACAAGCTTATCGAGAACAAAATCTGCGACGGAGATCTCAAAGGAGCCGCTCGCCTTTTGTTCTCAAACGACGTGCTATCACCAGATACCCCTGACACCCTTGAGGCCCTACGGACAAAACATCCTCCAGCTCCAGTAAATCCATTTTTTCTCGACCCACCAACAGCAGGGCAAATATGCCTTCAAATTCAAAACAAAGATGTGACGGATGCCATTTCATCCTTTAAACCAGGTTCGGCTGCAGGTTTGGATGGAATCTCACCCCAATATTTGAAAGCCAACATTTCTCACCATAACATCGTATTCTGTGGGTGATGCAGGTGAGCAACTTGTAAATTCGATCACTAAATTAATCAACTTTATGTATTCCGGTCTTGTTAATTCAGAAATTGTTCCCATTCTTTTCGGGGCGAACCTCATTGCCCTTACCAAAAAGGACGGAGAAAAGACCAATTGCTGTTGGTTCAACACTACGACGTCTGGCTTCCAAAATTGCTGTTCGACATATATTACAAAAAAATTCGGAATCGAACCCGTACAGTTAAAAGAGACTTCGGCTGTAAAAGGAGGATGTGAGGCAGCCGTCCATGCCCAAAAGTCTTTCACAACTTACGGGCAGCCTGACGTGTTGCTCAAAATTGATGTCAAAAATGCATTCAATTCGGTAAATAGGGATACCCTGTTAACGGAAATAAAACAACACACACCGGAAATATACAATTATCTACTATCAGTTACGCTGACCCAACAAAATTGTTATATCGTTCTAATGAGCTGTCCTCGGAAGTAGGTTGTCAAAGATGATCCCCTTGGGCCTGAAATTTTTAGTTTGGCTATAAATCCGATAATAAAAAATCTAAATTCTAAATTTAATGTTTGGTAGTTGGACGTCGGATCTCTGGGAGGTGATGTGGATACTGTGTTTTCGACCTTTTTTTAATCAAAAATAAATTTGAAGCCATTGGTTTGGAGCTTAATTTTAGCAAATGCGAACTTTTTATAAATAACACCGACTTAAATTTAAACGATGTAAAACAAAAATTCAATACTCTGGCTCCAAATATTAAAATAGCTAACAGTAATTCCCTTTACCTTTTAGGATCTCCAATTTTTGATGAATCTGTTTCCGAATATATTAATAATTCAATTGCTAAATTTCTAAATTCTGCTGACCGTCTACTTGAAATCAGTCCACATTATGCACTTTGCATCTTAAAATTCTGTCTTTTCGTCCCAAAATTTACGTATGTGCTCCGTTGCTGCTCATTCTGGAAATACCCAAATCTTTTGACTCAAGTAACGATTTAATAAAAATATTTTAGAATCGGTTCTTAATATAAAACAAGCCATCTTGTAGATCCAAGCATCCAAGCTACCCATCCGTATATGGTGGTTTAGGGATTAGGTAATTTCCTCTGTCGCTTTACCAGCTTTCCTATCTTCTGTCCATAGTTCAGCAATTCTCAAAAAAATTTTAAGGGCACCCTTCAAACTTTGAGTTGCCGGCTTGGAAGAAGCTAGGAACGCTTTCTTAATTGCATGCCCAGGTCAAAATTTTCCAATATCTCCAAATTCACAGCGGAGCTGGGACGACATAAGTTGTAAATTGATATACGACAACCTTTTGAGCTGTAGTACAGGTTCGGTGCGTGCTACGCTTTTGGCCGTGGGTGCGCCTGAGGCCGGCTACTGGCTTCACGCGTACCCTTCGTCAAATACAGGAACATTTCTTGAGCCTGACACGCTCCGAATAGCAACCTGTCTACGGCTTGGTCCGGTCTGCGCTCCTAATAAATGTCCCTGTGGCAGTGATGTCGACAAACTAGGACATCACGGAATAATAAAAATGCGGGCCGTTTCTCGAGACATGCCGCATGTTAACGATATCATACGATAGACCCTTATACAAAGTCGTCAACGTACCAAGTCTACTTGAGCCGACTTATTGCAAGCGACGATGGTAAGAGACCGGACGGTATGAGTTTGATTCCATGGAAGATGGACCGGGTGCTGGTATGGGATGCACACCTGTGCAGATATAACACCATCCCATCTACATGGAACCAACAACAGAGCTGGTGCGGCATGTGAAGCGGCTGAAAAAGTCCATAATATGTAAATACAGGGGTCTATCAATATGAATTTGTTCCATTCGGTGTCGAGACATAATAAGACTCTTCAAAGAAATAACGAAAAGGTTAGTCGACATCACAGAAGACCGATAAAGCTGAAATACCTTGGACAAAGAATTAGATCTAGCTATTCAAAGAGGGAACGCTGCCAGTATCTTCGGAACGTTGCCTAAAGGAACCACTTTTAATAATATATTTTAGTTATCATATTCTATTTTTTTTTTTTTAAGCTTTTTATTTTAGTTCTTAGTTGTACAATTAGGTTATGTAAATACTAGTTATATAAGGAATGATTATATTATATGTAAAAAAAAATAGTAATATAAATTTAATCTTAAAAAAATTACATCTTTAAAAAACAAAAAAGGAAGTTCTAAATGTGACATATATTTTTAATCAAAATATACTTGTTACACATTCCATTTATATGAGTTCTGCATTATTCATACATCATTTTGCATGTTTGGTTTTCATACAAATCGAAATATATAAGTGTTTTTATAAATTTCGTTTAAAAGACTCTATTTAGATTTTTTGGTCTTACTTCTTGACTGAATATATATATACTCTGAATTTGTAAAATTCATATACAATACAATTACTTAAATATAGTTATGTAAAAAGTACTTAAAATTAAGTCTATTTACAGAACGGATGGTAGGGAAAATTTGTATTTGTAAAAATAAATGATTACTTCAATTTTAATACATTAGGAAAAGGGATTAAATATTATATACGTTATATTAGCAAACCTGTTGACGTAACAATTACTATGCTTATGAGATATTCATGATTTATTATTGTACAATATGTATGTTTTATTGATGTAATGCAATATTTATTACGCTATTGAACCATAAGGTTCGTACTCGCTGTACTTTATAGTATTCGGCAATCAATATCAGAGTCTATGTATATACCTAACAGTAAATAATGTCTAGCTGAAAAAATGATGCTCCAGCAATCGTTTTCAATTATTTTTTAATCGATTTTAGATATGAAGGGTACCGTTGCGCATTATCTATTCCATTTTTGTTCTTGGCGAAATTTACATATTTTTTGTTCATTTATACTCAATAAAGAAAACAATTAAAACATGTATTAGTAATACATTATGGATACAGAAGAAGGCGATCTTATCGCTAAGTAATTTCTTCCAGATTACCTTTGGATAGTGTACGTAAAGATAAGAAAAGGCTAGGTGGCGCACATAATAAACATAAATGTGTAGGTAGTTTATACATAATTATATTTAATAATGAACATATTTTTCAAAACAATACCGGAAAAAAGGTACCATGAGTTAAAAAAGTCAATAAGAACTTAAAGGGAAAGAAAATGGGATTTGACAGAGAATTTGTAGCTGCCGTGTGTTTGAATGCTCCGAATGCAAGTGGGGAGTGAGTCCTCAATCTAACGGGCTGGACAGAAAAGGATAGAACGGAGTAGAATGAGTGTTAAATATGAGACGAACATAGTTACACTATGCTGGTTGGCTATTATTCTCATAGGGAAATGCGAATCAATCTTTTAGGTAATCAGGATTAAAAAGAATGCTTTAAATGAGGAAAAATTATAAGTAATGAGATTCTTAATTTTTTAAAGGAGTTGTTAAATCTTTTGTATTGTTTTAATATTTATTCTTTTCTGGAATAAATACATATAAAAGTTATTTCTAAAATGGAAATAATTTTGAGTATTAAGAATATGTGGATTGGTTCTTAATTCTGTTTTCTATTTCTTTACGGTTTTTAATTTTCTGCAGGTACAAGTTTCTTTTGTATTAAATAATAAATGGTTGGTGACTCAGTAGTTTCAATAGTTGTGATAAAAAATAAAAGAATGTTACAGCGTTAGCAGACAGACAGCGAAAGCACTTTTTATGGTCAACGGCCACGTCCTTGGCTTGGAGGGTAAACGTTAGGTCATGAGTAGTTTGAACTCTCTAAGGTTAACTAGCCAACTATAGGAATTAGCATTTGCGATAGAATACATTGGCGACAGAACTTGCGTAGAGTTATTTTTTGGAATATAGAGGAAAGAAAAAATATTGACAACTATTATATTGCGAAATCTATATTAAATAACATTATACATGCGATAGTATGTCTGTCTGTCTGTTTGTTAGCTTTCATGACTAAAATTCTGAACATATTTTACAATTAATGAAATTTGACACTAAGATTTTGATCACTAAGATCATGAGGATTGTCTATTATTTTTTAATTAACTATTATTTTTCGAAAAAAGCCGGTGTAGATGAAGATGAGGATCATTTATAAACCATAACTTATGTGTTCCAAACACACATAAAAAATAATTAGAGATATATATTGTTTTGTTTGAATAGAATTCTAATTTAACCACAGAAATCGAAATTTATAAAACAATATTCAGGTGTTTCCATAGCATTGTTGGGGTGCGCCACTGAAATTGCTACTCGAGTGCGTGACTGGAAATTGCTTGTTGAATTATTTACAACTAGCTGCCTGCCCCGTCTTCGCACGGGTGTACTTTTTCACAACAACAAAAACAAGGTATTTATTTGACATATAACTGAATCCAATAATGCGTAATTTTATTGACTAACCGATGAACAATCAAATTGTATCAGCTGTTACGATTATGACACCTGAAATTATCAATTTTTCGTATGATTTTTCTAACATATTGGTTCAGTATTTTTTTCACACAAACAACCAAAAAAAAATTGTGCAGCCATTGTGAAGTTGCTTTTTTACAATAGATTTTCATTTACATATATAGATGTACACATAGGTACTTGAATCCTATGGGAAAACTTTATTTAGCCGATACTTACTTACTTACTGTATTCATTCAATGAGCAGATTTATGTTATGAATTTGTAATGAGTCAAGATGAATAGTAAGACTATCGCTAGTTTAATAAAGGAAGTACTTAGTATTTCAAGGATACTGATTTGAATACTTAAAAGTCTAGACTGCTTTACAGACACATGGTGTACTAAAATATATTTTATCTTATACATGTAAGACTTACATTCGGGTGCCGGTGTGAGTACTAGATTAGAGGGCGCTGTGAATGGCATTGTGAGGTCCAACGAGCTGACAGTAACGGATCGGTCTGCGGTAATGACGTCACCCCCCGCCCGCGGCCTCAGCGACGTTCCCGGGCCCCTTTCTGGAAAGAAATAAAATTATTTTTATTCAAATAATTTTGAATAGCGTCATTTACCATAAAATTATTTTGTATGAAATTTAGTAAAAGTAACCAATTTATTTAACACGGCATATTCGAAGAGCAGTTGTTTGCATAAATTCACTTTAAAGATTTTGTCCTCATGTGTAAGCATGACAAAAGCGATTTTGCGCGAAATTGTGTAAACTCTTCCTTTTTAGAATGTTTGCATTACATAGATTTAATTCTGGTTTTATTTTCATAAAAGCGGTACCTATTTTTATAAATATAGTTTTAATTACTCGATATTAATACAGTGCACGACACCACAGTTGCAGTCTCATGCACTCCGCTTCTAGAGACACGTGACTCCTCTGCCAGATAACGTGATCTGATCTGAATATGGTAGGTTAATCTAGATCTTTTATATTCTAGACTAGATTTATATTTATACCTTTGTACCTATAACAAATTACAATGTGTACTTAACAAACAATTATATGATTTGCATAAACTCAACAACAACATCTACACTAATGTAATAATGAGGAAAGGTTTTGTTTATGGTATGTTTGTTATGGATAAACTAAAACAATACTTGATCGATCTAGCAGTGATAAATAAATAGATAAACAGCGAGTTATAGACTAAGTAAATTCCACGCAGAAAGGACCGCGCAATAATAAAGACTTGGTCTTACATGTTCAAAATTCAGTACGGATTTAGAAAGGATTTAAAATAAATTATTTTTAAATATTAAGTATAATTATTGCATGTGCAGCTAAAAACGAGTATTTGACGCCTGCACAGTGAATCATATAGTATTTTGATGTAATCGCGTTATTTTTAGTTCTACTCTTATGATTGTCTCTCTGTCTTCGTCTACAAAGTGAATAACAGTTTGAAAATAGAATGAATTTGTATTGTCTCATTATCAAATTTATTTATAGATTTATGATTTTGTTAAACGAGTAATACCGTATTCAAGCCAGAAAAAAACAGACTTCAACGGCATTATGAACCCAATATAGTGAAATAAAGTCTGTTATTACTCAAAAAATACTGGTCAGATATTGACAAAATTTATATTAAACCACACGCGAAAAACGCAAAGCTTTCAAATAACAAAATATTTTATCTAACTCGGTTTATTGGAAAAAGTTATGAGTATTTTTTATGGGTGTTACACATAAAAATACAGTCGAATTTAGAACCTCTTCCTTTTATGTTATTCCTATACGTTTGCTGAAGAACAACTTCAATTGTAGCAAAATTATAGTACCATATACATTATACATAAACTGATAGAAGACATTAAATATAAAGCAGGTAACTGAAATCCAATCAAGACTACGTTGTAGGAATATTATTATTATAATTATACTAGCTGCTAATTTAAAATTAGAACACAATTTTTTTTATTTGTATCACATGAAATATGAAATTCAATAGTGCATAGAGATATTATTATACAGCAGTAAATACCGCAGGATGAATGAAGGAGGAAAAAGAACTGTCGAATTTTATAACTTTTTGGTAACATACGAATCCATTACTAATCTAACCTAACTTATACCCTAATGTAATCAGAAAGCATGTCAGCGTCATAAAGCATAGACCACGAGAATAGTTCATTTATGTGATACCGCAGCCGACGCCCACTGTCCACTTCCTTAACTGAAGTGTGTCACGAACAATAGACAACCTAGAGATTACTGTTTCATCACGAGACACACAACCTGTTCTTAGAAGTTATATTGTAAGGTCTTACTCAATGCAAGTAAGTTACAACTGGAGTTATCGTATTTTATAAAAAAAAAAAAATAATAAACCTGAATAATTCGGGGAAGGAGGAAGGGTATTGTAATTGACCCACTAGCCGGTGCACTGATAGCTAAAGGTCCTTGTGACAGGATCATGGTTAGGTCGTTCTTATGAGAACTTGATTTCATGTTTATAAAAATCCTATTAAATAGTAATAAATAATTATATCTGAATAATGCACACTAGAAACATCCATATACAGACATATTCATAAACACAATTATTCTAAGGGGATCGAACGCATGACTCGATAGTCATGCGTTCGATCCCCACACACGTTTATAACACTGCCTTTGTCGATACAAAGGCAGTGTTATAAACCACCTCACAATCGAAATTGTTATAATTTATTTTTTCTATACTACAAAATCAAGTTTGATTGAAAGCAATAAATTGTCAAATCCAAACAATAAATTCACCTATTTAGATGCAAACAGAATTGGGCCTGTACCCAAATCTGTGTAACATTGAACCAAACAAAGTGATCGGTGAAGCAAAGCGCAGGATGTGAACTACAATGGCTATGGTGATACGGAATAAATTACATTGTACATTTAGTTGTATAGTTTACTAACTGTGTCGCGCGGTTCCACTCGTCGCCGCGTTTTATTTAAAAGATATGGTGGCCAACCTCGTATACCATCATACCATGGTTTCGAATTATATATGTAGTTACTTAATTTTCAACATTCCATTATGACCTCTTATTTTTTTGGCTTATAAGGTTGGTAGCGTGAGGTTGAGCTTAACAACCTATAACATCAACCTCAAGAATTGGGCTATCAAATGCAACAAAGATTTATTAGACCGCACTGGTAAATTAACAAACTCTTAGCCCTTATATATATATAGAATAAAACTAGTTAAAGCATACAAAAGTAATCAAATACAATACATATAGTGATCATTGTGGGAAGGTCACATAAAAAATAGTAGGCCAAATAGGTCGCACAAATACTTTAAATGACATTAATAAATAACCCAATGATAAAAGGTAAATGCAAAAACTAAAAAAAAACAGGCTCTAGAAATAATGCACTAATGGGTCCAAAAAATATGAAACAGTTAAATGTTCTCATCTGATGTTGATGTAAATTGACATGTATAACATTGTACAAAGTTCATCAATGGAATTGTTATAAAAATTGTGTGTGTCTTGCAATGAGAAATGCAGCGTTACGTTTTCTACATATTATATAAGAACCAATACGTAATACGTAACACGTAAATAAAGAAATAGATCAGTCAGTTAGTGAGGACAAGTTCCTTAGTATAGATATTTGCAATATCAATTATCATAAAGTCACTAATACATTACGGACATTAGACAAAGCCTACTAAATATACACACGTAATCCTCATAAGTGCAGTGAAACTCGACGACCGTTCTGACTTTGGAAAGGATGTAAGGAATTGCTCAAGGGTATTACAATATTAATAGTTTGACGATTCCCTCGATATCTATTACTTAATAGGCCTACATTGCATAACTTGAAAACGTACTAATAATTATTTATTCAAATACGTATTTGGACCATATTACGATACGGTCTAATGACAATTCCTATTAATTTCTAATTTAATTGAACATGCGTACAAATTCTTTCGCATAATAAAATAATGCATACTCTAATACTCTACAAAAATTAAAATAAATTAGCAGTTTAATAGTGAAAAGGTAACAAACAAACAGGTAGACGCACTTTCGGATTTATAATATTAGTAGGGATATTGAGTTTCAAATTATATACGTTATAAAGAATCAGGCGTCGGTTCACCTTTTTTTGTGGATAAGTTGCATTAATATCCTCGCTGCACTAACGGTTAACGTTGTTAGGGAACCAATGAAAGATGACACGGTGAGAAAGAAGTTAGCTCAGTCGATCTACTGTGACGAATTTACAAGGAACTACAATGGTTAGAGGTTGATCTAAATTGGTACATAGCTACGGACAAATGAAAGTGGAGTGCGTATGACTGAAACTCAAATGTCTTGTAACAAGGATGAACAAGATAAAGATTAATATATACAGAATTACAAAAATAGGGAGCGATATCTAAGAAATTTGAAATCGTGTCTTGGTAAGATCATATAATACATTGATGAAATGATGAAAAATGTAGAAAATATTGAGAAAGTCTTATATATAAATATGTATAGCTGCTGTCTGCTTAAATCATAGGGATAGAAAGTGTATAAATGACGAGATGATAGAGAATTAAGAAAAGCTTTTCTTCCTTTTTATCCTTCCATTTTATCGATAACCGCAAATGATTATTATGGGAAAAGTAAAGAAATATGTGGGCAATAATGAATTTCTCCACACGATCGTATCATAAATGAGCCTAATATAGAAGAAAATTGTAAATGAGTCGGAATTCAGTTGACAGAAGTAGTATAAATAAATAAATACAAAGTAAGTAGTTCGTAACTTGCTCGGCTTGGTGAAACAAAACAGACATTAGTTCGATATTTATAGCAGCATCACATGTTGCTAAAATTTGGGGCAACGACTCATCTTCGTGGGCGGAGTGGGATATTCCTTAAAGTAGAACGACATTACGTCAATTATAAATAATAATGATGTGTTTGACAGTTTCCAAAATATTATTTTATTGATTTATATTGATCAAGTTTTTAGTATTTTGGAATTTGCAATTTCTATAGTTTGAATGGCATGGCTGTGGTTTACAACGTTAGAATTTTCTCGATTGTTTGAAGAGTATATAATATACAAAATATTAAAGTCTAAGTATGAATAATGTAATTAACGAATTTTAATCAAAAGTAATCCCAATGCAAATTACTGGCGGTATACAAACGGCCGGTTTTGCCTAAATACAAATTTTTACTCTATATGCAAATTTTTAATATATCTTATGGTACCTAAAATCAGGTTGAATCTTAAAATTTTCTCTCCAGAGTTGAATTTTCTCAAATTTAAATACAGAAAATTATAATTCACTTACATATGATAAACTCGATATATAGAACTATCTTAGGTGTAACCACCGAAACCAATATAAAAATATTTAAGCCACCTCGACTTATACAAAATTCATGAATTTTAAGCAATACCAAGTCGGGTAGGCCTTAGGTTGAGTTTATCAGTTGATATACATAATAATGGACGTGTATCGTTTTTTTTATCTTTTGGAGATCTTATCAGAAATATCATAACATTAGTTTCTCCATTATTGACATCCAATCGTCTCATTGTAATCATATGTTTACGCAACATTCCTTTCTGATTACTATTGTTTACTTCTGATATGATAAAATCAGAACATCAGTCTTCTTTTTATCTTACAGTTTTGTCTCACTATTTAACACAAAGACTAAATATACTGGTCTTAATTACGTGTGTATATCGTTAGTGGCTATTTAATTTTCGAAGACCGGGTCGATATCGGGGCCAAGTAGGCTAATATGTGGCACTAAGCATAACCAAATGTTTCAGACTGTTTCTGCTTTATATGTATTCTCAGCTTTGTTGTGTTAGTATTTATAAAATATAATTTCGTAGTAGGATCAGGTTGGCTACATATAATTTCTTTGCAGTGCTTATCTTTTGTTACCAAAAGAATCTTTTAAACATTATTACTGCTTATATCATTTTAAAATGTAACTATAATATATTATTACTTCACTGATATAGCTGATGAATAAGAACGTCAATGATAAAGTCAGGAAAGAGTTGTTATAATTTTTTTAATTTATTGGGTTGGGTTATAAGGACTTCATTATAGAACTTATTTCGTTCAATAGAAGTTCTTTTATTACATTTTAAAACTAAAGTAACTGACGGCCCACGTAATTGTAAATGGTAATCGTCGCTTATAGCTTAATACACATCTGACATCATACACTGTGGCGTCCGAGCTACGACTCCAATGCGAAGGATTAAGAATTTATAATTTTGGCAATGTAGCAGTAGAGTAAATACTGGAATAATATATTATACGTATATATTCTAATAATTTTAATGGTTGGCTAATAATCGTAACATTTAATTACTGTATTTACCATCGGTACGTTTTCCAGCAATAGGATCTGCTTCCATCACCATCTCAAATTAGGTATCCTGCAACAAATGATTTTATGCCAATTGGTAGTTATCTAGTAAATGTTAAACTAATAATATGACCCATGTATAATTAGTGTTCGATTTCACGGTACAATTTGAGGGGACATTTTCGAGAGCAAGTACCGCTGACAGTGACAGTTCTACGTTCTTAGTCATCATTTCATCAGTGGTTTGTCTAATATTACTAATCGTTTAATTGACTAATGAAGTCGTAGACTTAAATAAGTCATTGCCACTAACTAAATCACTTTCCGTGTTTCCCGTCGCTTTAACATGATATGAGCTCATAACATGATCGGGAAAATTGCAAAAAAAAAAAAACTGTATATCATCGAGTAACCTAATAAGTGTTTTAAAAAGGCGATGGAGAATAAAATAACTCTACTGTAGCAGCATTAATTAAGAAGTTTATTTTTGGAAAAGAAAATAACTTACAATATTATACTGAAAGACGATGACATTCACAGTAGTAAGTAATTGGAATAGCAAACAACCATATCGCCCACCTGATGGAAAGTAGCAACCCTCACCTGATTATATACATGACTAACACTATATAAATAGCAGAATACTTTGTGATGCCCGCGTTACATCTCATGCGTTGAATTTGGACTAAGCTGTTATGCGTGCTTTGTTTATTTTATAATATCAATTATGGACATCGTTATTTGTATGGATTTTAAAACCGTATAAAATAAGTTACGGAAAATTTGAACGATCGCTCCACCAAAAATATGCACATATTAATGTTAAAGGATAGCAATCTCATAAAAATATTTCTTTTTTATGGTGACCTGAATTTATCAAAAACGCTTCCAAAAATGATCAGGGACTAATGGTCTCTGCTCGCCAACTGCGCCAATTAATGCCCACGTGATGGCGTTATACATTTCGTCACGGTCAAGCGGTGTTTATTACATACATATATTTGGCAGAATTGAAAATGACGAATAAGTTAATATGTATACATGTGTACAATAATGAGTTGTAGTCTCACCCACGCCATGTTTAATATAGAATGGTGCTGCTACTTTATAAAATAACCCTGAGAATCCTGTCTTTTAGTAATATATTCCCGTGTATCAAATTAAATTTATTCAACTTGAGTAGGTTCATCCTTTCGATCTTTCGATCAACGCGATTTCAAAGATGAAACCGCCAATATTGCATCTTAGAATATTCAACTAGTGTTTCCAGTCCTCCCGAAACTACAATAAAAACCATTTCAAAATATTTCTTAATACCTACCGAAATTCTATAATAAAACGCATACCCAGCAACTTGTGATGACGAGAGTATCGCATGATGGAAATTTTTTTGTGGCAATAATGACAAAAGAGGAAACACCATGGTCTATGCTGGCGAAGCACTAGTGAATGTTGATAGGATGATAATATAATTTCTCCACCTACCACTTGCTAAAGAGTATGGTATACCAACCAACAACGCAATTCGTAATTTAGACTCATACATAATCTTTATTTAAGATCATTCCGTTAATTAGCCAAGTAACTATTATTAAATTCTATCACCATATAAAACAGCGAACCAAATTTGACGTGTAAATGAATTTAACACCATGTGATCTAATAAGAGCAAAATGCATGATTTTCTAAGAAAACCATTTGATATTAGCATTTGTAAATGATAAAAGAAAATCAACCTAACGTAACGTACAATAAAAGAAATATGATTAATATTAGCGTATAGGTTATCATTTATTTATAAAAAAAACTCAAATTTGCATACATTGACAGTACAGATAAGGCAAATGCTGCTACACGCTGGACTGACTCACCGATCACCATGAATGGTCATGCGTCAATACACAAATGATACGACTACATTTTATACAAAACACACAATACCATGTGAATTCGGTTTTATCTAAAACAATCTACGTACATGGGGCTCTGATTCAATACTTTAAATCTTAGACTTAAGACTAAAAATGATAACAAAAATAATTCTAATTCAAACAAAAACACATAAAGGCCACTTCATCCCCATCAACTTAAGTACTAATGCGATGTCCTGTACAAAAGCTAAAGATCAAATTAAATGAATTGGCAAATTCTAAGGAGATTTGAAATGAATCATTTCAATTTTTAAGTAAAAAGAGTCGAGTGTCATCCAGTTTTCGTATGAGAGGTAAAATAAATTGAGACCATTTTTTCTCGAGGAAATAATTTGTATTATTTATACTCGATAAGTTCTATTCAATTGGATCTCGAATTTCGTCATTAAAACACTATATCATAAATGTAGCCAAATACTGTACATCATCTATTCTAATCTAATCAAATAACTAGGCAACAATTTGCTAATATTTGCTTAAATAAAAAAACAGTTGCCTTAATAAAGGAATCAGGAATAAGACTTAGAATTTCTAATAGATTTAAATTAAATTAATATCTAATCTCATTTGAAAATATTCTATTAGTCTCCTCTATCTACAGAAAAAGTGGCGTAAATAATACAATCATTATTATGAGTAGTGATCGGTCTTGTATGCAAAGTGGATGAACATTTTGCAAATATAAAAGAAAATAATTATGTTAACGACTGAACTTCGGATTTTATATATTAGCTATTATAGAATATTATGAATAAGTCAGAAGTAGCATTAAACTGTGGGAAGTTTGTTCATGAAAGTCTCCTTGTTGTTTGTTCATGAAAGTGACCATAAACGTTTATTGTGTCGACGTAATTTACCATTGTCAAAATGACTTATCACATATTATTTAATGCTACACAGGGTCGCCTACAATTCACTTAATTTATTTATATATTTCAAACGTGATTTATCGATCGAGGGAAGATACCTAATATGTATAAATAAAAAAAAATTGTGGTCTAGTTAAAAAATACAAGTTACAATATTCAGTTTGACAGCTTGTCTAAGTATCTCATAATAGTGGAACACAATAATATCAAATGTATACATTCCGGTGTAATAAAATAGGCTATATACATACTTAATCGTTCACGAATTAAAACTTGATAGAGTAAACAGTCTTTGATTTTTATCGGACACAACATTTTAACTTTAAAAACATCGGAACCATTTTAAGTGTACGTAGAAAATAATATAGCTTCCATTATTGTACCGTAAATAGATTCGCCGAGTGTTTTTATAAATATAAATTTTCTCTTACGGAATGTTTATGAGTTACACGTTTTGTTACATATGGGATGTTCGAAAAGGAAGAAAACTAACTTAACCAAGTGTATTCTCGTTTTGAGTTAAATTAAAATGTTCTGGAGTTAACTCTGGGTTAACTTAAAGTACCTAATTGTGAGGTAGGTATAAAACATTAACACCTGACTTACACATTGGAAGTTTGTTTTTACAATAAATTGCGTTTATAAAAAATGTCATCAGCTACGTTTGCATTAAATTTCCCTGTTAAAGTACGTAGCTTTCAAATCATTCTAATACATTTATGTAGAAACGGTTCAGTGACTTTCACATAAATCTCTGCTCCAACGAATTGAAAAAGACACGACATTTTAATCAATATTTCGTTATGAATCCTCGTAAGTAAGGACACAGTTTTACTAAGTTATCGTACATTTTAATATTGTTAAACTTAAAGATTTTGTGTGGAGTATAGAATAGCCTGAATAACCTATTCTGAAAATCGGTTTTAATCTAATCCACTGTACTGTATTGGAACAGCTGATTGATATAAGAAATTTAGCGTAGCCAGAACCGGTATTTTGAGAAGAAAATACGTAAACGAAGCAAAAATAGTAGTAATATAAAAGATATAAGAAAGAAATACACGAATGCGATTATTGAGAAAAAATGTGATCGAGTAGTAGATAAACAGAATTTTATATTTGTGCAAGAATAGAAGCTATTATTGTTATTCAGTATTGTAACAATCTCGTATGGAACATTTTTGTGAGACAGTATAAAGTTAAAAAAAATTGAAATGTTTCTTTGCGTTTAGTGATGGTCCAATTTTGGTAATAGGTCAGAAGCGAAACGTAAACGAAAGTATAACAAGCTTTTATTTTTTAAACCAAATGTTTTCACATTCAACATAGAAATTGGGACGTGGAAAAAATTCTAATCACGCAAACATAGTTGTTCAAATTACCAATCATACGTTTCATGAAGTCAATATTATGGTTTTATAGACAACTACCTATACTGTACTGTTCTGTTCACACGACTACGTGATATATAATGATAGATTGGTATTCTTAACGTGTCACTGGCAGGGAAAGTTGTACTGGCACGCGGCAATTGTTTCATTGAACTTCGTTTTGTTACATACATATGTACGATAAGAACTCACGGTAGATGGTATTGCGTTATGTTTGAAAGAAAATGCTTAGTTATTTTTATGTATAAAGTATTTATAATGTAGAGGACCAGCCTTTTGTCATACAGCTAACAGTGATAATCCCAATGAAACAAGAAGAATCCTTTTTACTTTGTCACCTGTCATCTGGCCAAAAAATTAAAATAAGACTGGGCATGTAGTCTGCAAATGTTTCAAAGATATTACCACTAACCCTTACTACGAAATTGAAGTGGATTTTTAAATAATAATAGTATATGATACTGAAGGAAATAATTCGAAATATTTCGAAAGAATAAATTGCTAAAAGATCCATATTGAAATTATGATGCGACACAAGAAATTTACTTTACTTCAACTTCTTAAAGAACATCACTAATATTTATTTAAATAATTATATAAAGGAAATATAAATCTACTTACAATATTTAGTCGGCAGAGTCCCTTCCGCGTCAGAGTCCCTTCTCGCACTTTGCCGGGATTTCTTATTACATGCCAGTGTGTAATCAAAACAGAATTGGGCCACACAGTAACCTAGTGAAATTAAATATACGTGACTAGCGTAGCTTACGACTGGACCCTTGGCACGATTCAGAGCACCATTATGTAGGTATGGGGTTGGTAATTGTTTATATTAATGTTTTAACATCTGTATGTTTATTGACTTTCCATATTATGTGAACAGTTTGCCTTTATTGTAATGATAAGTCATTCCTTATATACCTATTTCTTATATAGTGATACAGTTCCATAAATAATGACTCATAATATGTATTCTGAAATGTACATATTATGAAAATTTATGTGATCAAAACTGATACAAGAGACTTTGGGACTGATATGCGAGTAAAAGGTTAAGTTCTATAGTGGCAATCACAACTACAGTACATGAATGCACATAAAAATAAAGAATACCAGGAGGGCAGGGAGTAGGACAGTTTAGTAATGGTAATCTCGACAGAGCACTCATTGGAGACTATCCAGGTTACTATACAATACAATACCTAATTGAAAGGATTGTAAAACATGTTTTTTACCAATGATTATTACATTTCAAAATATTTATAGCATGTTATGTATATTTTCAGCAGAAATAATATGAAACTCTGTAACATATTACTAATATTATAAATGTGAAAATTTGGGATTATGGATTATATTATGGACATTTGTTCGACTTTCATGCAAAATGTACTAGAAGAATTTTGACAAAAGTTTATAGTAATATTATGTAGCTTTAATATATAGTATTAAAATGTTAGTGTAATGCTATAAAGTATTAAAATAACACATAAACTACAAATTTCATGCGGGTGAAACCAAAGCACAGCTAGTTTTAAATAAATAGAAGATTATAGCTATCATAATTATATCTGACAGTTGTAATAAACTCACAAAATAGAATTATTCTCCCAGAAAACTAGTATGAACCAAGGAAGAGAATGTTTCTCTTTCATGTTACTATTTTAGAGGGAAGAAAATGTAATATGATAGATTTGTATTTGTGAGGAAATGGAATAAGTAGTTTATTTGTATTATATCTATTGATGACTAATTCGTGGATGAATAGTAGTTTCATTGATTTGGCATTCGATTTGCTTATCAGACATATAATTATCTATTTTACACTCACATTGTATATGACGTATTATTACACAGTTATGTTTAGATAACAATTTCTGATTTTAGGACTAGACATTTCTGTTTTTTTTTATTATTCAATGGAGCTGATGGATTACCTAATGAACATCATAGTGTGTCATTAGGTGGACTAAAATATCTTCATCTTGTCTGTAATTTTAATGCTTCATTCTTTAACTAATATGCAACTTGCAAAGCAAGTCGCAAAATTAAAACTAAAATATTCAAGGCTTTACAGTATGATAATATCATACTGTAAACAGGTGAAATAAACAAATATTAGTAAGTAATTATATTATTAACCTATAGACCTTTTTTACAATATTCTTTTATAAATTACTCATTTTAGGACATAACAATACAGTTTTTTTTTCTATATTATTATGTTACTCACATTTCTCTTAAATATTTCATGCCACAGAGTCAGTGTAACATATACATGGACAAGGTAAATATTTATAGTTTTATTGTTGTATGTAGAGAATATAGATCGTATCTGATAACATATAAAACCACAAAACTGATATATGAATGGTGTCATGTTTACACGTATATCTAATACAATGGGAATTTACACTACTATAATAAGATATTAAAATTTAATTATATTATTTCATATAATTAAACAATAAAATAATCTTTTAGAATTAAATATCACGAATAAACATCTGGTGAACAAGATTAGTGAAATATTTGGCCGTGAGGGCTGAGGACGAATTCATCCCACCGATGTCACTGTAAATTGTTGTTCAAGGTTATATTTTAGACGGCAACGAAAACTACGAAATACAATTACGGAGTTAAGATTTTTTTGCTTGTATACTTGTATCGAAACAAATAATTACAACTAAAATCTTTAACAGAAAACATTCGATAAATCAATGCGCCAGGTGTTTATAATATTTGCGTATTAACAAATTAATGTACCTTTTAGGGATCCAGAAGCTGTTTCCAGGCGATTTCGATCCATAAAATACTTTAACAGTTGTGAAAAATCACTGTTCAGATCAAAAAACGTAAAACACAATTGTTATTTACAATTTTACAATATTTACAAATAGACCACTTTCTACTGCACGAGTAAAGTGCGAAAATCCATAGACGAATATACAAAGTACTAACAAAAGGAAGTTATCAGTCAGTTGTAAGTTGACACTAGTTTGACATTTGAATAGAGATATGCAATATGTTTATCGATGATAAAAATGTCGACTATGGCTTTAAATAATATTTACAACCATTGCGCATAAAGCAGTAAGTAAGTAAGTAAAGCAAATACAGTTTTTTATTTTCTTTCACTTAATCAATTGCTTGTAGATACTGACCTTTTCTTATAATAAACTATATTTTTTAGCAAATTTATTGAAGAGGAATGACTGATGACCAGGTGAAATATTATATAAAGAATAACGCAACGGATTGAGATATATCGAAATAGCCAAAATATAGCACTATCATACCCAATTATTGGAACATCATTATATATATATATATATATATTTTGTTAATTTTGTATAAATTTAAATTTGTCAGGACATTAATCTATAAATTCATTGAATAACATTGCGTAATATATATTACATTATCCAAAATAAATAAAAAAAGCCTAGATACGGCATAGTGGATATAAAAAACCCTGAATTGTTCTATGTAGTTTCGTGCACGCTAGTCTCGGATATAGTATTTTATTTAGTTTTGTATTATCGTTACATCGATAAAGACGTCAACTGGTTACACTATACAATGTCTATGGTCTAAAGTTTGCCATCTTAAATAATCTATTAATAAAAATGGTAAGAAGTCGTATCACCTAAATTCAAATTTAATAATGCAGTATTTAGTTTTAATAATGCATATCTAATAAACAATTGTTAATCACACTTTGATATTTACTGTACCATTCAGTCTCTTTGTCAATATACATGGAGGCCTGAGAGATTGTAATATTTAATATCTCTAATAACTACTACTAACTTGTTTTATCTGAAGAATAGTATCTGTATATGTTAATGGTTATTTATGAATTACAGACAAAACAAAAAAAGAATAGAATGGAAAAAGTCCAGAATGTTTTACAAATTTTTGTTCTTTTAAGTTTATATACTTATTTTCATTATTTTGTTGATTTTGGAAATACACAATATAATATTTATAAAAAATCGTTATAATGCGAAAGATCACTTTCCACTGTTTACTGTCATTCTTCAGGGAAAATTATTGTAATATATGGCAAGACTTCTGTTGCCTTCCGGACAATGTCGGGCGGTATTCGAGTCCGGGACCCAATGAAATCATTCGGATCGGGAATGTACGTGGGCAATACAAAAACATTGTTGTCGTAAATATTGCGCGATTTATATACAAAATTTGAAATCTGGATAATTTTGACTGAAAATGAATGGCTTACACACTGTTAAAATTTGAAATAGGTGTGTGGTGTAAGGATACAGTGTAATTTAAGAGGAACGCTTGACTTTTCGTGGCCTATTGGTGAATAATTTATTTCTGTGGTTAAAATGACCGCATCCACAATGATTGAATTGGAATCCTGGATAATATACCAATGTGTCCTGAACGAGTGCCACGTCTCCAGCTGTAAGTATAAAAATAAAATAAAATAATTTTGTTAAAAAAGATATATTTTAGTAAAGGAAAACCTTGCTCTTTTTGAAATAAATATAATAACATAGTATAACTATACTAAATACAATATAAATTTTATACATTAGTCATATTTGTATTATTATAAATTTTATAGTCTAATATTTATCTTTACTTTATATTTTATTATAAAAAATACTTTTAACGTAGGTTAATTTTGATTTCAATAATAGTGATGTTTTCTGTATTAATTAAGAATTATTATTATCAATATTAAATTTAATCAACAATTTATTTAAACATTTTTATACTGTAATTATAAAAATGTATGCATAAATCTTTAAAACTATGCAACAGATTTTGAAGCAGTTTTTTTAATACATGCAGTGATTCAAGAGGAACTTTTATATGTATAATACATGTACTCCTGCGAAGCCTGGGTTGGTAGCTAGTAATAAATAAACCGATCCCAAACTACAATAAATACAATATAATATTCATATACCTACTGAACTATTATAAAAATTTCAATTCTGTAACAATATTACAATGACCTCCACGGGACCTCTCTTTTAAAACAGCCGCGGTTAATATATAGTGAATCCGGCACGACGACATGGGATAACCCATGTGACTTTATGATCATCCTGCACTGGTCCTCCACCAGCGTATACCGTTAGCGCAGAAAGGGGCACTATTTCATATTCATTCATTAAAAAATATACTCCGCCATCACACGGAGCATAAATATCATGTTATCTGTATATACAAGTAGGTACCTATCCTATATATAATACAAATAATTATATTTAGAATAATAACACAGATATAAGTAATCGCTATAGGAACCAGTGGATGCCAAAAATCAAAACGTATACCAAAGTTGAAATATCAACTTTACCAACTTACGTTTTACTACGAAATCCCACATTATGGTGAAAGGCGATTAAATCAATATTTTAGTGAAAACCCAAACTTTCATCTATTTATAATTCAAGTTCGATCGATGTTAGATGTAAAGTTTGCATGCATTTTAATTCCTGGTAGAAAGCTAACTAACAATAAGTGGTCGGTAGTAGATGTTTTAGTCAGACATCGATTGAAAAAATGTACCAATTGTTGTGGATATCGTTTTGGGAAAATATATGGCTAGTAAAAAAACTATGGGTGTCGTTTTTATATAGAAATTTATATTATCAATCGTATCTTCCCAACGTATGATATTTTTTTAAATTGGTAAATATATAATGGTATGCCCGCCATTGGATATCTCGACCACGTTATTAAAGTCGCAAGTAGAAATTCTTTATTAAATGTAAAGAGTCTCGTGTACCTATATTTGGTATTTTTAGACGAATCTTCATACATGAGTGTATCACGTATGACCGCCTCTTCAATTAATGTTAATTGCCGTTGATCCTCACAAATGCACATGTTTCATGCTCGGATGTCTGTTATATATCAATGATGCACGGAAACACTCATAAATTTCTTAGAAGGAATGCGATTCTGTTTTACATAGCATGTGTTTCGTTGGGAACGTTCAAACCGTGTAAGTATTTGCAACACTATAATTATGTTCAAAAAGGAAGAGATTTTAGACTCGAATTATTCTTTTTTTCTGCGCTAATGGTAGTCAACAAAATTATATCACTAGTATTTAATATTAGATATTTATTTTACCACTATGACGACTCTTGTGACCTTATACTTTATGATACAATGAGAATCTACATTATAAATGTGGCGGTAGATTAAAAAAATATTCCAAAGTGCCTATTTTAAATTGTTACCCCAAACTGCGTCTGCTTTATTAATTAAAAGATAGCCCTTATCCCCATCCTCAATATACTATCTAAGATCCGTCCAGTATTTTAGTCGTAAAAGGTAACAAACAGACAATCTGGCAGACATACACAACACTACTAGTCTGGATGGATTTATTAAAAAAAAACTATTTTTCATTCACTTGTATTCATCAATTTTACTATTGTATCTCATACTTGACACCTTTGAATCTACGGTATGGGCTAATAAATTTACCTTTACTTTGAATAATTTATCGGGAACGCAATACTGTGTGTGACAAAAAGTATCCAACTCACTAAATTTTTCATATTGCTTTCCCTCTTCCATGAATAAAACCAAGGTGGCGACGACTGCCTAATGACTGCAGCCAATTTGTCTGACCTCAGCGCTTTTTGCTATATTTTCTTTTCTTAATATAAATTCTTTTTTTTGTTATAAAATTATTGTAACATTAACATTGCGCAATGAATTATATTATTGTCAGTGAATTGATGGAGCAAGAATAAATGTCATCTCTACTTTTAATCCCAAGGATGTTGTCAGCGAGTACGTTAATGAAACAAACAGAATTACGGATATCACAAGCATTTTTTGCGTACAAGTTTTTTTTGCGCCTGTGGTCATTTGAAGACTAAGGTGTCATGCTTTCATAACCTGTGATTTTTTACCGTATCTCATATACTTTTCTTTGTAACTCGAATGACAAATAGGGCTATGGCTTATCTGGTGGTAACTGAAACTTATATATATATATATATATATACATACATCATATAACGCTCGCAGTAACCCTTATACGTTGCCATTCGGAAAAAGTTAGATGACATGTCTCGATACCCTATAATTTCACTGCCTTATCTTATCCTTTTGTTTTCGATATCGATTTTTAGTTTATTCGGCAATTCCTTATAAGAAATAAATACGGCCTCAAGAAAAAGATTAATTGTACTTGTTATTAATAGACCTATGAATCGATTTATCACCACCCTAAACAGAAGTTACCTGAAGGGCGAGACCTTGACACCGACAAACCCTAACGATAAACCTCGACAAAACTCGATAAAGCTTTTGTCACTATGAAATTAAAACATAATTTGGAAGCTATAAAGTCCTAAGTTGAACACAAGAAAGTCAGTAGTTATATAAATAGTTAATTGTGATTCTATAATATGTAATTACTAACTGTTACCCGCGACTTCGTGTAATAACATTATTTTACTCGTCAAAATCGTACCAGCCATTTCAAGTAAGAATAAACACACAGACAGTTAAAAATATATATATATACTTTCGTATGATTATAGAATTTGAAATTATAAACAGACAGTTCTATTGTATTTTTTTGTATATATAGATCACTAGCAGATTTTTCCTGTTATATCTAGTAGGAAAGAATTAGCGTTACCACGCAGCATCACATTCCGTATACAAATAAGTTTTCAAAATTACTACTACACTATCCAAGTTGGTCTATACGTTTAGCTGAGTTAGGTGACAAAAAGACACATACACAATAATTATATATGTATATGTTTTTAATATTTGAATAGTTTTGCGGTGTTAAGCTCTACCAGTGTATTTACTGCATTTACTTGCAAAGTGATGACAATGTTTGCTTTGGTGAATGATATATGATTATCTCTTTTACATTATCAAAATGTTTACCTATCATATTTTTATCGATAACCACACTGTAATGCAGGCACACTTTTTTTATATACAGGAACTATTACATATAAGTTATGATATTATATATATTATTTTATTTATAGATTTAAAGTTTTTTTATAAAAACATTATTATCGTTAACGAATTTTTTGCAAAGGAAGTGTTTTATTTGACATTTAAATCTTTTTTTCTGGCAGATCTATAACAGACTCTGGTATTTTATTGTAAAACCTTACGCAATTGCCATAAAACGAATTACTAACTTTAGCCAAACGACATTTAGGTAAAATCTGTTTTTTATTTTTGCGGATGATCCAAACAGTGATTATTAAAATATTTGTCTGTTTGTCTGTGTGCGCTAATGTCAATTGGGTTTGGTTTTCATTAATATATTTTGGTAAGTTTTAATTAAAATTTACGTTTTAGTTTTGTTTCATTTGGTTTACAAATAAAAAAAGTTATAAATTATTGTCGTAAGACTGAGTATGAATTCGTGGCTTCAACTAGTTAGGTATAAAACGTAGTATTGTACTGTATGATAGGTATATAGAGATAAACAATGTTCTCTGTAAAGTTTGGACGTTGTATTAAATCAACTCCATTTACGAGATAATTTGGCGGTCTACAATTTCCAATTGATGTCAGTACCCAGCGAGTTAATCAAAAGAAAGGTATAATATATATATATAGGCTTCAGAGTTTGAATGTTTGAAGTGGTAAATCTGAAACTGTAATAAATCTTAACAAGAAGTTGCGTTTGGTTATATAAATTGATGTCTTTATCTTAATTTATTTGTATCGCTTTGAATCAAATGAATTTTTCTTCAAACAATAACGTTTTTGAACAAAAACCTCTGAGTTAACATATAAGTTAGTTCTATTTTTCCTGTTCGCATGTTATATGGAAAGTTGGCATCTTAGCTATGAATTTGTACCACTGTTACTAAACAAAAAATATAAAAAGTTTTGACGCCATTGATTCAATAGTATTTTGACGTGTAAGTATGTGATGTCGGTAGTCTAACTTTCTTATTTAAACTTCTGAGGAGATATTTTACCTGTTTTATATAGGTTATTTCAATCTTTAAGACACCAAAATATAAGAACACACTATTGGTTTAAGCAGAACTAGGAAATCCGCGTACATAAATCTCAAAACTCCAATCAACAAATGTACGGTTTTATTTTTATAATACGCTGTAATTACCCTGTCTGTATTCCCATTTGCCTATTCCCTATTAATTTGTACAGATTTAGTCAATCCCTTGTCTTCTACAAACAATTTGATATGTCTATTGAGTATTCCCAAATCCAATTACGGAATGAGTTATTTCTAAATTACATCCTCTGCTATTCTTTTTACTTAAAGTAATTTCCGATTACTCAATCTCCTCCTCAATTGCCATTGAGGCAATATTTTTTAAGGAAAATCCAAACCCTTGTTTGGTTTCGGTCTATACAATCCCGTGATTGAACGAATGATTAAGGGAAGGTCAGAGAGGCGAATTAAGATTTCA